AGTATAATACTGCTTTAAATGGATAGTGCGTATGGGCTCAGAGGTAGGTTCTCAATGTGTAAGCTGAGCAGGCCATGCTTGGCTCACATCTCCTTAAGAGGATTCAAATAGGGCTGCTCCTTTGTTTATTTTTTCCAAGCACCCTTATTAATTTTCTCATGACATTGTGCTACACACAACCTGTAATTACTTTATGGAATTCAGTCACACAAGAGGTGGCGATGGCCCCAGGCTTAGGCAGAATTAAAAAAGAGGCGTAGCTTGTCATGCAAAGTACACCTGTTGAAATCCTTTCTTCTATGCAGCTATTAAAACTCAAAAGTGATGGTTTTTTTTAAAAAAAAAATCACCTGGCAAACACATATTTGCCATGATAGATAAATGAATGAACATCTGGTTTCACAGCTGTTAGTCTTCTGAATACCAGTACCTGGAGGAGAAACAGCATTTATGCGCCATGAGCTTCTTAGAAGCATTTGGTGGGCTACTCTGGCAAATGAGATACTGGAATGGGTGAATCTTTGGTTTGACCCAGCAGAGCTCTTCTTATGTGATATTATATGTTATTAATAAACCTGTGGTTTCTTAACCTAGACCCGTGCAAACATATTGTGGTGGCTGAGTCACTGAGACAGAGCATTGTGTGAGTAAGAGTAGAGTCCCCACAGTGCTAAATGGACAAGGTATTGAGCTGGGCATGTTGCTGTGAAAAACCCTCTTCTAACTTTTACCTACCTCACCCAAAATCAAATGAGCGTTTTCAAATGTTTAAATGATGACTCATGAATCTTCTCCCACTTCAGCGAATTTCCATTAGCACCAGTCACAAATGGTGTTTTTTCCAGCTTCATTCGGAACCACATGTCCTCCACCTAAATTACAGGAAAACAGTTGCCTGCCAACTGTGGATTTTGGCTCATTATATATTGCCCTTTGACTAGACTTAGATACAACCTTCTTATTACATGGTTGGTAACAGACTGATAGTGTGTGGGCATCCTTTTCCTATCTGTATTTCCTACCATAACACAATTCCTTCAGTATCCTCTTTAGGGTGGTCAGAGGCAACAAAGGACATGATTTCTGCACCTCTTAATAGTGGTGCAGTTGTGGTGATGACAAGCTACCTCTGATGAAAGAAACCCTTCTGCACAGACTACCAGAGGTACAAGAGCTTATCCTTTCCTCACTCTCACCTGATCACCCTAACTCCCCCCTTCCACTGAAGTGATTAAGTTGAGGAAAATCTTACCAATGTCACTATTGCCTATTATTATTCTCTGCTGAACTGATGCCTAGAACTGTAGAATTGGAAGGGACCCTGAGGATCATCTTGGAATATGCAGCTGTTCCATACATAGATTAAACCTGCAACCTTGGTCTTATCAGCACCTGGCTCTAATCAACTGAGCTGTACTTCAGATGAAGAAGCAAGAGAAAACTGACAAAAGCTCTTCCTTGATGTTGCCAACTTCAGTTGGAGACCAGAATAGGGGTTGATGGAGGTGATGAAGAAGATGAGGCACAGCAGATGCTCATCTTTATGAAAAGGAGAAAGAATTGCGTAGGGGGCCTAGTATACCTGTTAATAGTTATGAAAAATACACTTTGGTACAGAAAGGATAGATCAGTATGTGAAGAGAGTAGAAACATGGATGTACAACCAGAAAGTGGAAAATTCATGTGCTGCAGATAAAAATCCATTGCTCATAGGTGAGAGAGAAGGGTCATAACTCAGTGGCAGAGCATCTGTTGAATCCCCAGCATCTCCAGGTAGGGCTGGGAGAGACCCCTATCTGAAACCCTGGAGAGCTGCTGCCAGTCAGTCTAAACCACTGAGCCTCTTGGGCTTGCCGAACAGAAGGTCGGCGGTTCGAATCACCGCAGCGAGGTAAGCTCCCATTGCTCTGCCCCAGCTACTGCCAACCTAGCAGTTCAAAAGCATGCCAGTGCAAGGAGATAAATGGGTACCACTGCAGTGGGAAGATAAACGGCGTTTCCGTGTGCACTGGTTTCCGTCCCCGTGTCCCGTTGCGCCAGAAGCTGTTTAGTAATGCTGGCCACATGACCCAGAAAGTTGTCTGTGGACAAACACCAGTTTCCTCAGCCTGAAAGTGAGATGAGCACCGCACCCCATAGTCACCTTTGACTGGACTTAACTGACCAGGGGTCCTTTACCTTTACAATTTTGAGCAAGGTGAACTAATGGTCTGAGTCAGTTAATGGCAGCTTCCTATGTCCCTGTGACATGAAAACCACAGAAAGGTTGAGATGTTTTTGTAAATCCCCCTTCTAGCATGGTTATATTAGTGTGTTTCAAACCTTGATACAGGAATGCATGTACTGTAAGTCGTGCAGTATAAGGAGAGCATATCAACCAATAGGAGCAGCAGAGCTTACAGGGTTGGCATCATTCTATAGTATTATTAGCCGGTCTCTGCCTTCTTCCAGGTGACAGCCCCTGCTCCTTTTGGGGCTGGTTGTATTGTGGGAGCACAGCTTTCCTCCTCACCTCAGACTCTACTCTTTTGTTGACTGTCCCTCCCTGAGGGAGTGCTGTGTCCTCGGGCAGCCTCTGGCTCTCCCTCATTCCCACAGTAACTGCAGAGCAGCAGGAAAGACTCGCCGCTGCTGAAGTCTCAGCAAAGCAGATTTATGAATGTTTTGATAGTCAAAAACTTGTATGTATTTGAATGGGGAACTGACAAGCAAGCCTTCCACTGTATGGATTATGAAACATTTTCTGCAAAAACCCAAACTACTCTTTCTTATATGAATAAGCCATTTCACATAACAAAAGGAAACAGAAGTTTTTTTAGTCAGCTGTTTCTCTTTTATATACACTGTATACCGGTATATAAAACTTGGGAAGTTAACATCTGTCTTCTTTAAGAATGTTCTCCATTCTCTGGAACCTTAGTCCAACTATGAGAAGACTGATGGTTGTCTGGTGTTGTGATACCTGAATAAGCCCTGACTGATTCAATTTTGCCTATAGACCATCCAGTTTACAATAAATATGGCAACATAAAATAATTGACACAGGTGGCTGATAGCTTTGTTCTTATCTGCCATTAGCATAACTGAAGTTCATTACATCTTAGCAAAGCCTAGAATAGATCCAGTTGGTATATATAAAAAAATGATCCTTTGGTTGCAGAAAATCCTGTGCTCAGCAGTAATGCACTTCAAATATTAACAGGCTAAGAAAATGCCTGTTTAGCAAATGCAGATTGACAATTCGAATACCATGACTTTGCTCGAGTCATAGCTTCTTTATAGTCAAGAACAGGACAAATAATCTTCTGACATTTGGAAGAAGGAGGAGGTTGAAGTGGGCTTTTGATTAAAAGGCCTTTTACTTGAAAATATATACACATGCAGAATACAGCTGAAAAAGAGAGGCCACAAAAGAAAATGACAGAAAGACAAAAAGTGACAATTCCATATAGGCCTAGTTGGCAAGGCATCATAAGCCAAACCATGGCATGGCTTCCCAGGACGCTGTGAGTGTGCAGGTGCTTGGAGAGGAGCCCACAGCTGCTTAACTCCTCCCTGTCCTCTTTTCTCCTACACCATGTAGAGCTAAGCCAAAGTTTGTCTTAGTGTGTTGCCAGAACCTGGGCTCAGAGTTCTCTCTACCTCACTGATCACAAACTGTAACCAAGCCCAGAGCAGCAAAGCAAGCTGTGAGTGCCTCTCTGAGAAGATATTCACATCATCCCAGTAAGCCCAAATGCAAATGTGGATTGTTGTGATGTGCAAACAAGGACAGTTTCTGAGTTACAGGACTGCTACCAGGCAAAAGGATGGTATTGGTGGTGGTGTTCATGCATGTATGTATGTGCATGCGTGCCTGTGTATAGGTAGGTAGAGGTGGGGAGATCAACTTCTATGAAAGCAGGAGTGCCAACTTTAATAAAATATTGGAGGGGCAGGTAAGCCCCAGCACACATAATTGATCACAAGATGCAGCATGCACACAGTATTTGAATGGTAATGCCCATCATCTGTGTCAATCTATCAGGGCTGTGAATGTTCATAAGAAGTGCTGCCGGGGGAGATCCAGCACAATTATGTGCATGTTTATGGGAATGGAAGGTTTTGGTTGGAGTAAAATCTGGCTTGGCTGTCCTGATACCTTTCTTCAGACTAGAAGAGGAACACACACACACACACACACACACACACACACACACGCACACACACTCTTAAACATTCCCAGGAGCGTGTTCCTGTCCTTGAAAAGTTTGAAAAGCAAAGTCATTGTTTCCTGAGAGATATATACATAAACGTAAGGCTGCTGCCATGGGCAGCAATGGAAAATCTTTGTGCTATCCAATTTCTATCCCGCTTGAAGCTGAGGCTGATTTCAGAAAGATTAAGTGATAGAAGACTAAAAGGAGCCATTCTGCAGCTGGACTAGCAATCTGTCTCATTTCAACACCCTCACAGGGCAGCTCAAGGCAAGTGTGGACCTCACAGTTGACCACTGCTGAAAACCATCCGTGATTGGGCTTCACACCCTCCTCCATTGGAGAGACAAACAGTGGCAGCAACGGGAGCTGCAGGGGTTGTATCACGTGGTTCCACAGCAGTGGGGGTAATAAAGGGGTTATCCTACTGTTGCTGACAGAAGCTGGTTTTCAACTGCATGAGCAGTCAAGGCCATACCAACTTTTGTTCACTAGCCACATCTGATTCCCAGCCCCCACCCCGGCATGGGGACACCAAGCATGTGACCGTGAATTCCCATAGATGTTTGGAATCATTCCTCTCCCGCACAAAGAGCGAACATAAACCACCTATTTGAAGAGAATATTCCCCTTTTAAGTACATGGCAGCTGCACAGGATGTACCCCCCCAACACTTCTCAGTGCATCAGTTGTGACCTGGGACAGCTCCTCATCCAGCTGCAACATGTTTTTGTACTTGTTTAATGAATGCAGATTTATTGTTAGTCTTATGTTGTGCACTGCCATATTTTCTTAATGTCGGTGCTATAGAAAGTTTTGCAAATAAGTAAATAAAACAGCTGACTGCCTCTGGAAGAAAATATGCCCAACTTTGTCATCTCTACTAAGTTGCATGAGATGGAAAAATATTGGAATCTCCACTAAGAGAGATCTATGCATGGACACAGCCTTCCACTGGAGTAACCAGGCTTCCTCTTCTCCCCCCCCCCCCCAAAAAAATGGCTCTGTGTGGATCAGGACAAATACAGGGGGAGGAGAGGGGGGCATCGTTCCATTGGGTAAGCTGAAATGCATTCCTGATGGAACAATCATCTTAACACAACCTTGAGTTCCTCCCCTTTTCTTTTCATGTGAATTCTCAGTTGCCGCTGAACACTGGTTACATCTGAACATCTAAAATGAAATGGCTTGAAGAAACAAACCTGAGAATTATTATTTTTTTAATTCACAGAATAATCATCACCACTCCATATATAAACAGTTGCTGAAGATGGCAGCTTTTCTTCACCCTCAGCAAACCATTAAGATTTCTGGCACCAGGTCTACAAAATGCAACGGAAGTTACAAGAAAATAAGTATATACATGTAAAATACATTATGAAGTATTTAAAAATAATGGCATTTACATTTTGAGAGAAATTTCCATCCATTGCCCAGTATTCGTGGGCAGATGCTGAGGGTCCCAGTGTCTTACAAGGGTCCACTCCCCCAAGTCCCCTGTGGCTGCACCTCACTGCTATCCGTTTACTCACTCAGCCATCCAGTTGGGCAAGTGACATTGAGCCAAGGAACAGCAGCAGCTATTACCACTCACTAACTGCCCTCTCCCAAAAGTGGCAATGAATACTGTTCCTCCTCTTTCACCCAGCCAGTTCCTTTGCTTGCCAACCTCCAGCCCTATGGGAAAGTGAGCAGGAAGCAGCAATGGCGTGTGTGTGTGTCCTACCTTAAATATCTTGCCCAAGGAACCCCAAACTGTGGAGCAAACAATTGTACAAGGTTTGTACTTTTGGGGAGGAGGCCCTCATTGAGGCAGGATTGTTTCAGTTCTCTTATGTGTATGAGCGTGTATATAAAACAAGCAGCAGTTCCTTGCAGTACCTCCATGGCTGGTGGAAAGTTGCTTAACAGAACAGGAAGCACATACATAGAATCCTCAAAGGAAAAGGAAAAGGGCTTTTTATGTTCTAGTACGACATGTCATTTTAGGGGGTGAAATTTAATTTTGGCAAATTAAAGTTTCCATTTGATGAAGAAGCACATAAACTGCTTTTTTTTGGGGGGGGGGTAATTTTACTGTCTGTCGCAAAGGGCAGCTAGGCAAGTAACTATGTACTGCCAATCAAGTTGCAGCATGTGAAATACTGTGTATTTTGTGAAAACTACAGTAGCCGCCATTTTCAGTGACTGATGGGGATGTGAGATTTCTGTGGCTGTGAGAGGTTGGAAACCTGGATGAAGGTGGTGTAGGTGGCTGCAATGTATGTGAATCATCACCCCCTTTCCTAGAAAATCCAATCTATATACCACTGCAAGTACATTTTACAGTTCCCATGACAGGTTCAGCAGAATGCATTAATAACAGAAGGTATCAGAAAGGATGCTATGCACTTTTCCAGTGGCTGGAATACAGTTGTATAAAACAATGCAGATATCTAAAGCTGCTCTCATGAGGATTAGCTTTCCTGACCTCTTCAACAGGAAAATTTACTGAAGACACATGCAAACAATCATCCTTTAAATTAAAATCTTTTTTGAATATTCTCTATCGCTAGCAAATAAAAAAATCTTCCAGCTAACAGCCTTCACCTGTGGTAACAGACATAGACTCTAATTTAGAATTTGCTTCTTAGAAATTTCAATTGAGATAGGTATAACTGCCCCCCCGACCCATGAGACAAACCAGAATAGCATTTGACTGTGAAAGCAAACCACTTTAGCAGTCAATCCAACAATAGTTCTGCTAGGCTACTTAAAAGAGGGAAAGGAAATTTTTAGTCCTGGCTCCTTTAAAAAGTCAAGCATCCTGAGAGAATTTTAAGCCTTTGTTTTGAACATATGCCTGGATTTGTGATTGGGGCTTTGAAGAGATTTTTATTTCACACTTACTCATTCTCTTGGGATCACTGCAGGGTGCCCCATGGAACAGTGTTGATTTAGGATTTAGAAACTGCAGGGAGAGGGAGAGTCAAGCTCCTAACCCAGGTGGCAGCTATTGAGCTGACAATGCCACAAATCTAAGAAAGTGTTTATTTTAGTAACCTTGGATAAAAATGAAAGAGTTCTGTTCCATTTTAAGTAGATTCAATGCCCACTTTTGAAATAAAACACAGGAATAGATTTGTACCACCGCAAAAGGCCTAGGGCAGGGATAGCCCAGTTGGTGCCCTTCTGATGTTCTGGACTACAACTTTCAAGCTCTGGCTATAGAGCTGATGGGAGTTGTAGTCCACAACTTCTAGCGGCGTCCAGATCTTGGAAACCTCCAGTATCATCTAGTTCTGGCTTCATTGTATTTGCACCTGTAGCTGTACTCCTCTCACCACGCCCACCTCATATACTCTGATTCCATTTCCTGCTTGTACACAGCTATTAGTCAACAGCAGAGTACCATATCATTTTACAATACAAAATGTAATTATAAAGCCACACAAGCTGACTTTAAAAATGCTTAGTTTGGATCTGAGAGTCAAATGGGTTTCAAGAGGGAGCTATGTTCTCAGACTTGTTGGGTGAAGGCAGTTCCTTTTGTTGTCAGAAAGAAGCAAAAGATGGCCCTGGGGTTTTGCTGAAGAGCAGGCAGATATGTTTATTATTTTCAGATCTATGGAGAACCCCTCAAGCTGCAACTAAAATATCTGTGTTTGCAACGCACAGAGCTTCTCTGAGTTGCCTACACAGAAGTCAGTGAAGGAAGCAGGAGGCAAACAGAATGCTATTTTCCAGTGTTGAACGGTAGAATGGAAGCCTTTGTGGAACAAGTTGGTCATCTTTCCTTCCAGAACAGCAAGTGCCTACAAGTATATTAGCATGACAATGGATGCAGCCTTAAAAGAGGAAGAAATAACTAATTTGGGTCAGGGCCATAGCTCAATGACACAACATATGCTCTGCAAGCAGAAGGTTCCAGGTTTGATCCCTGGTTTCTCCAGTTAAATAAAGAGCAGGAAATGAACACGATGGACCAAGCTGAGATACTGGAGAGTTGGCTGCTGGTTAAGACAAATAGTACTTGGCTGGTTCGACCATTGCCCTAAAGCAGCTTCTTATGTTCCTACTTCAAGAAAGAAAAATCTGCCGGAAAGGAGGAAAGATTTGAAAGTGCTCCCTGCTATGACATCTACACACCAATAAAAAGTCAGTTATCTGAATACTGATGGTACTAACTACACAGGAAGATTGGTGGTGGGAGAAGCTGTCTTATGGCACACTCGATGGGCTTCTGGTCACTACCAGTGCAATCCTATGCACGTTTACTCAAAAGTAAGTCCTACAGTCCTCAGTGGGCCTCACTTCTAGGAAAGTGTGCATTGTTTTGCAGCCTGAAGCTCCATGATTCCATGAACTTCCCTATTCTGTGACCTCAGTGGTTCCTGCCATGAAGTCACATGGCACTGCTGCTCAATGTAAACAGAACTCTTTTCTAACCAAACCTTTAATCAGCCACTTGCAACATGTTCTTCTATTGATCCTGACTGTACTGTATAGAAAACTGGTGGGGCCACTGGCCTTGGTCCATTATGGAAAAAGGTCAGGTGCCTAAACCATTATGCTGATGGACAGGAATGAGCAATACCATACTAGCAAGAGCCGGGAAGATGAGAACACATCTTAATCAGCCTTTTGCAAACCTTGTTGTAGATCCCACCACCCCTCCTTCCAACAAGGCTGACTCAACAAGACTGCGCTGGTGCAGAGCTCCGCATCAAGAGTCCAGCCTTGGCAAGGGCATCCACTTTTCCTTGCTTTCTTGGGTGCCCAAAAAGAATAATCAGACCATGCAACCAAAGGAACATTCACAGCTGCCTTTCCACCAGGATTTAGAAGACTAATCTCTACAAGGAGAAAATGTAGCGCATCAGCCTTAGCTATGGAATTTGCTGCCACAAGACGTGGTGATGGCAACCAGCAAAGAAGGCTTTAAAATTCACAGGGGGTAGGTCTATCAATGGCTATTGGTCATAATGGCTAAATGGAACTTCCAGCTATAGAGATAGTATACTTCTGTATACAAATTGCCAGAGCTGGAAACAGGGAAGGGGGCAGATTATTGCCTTCATATCCTGCTGGTGAGCCTCCCAGAAGCATCTGTGTGGCTCCTGTTCAGAGCAGGATACTGGACTAGGTGGACCTTTGGTCTGACCAAGTCGGGTTGGTCTTATGTACTGCTGTACCACAAAGCTGGTCAAGGGTCACCCTGTGACCTTCCTGCCTTTAAAGGTAGTTAGGGGAAAACAACACCTTTCCTAACAATGCACAGGTCTCTGGACTTGCCAGTTCACCAGCTCTGCACACTCTCCATTGCCAACTCCAGCTGGTCCCTGCGAAAACTGCCCATCATTTCACAATGGCCTGTGCAGAAGTTCATTCCGGGATGTAGTCCCTGAAGGAATTGAAGCTCAGGCTCCTGCCACCCGAGGCCAGAGTTGAGTTGGCATGAATCTTTGGGATCTTTTCCATTAGTTTAGACACTGCTCGCCTCTTGAAGGACCCTGGGGAAAAATGACCTTGCTTCATCAGCTCATTGTATAAAGTGTTGAAAACCACCACCGTCTCCTCATAGCTGTCCCTGGTAGAGATCTCATAGAAAGGATGCTTCAGGGCCTTGGAGAGGTTCTCCCCATCCTCAGAGGACACCATGCGGTCAAACTGCAGGTCCTTCTTGTTTCCGACAATCACGACGGGCGGCTCTCCACTCGCGCTGCTCCGCTTTGGGCTGGAATGGATGTGGTTGATGAGGAAGCAGAGCCTCATGACTTCGTCAAAGCTGCACCTGTCAGTGACAGAGTAAACCACAGCAAAGCCATCTCCCCACTTTATCTTCTCTTCAATTTGTAGAGAGTCCTCCTCCTAGGACAGAGAGACCAATCGCAAATCTGTATAAGCACGGCACCTTCTTTGCAAAGAGCTCACAACATCTGTACACAATGACCAATGGTGGTTATGTACCCCCTTTCCGGTCACTGGTTCTCCTCTGCAGATTGCACCATTCCCCACCCAGCCCACTTGACAGTTGTTCGGTGGTCATTCAGGTCCCAGATTTGGTCAGCCACAATTCATCTACTTTGGCCAATAGAGAGAGAGAGAGAATGAAATTATAAACTCACAAGTGGGACCTGCAACAAAAGGTTGTAATGTGAAGAACTTCTGTTCAAGTCTCCAGCTATTCCATTCCACGGCCCCAACAACAATCAATCACCTTTCTATGCCCAATAGGCATCCTCAGCCATCATGGGCTGTTGGGTGTTTTCCCCTAAAGTTTGTTGTGCTTCTGCAAGCCTCAGAGTTCCCCTGCGCTTGCCAACACCTCCCCCTACATGCAAAGCAGATGCTCTGTAACTGAGCTCCCACCCTTCCCTAACAGTCCATGCTACATTCTGTCTGTGTCTTTAAAATGGGACAAGTTAGATTTAAATTCAAATGTGCAATGTTGCTCACGAAGGGAGAGCAGTACAGTTGTGTCTAAAAGTAACTTACTTGGAAACAGACATTACTGGTGAAATAATGTAGGCATTTATTTATTGTATGAGGACATACTACCATTTTATAATGGCATTGTGATTTGCTGTTATTTTTACTGATTATAGATTAGTAATTCTTTATTGTAATTGGTAAGTGTAAACTGTTTGATTATTGTTTGCTGATGTTTAATTTTACTGTTTACTATTAAAGTCTAATGGATTATTGAATATTGCTTTATTTGATATAAGTTGTTTATTTTAAAGTTATTCTGATTTTTTTTATATTGGATCAGATTGTTTCTATAAATGTTTGATGTTTTATTACGTTTTTATTTGTGTTGGAAGCTGCCCAGATGGGCAGAGTATGTATGTATGTATGTATGTATGTATGTATGTATGTATGTATGTATAAATAAATAAATAGATGATAGATAGATAGATAGATGACAGATAGATAGATAGATAGATAGATAGATAGATAGATAGATAATGTCTTTTTTCCAGTAACATGTTGAGACTTTGCCAAAGTAGAGATTTGAATCTAGATCTTCCTGGTCATAGTCCAACACTCTAACCATGTAACCAGCACATTGGCTCCTTTTTATCGGAATAAAAGTTACAGCAACTATGTGAGATCAGTCAGTATAATTCCAGTAGAGGGGTCAAGGCTAAGAGACACTGGCTGGACAGTAAGTTCACAACTAACAAAAATTTGGTCTGGGGATTTCCAGGCTCATTGCGCACCCTTTTAGCCACTACACTGTTTACATCTCAGAAACATATTTCTTAGGGCACTCTCTTTCTTAGGGCTGGGGAAACCCAGCCAGGTGGGATTACTTACCCTTTAACGCAATTTAACTGCCCACTTCATTTACAGAATGAAAGTAGGTATGGGGACATCCAGCTTCCACCTCCACCGTTTTATTATTAGTTTATGTTTCAGCATGAGACCAATGGTTCATCTTAGCACAGCATCCTGTTCAGCACAGCAACCAACCAGATGCCTCTGAGGTTTTTAATGGCTGGAAATGTTTGCTTTTGCTTTGCATCTGTCTTTTTATATAGTTTGATTCTATTTTGGATTTGTCTATCTTGTCTAAGCCACGTTGAAGGCTTTTGGACATAAAAGAAACCTAAAAATACTGATTAAAAAGACAACAGCAAAGTAAGACTTGAAGGGAAGGTAAGAGCCCTTTCCTGCTACTGTTTCCCAGTAACTGGTATTCAGAGGCATGGTGCCTCTAGAAGCAGAATATAAAAGGACCCCTGACCATTAAGTCCAGTTGTGACCAACTCTGGGGTTGCGGCGCTCATCTCGCTTTATTGGCCGAGGGAGCCGGCGTACAGCTTCTGGGTCATGTGGCCAGCATGACTAAGCCGCTTTTGGCGAACCAGAGCAGCGCACGGAAACGCCGTTTACCTTTACCCGCCGGAGCGGTACCTATTTATCTACTTGCACTTTGACATGCTTTCGAACTGCTAGGTTGGCAGAATATAGCCATTATGAATAATAGCCATTGTTAAGTCTCATTCTCTGTGAATTTGTCCAATTCCCCTTTAAAGCCATCTAAGTTGGTGGCTGTCAAAACATATTGTGCCTGTGAATTCCTTAAGTTATCTCTGCACTGGGGAAATAAGTGCTTCCTTTTGTTTGTCCTGAATCTCTTGCCATTCCGCTTTACTGGATGGCCCCAGGTTCTGATATTATCAGAAAGAGAGACAAAATGTCTCTACTGACTTTGTCCACAACAGCCATAATTATATGCATCTCTGTCATGTCTCTCCTTTACTTGCCTTTCCTCTCTCTAAGATAAACAACCTCAAACTTTATGGCCCCAAATTTTATAGCCCAAGCCCTCTGGGAAATTTTGGCGGCTTTTTTCTGGCCCCTTCCCAGTCCCCTTGTTTTGAGATATAGTGACCAGAACCTTACCTGTCCTGCTGTATCAAGAATTTCAAAATGCACCATCTCTCCATCGATGACAGCTGTGTGCCTATAAATCATCTCTGTGGAACATAAAACATGTATGAGAAATCCGCTGGCATATGCGCAGAGCAGAATTAAAAATAAAAGCTAGAAGTAAGCTGAGTGGAGAGTGCTCTCTTCCTTTGTCTGCCCTCCTGATTCTGCTCACAAGCAAGTACACAGCCCAGCATGAAAATCCCCCTACACGTATTGCGCTGCCGAGAAATCTTATGCACCTGTATTTTTTTATTAAGCTCATCATTAATTTTTATATACCACCTTTCTATTCGAGAACTTCCAGTGCAGTTTACAATCAAAATATAAAACTCAAGAAAACACCACAGCCCGCTATTGAACAGATAAAGTCAGACGGCAAAACTCTTCAAACCCAATAATTTATTTATTTTTAAAGGATTTTGGTGGGCATCAGGTGAGCCTTCCAAAGGAGACAGCTCCACAAGTGGGGTGCCAAAACAGAAGAGCCCCTTCCCAAATGCCCCCTGCCTCACCTCAGACACAACAAGGGCTCTCAGAGAAGGGTGGGATGTAGAAGGAGAGAGGAACTAAAAGTGTGAGGATCCAGAAGGAGAGATGAAAAGTAGATTGGGGTGTGCATGTGCAAATGGACAGAGAAGTTTGTAGTATGCAGGCTGTTACCTGCAATGGCAGCTGGCCACACTGTGACTGTGGACAGAAATATAGCCCATCATCACTGAAAGTTCATTATGAGCCCAGCCTCCTGTTTGCAGTGTGAGCTAAAGCTTCAAAATGGAGAAATTCTGGGACTAGTCTTGGTGGGGTGGGGGAAGGACCATGAAGGTAAAGGGAACTTTGCCAGTGAATTAAAATGAAAGCACACCAGTTGTTCTGGCAAAACTCAGCCCAAGGAAGGCAGAAAAGGCCACCTATTGAACAAAAGATGCCCTGAATGGCAGCTGTGCACAGCAACATATTTCTTCCCAAACACCTTGTTCTCACCTTGAAACCTCATATGCCCTCTAACTATGAAATGTCCAGGCTCCCACAAGCCTTATTAAGTCATCTTGGCCTCGAGGGCCATTCTTCTCCTGCTCAAGATCTATGTGTTGATAAAGGAGCCTGTCCATATGCACTGTGGATTAAAGGGTGGGGACGTGCCATATATTGTCTAGTCACATTGTGAGGAGAATAATACACCCAAAGACAGGCAATTATGCCTCTCTGTCAAAAGGAAAAGATTAAAGGTGATTCTCTCTCTCCCTCTGCTCACCCTCCCCACCCACAGCCCTCTCTGAATTCTACAGATCAGCCAAATTTGTGCACAGTGAATTCTGTGACATGCTGTGCAATCCTATGTATGCTTGCTTGCAAGTAATCCTCACTGTGTTCAATAAGGGCTTATTTCCTTAAAAAAAAAGAAAAAGAAAAAAGAGTGTGCATAGGATTTCAACCCAGCCCAAAAATAAAAAATGCTGAAAAGACAAGACAGAAATGGCAAGTTGCTTTTCAGCTGTGAGGGGCGGAAAACTCTGAAGAAAAAGAAGAAAACACCAACAAACCTTTTTAGTAACCATTCAGGAAGCTGCAACCCACACGATGTTATTCCCACACCATCCTCAAAAGGCCAGATGGACTAACAGCATAATCTCTAAATATGTAACTCCAAATGGAGGTGTTTATGTTGCTATTACAACAACACAGCAGGAAGCCTTACTGAGGGCTCCAGGATCCCAAACTAGTTCCTGTTAGTTCTTCAAGCCCAACACTTCACAAATCACTCCATCTCTTTTCAGAGTTATCAGCTTCCAGTTCTGTCCAAGGCAGGCTTCTTTGCCTTGTTGAAAATGCAGTAATTTCAGGACACATGCATGTTATCTAGGTACCTGATCTGAAGAGTCTGGAGGTTGGAGGAGGGATAGCTCTTGCTTTTGTGCAGAATACCTCCACCACCAAAGAAAACAAAAATGAGGAAATGTAGGACTGAACAGGTATTAATCTAATTTCCCATGAGTTGCTCCCAAACTGACAATTGGGGTGTGGTGGGGGTGGGATCCCTTGCAGATGAGAGACTGTCAGCCTCTCTAGGCTAAATGACAACATGTACATAATGACCTAATTTTTCAAAATGACTAGTGAATTGGAGGCAAAGTAGGCTTTCTGGGGAACTATGAAAGGATTTTCAGATGGTGCTTTGCTCTATTATTATATTCAAAGAACAGACACTCAGCCCAGCGGAGATTCAGCTTGATTGGTCCAATATCAAGGCATTTTCTAGAATGTAATTGCTTGGTAAATGGAGCAAGATGGCAATGGAGAAATGAACAAAGTGCTAGGTTCTCTTTGCACTAAACCTTCAGCTCATCACCATAGCATCTTGTCCAATCGTTGACATTATTTTCACCAAGTAGAGAGCCCATTGTTGCTGTATGAAAGTAGCAGCACCAGTTAGCTTCCCCGATTCCATCATAAGAATATAGGCTGCTGCCTTATAATGAGCCAGACCATCTAGCACAGTATTATCTAACACCGACTGGCACCAAATTTTCAGGTTCTCAGACAAAAGTCTTTCCCAACCATACCTGGAGATTGGACCTGGAACCTGTTGGATGCAAAGCATGTGCACTATCATTAAACTATCAGCCTCACCACTTCCTTCAAACAGTTTGTATTTGAGAGCTAAATGGCAATTGTTCTTGGTGCTGGAGCCAACTCTCCAAAATAATAATAATAATAATAAACCATCTACCACCACTCTGAATCAGTACAAGAGACATAAGCCAGAAGCGAGACTTACCTAGAGTAGGGTCATAATCACCAATAAATCGCTTAGTGATGAATCTCACTGTCAAAGCTTCATTGGAAAAAGGAAAAGGAAACATGATTAATGGAATAAACCAATACAGAAATAACAATAGTCTACAACAGCCTCCCACAACCTGATGACCTCCAAAGGTTTTGGACTACCATCCCCCTCAACCAGCATGATTCGTTGTTGTCAGGGATGGCATCTAGAGGACACCCAGTTGGGAAAGCCTCACCTAGAGAATATCAAAGCACACATGACCAAGGAACTGATCAGTGGGTGAGTCTTAAGGACAAGACATATGACTGTTGGCGGGAGGTTTTGGGGAAAACAAATGAAGATAATGAAAGGGGTGCACTTCCAGGTGATGGGCTGGAATAAACAAATGCATTCTCTCTCTCTCTCTCTCTCTCTCTCTCTCACACACACACACACACACACACAGAGAGAGAGAGAGAGAGAGATGCACTTTCTTAGAAGCTTCCCACATGAAAACTGAAGTGGAATTTACTTTTGAACAAAGTCCTGTGAGCTTATACAACTCCAAAACACACATAGTGTCACAATGAGCATTTCAATGAGCATTTACTTCGGAAGTAAACAGGTAGAGGCAGCAAGGTGGTGGATAGAAAAGGCACCAAAGAACCTGTAAGTGCCAGATTTCCTGGGCTCCAAACTCTCTTTTGAGCAGCTTGGAATATTGCTAAGCACAAGAAGCACAATGGTGGCTCATTCTCCAAAACTCAGGAACAGTCAGGGGTGGAATGCGGTGGGCAGAAAGGAATGTGTGAATGCTACCAGGGGAGCCATGTGGAGGCTCACTGCACAGTTCAATCCAGCGCTCCCACATCCTTTAATCTGGAGCTCTTCCAGGAACAGCGTGTAGAGGTTAATCCTGACATTGGATCTGCCAACCAGTGTTTCTTAAAGCACATGAAGGGAAGTAGCCATCATTCTCTCTCTCAGATACAATATTGTCTCTCTCACAGAGACAATAATATGCAAGAATGAGCCATGCCTCTTCTCAAAAAGCTAGCAAAAGCCTTCTCTGTAACCCACCCAACACCTAAAGTTAAAATATGGAAGTGTGGCCTCAGAAGCAGCAAAACACCAAGCCGAGACAAATAACATCAGGGTGGGGAAGGGGGTACAAGTCGAAGCCTGCAGTGAAGATACAGCATACCCTCTCAAAATGAGGGTGGGAAGAGTATTTCGAATGAGGGCGAGAATGGACAAGGCAAAGTTGTCAGTGCAGGAAACCGCCTTGACTGCACGTAGCCTGCAGCCCTTCTCTTCCCTGCTCTGCAAGCTAACCAGATGCCTTTGACAGCGAACATGCCACACTCGTGACACACACACACACACCCCACAGCCTTTATGCCTGGGAATCTGTACCCATCACTCTGGGGAGAACAGGAGGAGATATTTTGGTTTGACCCTTTGCTTGTCCCCGAGGGAGTTTGCCTTCTTTCCTACTACACAATAGAAGAGTGAGTCATGAAAACTTAAGGTCTTCTTTCCATCATTATAGCTGGGTAGGCAGAGGGAGCAAAAATAAAACCATTTGGAGATAATTTTTATTTTCTCATGTGCACCCACTCTCTGGTCTGTCTAAAAAGAGTGTGATGTGGGATCATCTTATACACCAGGGTAATGGAAAACCTTTCATCTGGGATACCTTGCTTGCCCCTAAATTTCAAATCCCTTTTGTGCTGGATTAATTTGGTGCAAAAGGCATCTGCTGAAGCAGTAATTTGGCCCAATAGGGTCCTTAAAATATTGTGGTTCTCTAGTCTTTCTGCTATTGTCTTATCTCCCAGCATATAAGAGATTCAAAGCTATAAAATCTAAGTAAAAGTATAAAATGTAGGTAACTTACAAAGGAAATAAGCACTGGACCCATCAGAATAACAGTTTCCATACACTCTTTTTTTAAAGAAGGGGAAAAAAGGACACCATAATTTGCACATAATTTGCCTTGTGTGGGCAGCTTTAGTAATCAGGAGTCCTTTCATATTCCATATAGCTCATTCTTCTAAGTTTAGGGGTAAGGAAAAAAGTAAACACACACCACAGACCAAACTATCACTTACAGCCTGAGAGAACACAAAGGACTGGATTATCCAAGCACTGGTTATCCTTCCAAGTACACATTCAGAGAACTCTGTACAGAACAGCCAGCCAGCCGGAGGGAAGAGTTGCAGACAAAGATAACACACAGGGTTGGGAGGTTAAAGAATGTAGGTGGTTTTGGCAGAGGCTGAGAGAGGCAGAAAAAGAGATGGGTGGGCTCCTGTTTGTGAAAGGGAGATGTGGTTATAGCCCAGACGAAGCACAAACTCTGTGGGTCCCCATCATTTAGGGAGTAACTTTAGAAATAAGGTTCCCATAATGAAAGAGCTACGGTAGCTGCACGGTGTTTGTTTCTGAGCCAAGGACAACAGAGCCTAGAAATTCAATTGAGAAAATGCTAATAGGACCCAAAAGCATGTTAAGATCTTGCACGCCCTCGTATTTTAAGGTCCATCTATACACAGACAAGACCAGTTGCCAGCAGAGGTCTACTTAGATGGCATACAATCTGCTTCATTCACACATCAGGTTTGGACAGTAATAGCTTGGGATGGAGCTTTTCCAGTAGCAGTCCCAAAGCTTTGCATCCTCCGTCCCACAGAGGTTATGCAACTGCTTACATTGCTGTCCTTTTGGAAAGGTTGTAAGACTTCTTGTTTCGTCAAGTTTTTTTGGTCAGTTGAGGTTCAACGTTTCCTGCTCAATAAACCCTTGTTCATTAAGCGAGGAGAAAGCGCTGGGGGTGTATGCTTCCCCCCACTCCTCATAATCATCCTCCAGGATAAAGCTGTGGCTTTGGATCCTAGTTGGTAAGTCAATATTAAAACACAGTCCTCCCATTTAAGACATGAACACAGTCCCCCCATTTAAGACATGACAAGACTAGGATCACATCATCCAAGTCAGTGGAGGAGGTCAGGATGCAAAGGAGGAGTGTACAGACCAGACAGCTATTCCTGGCTTACAAAACCATGGTTTAGGGAGCCAGGAATGTTATACAGTGAGTGCATCTGAAAAGGCCATACATGTTTATTATATGTTTTAACGTTGTTATTAATGCTTTTGTCTTTCAGAGGATTTTTTTGTAAACTGCTTTGGTGTTTTTGAAAAAGTGGTATAAAGATGTTTCACTAATTATATATATATACAGTATATATTTAAAAAGCCCCACAAGATGTAGCAATAGCCACCACCTTGCATAGCTTTAAAATGAGTTTAGACAAATTTTTAAAGCCGGGATGTCAAGCGTAGGAGGCACAAGAAGGGTGAGTGCCATTGTGCTCATGTCCTGCTTTTGTGCACCCCATTAGCATTAGGTTGGCCACTATGAAAACAGGATGGTGAATTAGATGGGCCACTGGGCTAATTCAGCAGGGCTACTCTTAATATTTTTAGGGCTCATGTCTTGTTCAATTTCAAAACTTTTCTGCAGGTAGTCAGAGGTAGAAATATCATTGGTTTTATCCCAAATGTCCAAAGGCACATTAAAAAAAAGGTGGTGATGGTTATTACGCTCTCCTCATGCAGCGGGCCCTGCCCTTAGGTAGAGGGAAGCAGCTGCCCCAGGGAGGTGACTTTTGAGTGTCGTGGAAGGGCAGAAAATTGTTAACAAAGCATTGGCTGTTACTCTTGTTATTCCTCAAAACTGTGCTGCCAGGGAGGGGGAGAGGTGTTTGTGGGACAGTCACTAGTGAGACTTTCTGCCTCAAGTACCAAAATAATCCAGCTGGCCTTGGATACCACACATCTTACCTAGGGTGGATGAGCAGGACACAATTTGTCACAATACCACGGACTACCAGAGGTAGAGATATTAAGGGTATGTACTGGATGGACTCAGCAGATTGACATTTTCTCCACAAAAAGAAAAGAAAAAGGAACACAACAGCCTCAGGAAATGTCAGGACATGTCAATCTGCTGTCCTTTCTAGGTAGCACAGAGCAACACCAGCAACAATTCCTCACAAAAGCTGCCAAAGGTTCTTTTTGTGAACCCAAGAATGCATAATGTACTGTAATGGGTTTTATTTATTGTTTTATTAGTGCATTTGTTATGATTAGTGGATTCTACAGCACCCTAAAATCCAAAATGGAAGACAGGCAGTATAAATTTGTTGCTGTTTTTAAAAGTAAATATGAAACTGGCTGGAAGGAAGTGACTCATCACCAGATTAATCTTTCTTCCATCCAGAACACCGTGTCATACATCTGCATATATAGCTCAATATTTAACATGATCCTCTCCACAGATAAGAAATGTGCAGTCACGAATTCATTACCAGAGAAATTGGTGCTAACACATCATGTGAAAAGATACATTAAAAATCAGGGCAGCAAAGGGCATACATCACCGTTACCAATTCACACATATCACTGGGTTTGTTTGTTTGTAAAAAAAGCTGTAATAGATGTTGGCTTAAGCAAGATTTCTTATTAAGAATGAGACATAAATCTGTATCCGTGATTGCCCTCATCTATGAAGCAGCTACAGGTATGGGGAGCCAATGGGCAGGAACAAACATCTTGCCTGGCCCAGGAATACCTGCAGGAGCTTTTCCTTCAGGACTTTGGGTTTGAGGGGATCTTGGTGACGTGCCCTCTAATAAGCCTTCTCACCTGTAAGGCTGGGCTCTGGCAGAAGCTCTAGTAGCCAGTCCAACCAGCATCAGGCAACTGAGTCTGCAAGCTGCCATTTTAAACAGAGTTATGTGGCACAGTGGGCACTGACCGAAATCAGACAGTGCTGACCTAAAGCACTGGATTTTTCATTTTCTAAACATTTCATTTCTAATATATACAAAAATACATGGTAAAACCAATATATAATATCAGGGCCGGCTTAATAATGAGCCACGGTGAGGCAGGTGCCTCAGCGACAGGATGGGAGGGGCGGCAAGATTTGGATCAATTCAAGATGCTACAGAGCACTTGGCAGACTTTGCTCACATAAACAGTGACAGGATGGGCACTAGGACCCAGGAGCAACCTGGAGTCTATCAAGGAGAGGATTGGTTGACCACTAAACAAGGTCCAGGACATGCCCAGCAGAGTGGCAGCTAAAGTGACTAATAGTTAAGCATCTGCTCAGGCAGTCTGCTGGCATAAGGAGGCTGCAGGCAGCGCCTTTCCAGCCAGGGGAGCTTCTCTGAGCTCCTTTTATTTCTCATATTGTCTTTTATTGTTTTGAATTCTATGGAAATGCAATGTATAAGAAGTAAACAAAGCAATCAAATGAAAATGAAAATCAAACAGCAAAGCACATTACGATTGCTACAACAGACAGAAATGTTATTAAGTGGTCCATAAAGACCCTCAGCAATTTTCAAGTGGTCCTTGGGGAGGTGGAAAGTTTGGGATGTTTGGGACTGTGGGGGCTCTCAATTTTGGAGGGCCTTTGAAACATGCTTTTAAATACTACATGGAATTCATTGTTGAACATGGAAAAGGGGCTGATCTGTTGAGAAGGGTTAAAAACATTGTCAAGCTGGAGTTACCACGAGCAAGAGACAAGGGAAAATACAGTTACAAATATGAAGAAGAGCCGCGGAAGGGTCATGGAAGAGACTTGAGGGCCTCGGACATAAGGTTGCCAGGTTAATGGGCTAGATTGACGGGAATAAGGACTGACAAAACCCGGAACCAGGAGGAAGGGACGCTGGATGAAGATTGGATCTGTTTATACCTCTTTTTTCTACTATTAGAACTGTTTTATAAAATTGATGAATGATAGGAAAATGTTGGAATGAAAATACTTGGCTTTAGCAAAGATGTTTAAAGAATTATGAAAGAATATTATGATTATGAGAAGTTGGTAAGGATAAGATTTAAGTTTTAAGTGTTAAGGTTTATTTTATTATAGAAAGATAAGGTCAAGGATTTGCTGGGATAATTAATAACTAGGATACAAAGAAAGGGAGGAGGAGGTCTAAGAAAGAAGGTAATGACAGTTAAGGATTTGAAAATAATGAATTTGTTTTTAAATGTTTTTAAAGTTTTGTGATTTTTGCACTCTTCTTTTTTTCTGTCATTTTTTTCTCATTTGGAATTTTTTCTTATAACTATTTTTATTCTTTGTATTCTCTTCCGCTTCTATTTTATTTTTTTTTATTTTTTGTAACATTCTGAAAATCTCAGTAAATATCTTTTTTTTTAAAAAAAGAAAGTTTGGGACCCACTGCCCTAAAGAACTGACCCACCACCAAGAATGGCCAATCATGTATCATCAATTATGTTTCTGCCCTTCTCACTTTATGTGCTTGCTGAAGGTAATATGCTTTCCCCCCGGCTTTAGTGGTAGAAGTGGGATTTCATGGGTAACATTTGAACAGAGATTGTGAATTTATGTTTCTCCTCACAAATTCCAAAGTTATAAGTGAGAAATATGATTCATGCAGCAGCAACAAGAACACCCCTTGAAACCAGACAGCCCAAACTTGGTATTTGTTTTTAGCATTTGCAAAAAAAGTAATTTATTTATGCTTACTCTGTTTTGCCCTCCAACGGGAAGGCCCATGGAGACTAACAATAAAACATACATTAAAAATGTGCAAATAAACTACGCGGTGAATAAAAATATTGAACACAATGTGACATTGCAAGAAATTGAATACATTTGCTGCGCTTTCATGACAGCTGCCTGAGGCAGCTGCTTCACTCTGCCTAACGGTAAGGCTGGGCCCTGGGGGAAGTTCTGGATCAAGAGACAACCCCAATGGCAAGCTGCGTGCTCTAAGAAGTCAATTTGGAAGCAAGGGAGGATGCAGATATTCACCTGGTGGTGGAAACTAGATAAAGGGGAGCCCCCAAACCCCTCATTCCCCACAATTGCATCACCACAATATTCTGCCCTATAGAAAGGTATATATTCAGTCTTGACGGTATGGCAGAGCAAAAAGAGGACTCAAAGGAAAACATCAGGGTGAGGAGGGTCAGGCTTAGTTCGAAAGCAATTTCTAGAAATAGCTATGAAATGACAACCCATGGAGTGCCATATTACAGGTGAGTAAAGCAACAAAATGCAGCAGCCTGTAATTACTTGCATCTTTTAAGGATTTCACTGGCAAAGGGGAAGACAGTGGAACAAATCAATCTAGAGTTCTGGGAAGTGCCTGCTTCGATAGCAGGAACTGGGCAGACTCCCAAAGCTAAAGTGCATGGGTCTATATTAAGAACCCAATTAAACAGATTAAAAATGTCAAGGGGGAAAAACACACAACAACAGAAGGCCCTATTACAAGGAAGGAGTCAAGGCCAGAGAGGCGGAGGTTGACACGGAGACCAGGCCCAACTATTCATCTTGAACATGAGCAGAATTTGCTGCAGGTAACATTTAAAGAAAGTGTGGTGTGGGCGCTGATGGATAAACCAAACACTTCATGGTTTTAGAGGCAGATCAAGCTGGGGTGCCTTTATAAAATGAGGAGCCTTTACAGAGTAGATTAGCTTTGGTGACTTACTTCTGTTCCCTTCATCCTACTCTCAAGAGCTCCAGGCAGGTGAAAAAAAACACCTTAAAAATATAATAAATCCAACTATCTAAGTTATATCCTATTACCAAGAGCCTCATAATAAACGAAAGCCTGTTGAAAGAGATCCTTGTGGTTAGATCAAACTAGTGCCCTTAGGGTTGCCAAGTTGCAACTTGGAGCTTCTTCTGCTCACCCTCCCCACCTGCACCCCATCCTTGTACTTCTCCAAACAAAGGTCTGGTCATGTCAGACTCTTATGCACACGGTTAAGAAAAATCCAATGATTCTGGGAAAAGTGCCGAGAGAGAGAGGGTTTCTGCAGCAAAATAAGTCCTGCTTCTGGAACTAATGGAGAAGATTCAAAGGCCCACTGGCAGGGCTCCTTGAAACTTGCTTGCCAAGACAGGTAGGGCCAAGGCAGGCCCACCCATGAGGCAGGGTGAAGCAGCTGCCTCAGGTGGCAGAAATGGAAGAGGCTACCCACACCAGCCCTTGCAAAGTTTGCCCCACCCTGCCCCCACCCACACATGGCAGTGCGTCTTTAGAAGACAGCTTTGAAGACTGAAAGCATATTTTTACTAGGAGTCAAATGCAGTAACAGTTATTAAAAACTGTTAGATAGAAATTTGTTACAAGTTAACATGCCATTTAAAAGCTACTTACAAGTCCAGTCTTTATGTATGACTAAACCTTTTCAGCTAGAGCATTTATTGGCTAGACTAGGCTTCCTCAACCTCGGCCCTCCAGATGTTTTGAGACTACAGTTCAAATCATCCCTGACCGCTGGTCCTGCTAGCTAGGGATCATGGGAGTTGTAGGCCAAAAACATCTGGATGGCCAAGGTTGAGGAAGCCTGGGCTAGACAATGCAGTGATGCCATTTGACCGATAACTGGGTAGCCCTGCGCACCTATCAAATTTCACTTGTGGAGTCAAAAAGGTTACCCACCCCTACACTAGCATTTTTATAGGGAACAGCTGATCCGACTGATGTCTCCGCTCCACAGATCAAAGCATCCTGCATGGTGGTGAAATTCATATAGACAGAACCTCAGTTCTGCCTGTAGTTTAAGCAATGAGATTGAGAAAAAAGTTTTTAAGTGGGAAAGTTGTAATTGGGTCAATATTTTGAAGTAAGAGCAAATCCTTTTCCACTTGAGTTACTCTGACAGCTTTAGATTTACAGTTCATAATCTAGTCTTTATTTTTGCTTGTCTGTAAACAAGGTCTCCAGGTGGCTTGCAATTACAAAACTGACAATAAAACATCTATAAAATCAAGTGGTGTTAAGCAGCAGGTTGCTTTTATCCTGGAGTTTCTGTAAATGTTCATCATGCATCGCACCTCTTTCCTACATCATAAATGACCAAGTGAATCAGGCCTCCATCTCAGTAAAATAAGGTATGAGCAGAGACTCGCACTCTCCCCACGGCTCCTAGACAATCCAATTCTATGCTCCAGCCATGAGAAAGGCTTATTCCACATTTCTAGACAGCCTGTCTAAGTGTAAATTGCCATAACCAGTACTGGTTTTAGAAAGTCTTAGTATTTTTCTCTCTCTACCACTACAAGCTACAATTCAAACAAATGTCAGGACAGGGGCGTAGCTGAGTGAAAGAGTACGTGCTTGGCATGCAGAAGGTCCTACTCTCAATCCTTGGCATCTCAGTTAAATTTATCTGTGATGGGAAGGCAAAGAAAGATCTCTAGCTGAGACCCTGGAAAGATACTGCCAAACACAGTAGATCATATTGGGCAAGATCATCAGTCAAACACCTTTTCAGACCTTCACCTTTAGTCCAAACATGCATTTTGGAAACCACTTCCTGATTATTATTGGGGGAGGGGCATGTATTTGTATGGTAGTGCTGCAGATGTTGTGATCCACCTTATGGATCCACCTATGGTTCGGTAATGATCCCCAAGGGGCATGGGCATAGCCAAGGGGGGTGGAGGGGCAGCTGCCCCCCTAGATCAAGTAAAACAGTAGAAATACTTAACTTGACCAATCCCATCGGTTCTGCCCTCCCCAACAAAAAACCTGGCTACGCCCATGCCAAGGGGCAAGTGGGAGTTGGAATCCATAAGTTCCCCATTCCTGGGTTGAAATCATAAAGAGTAACTGATTTACACTGCTAAAATTGACTGGTGAGAATGTCCAGGTTGACCACACTTCTCCGCTTCCTAAATTCTTTGGGATTTTCTACTTTTTAATTTTTCAAACATTCTAGATTTCCCCCTTGACTAAAGTATCTGCAGATCCACCCCATACATTTAAAGTGAATCCAATGCACATATAAAGCACAAGGCTTGCCCCCAGAGAATCTTGGAACTGTAGTTTCCCCTTCATACAATTCCAAGTACCTTTAACAAACTACCATTCTTGGGATTCTTTGGGGGAAGTAATTGAATGAGCTACATGTTCAAGTGACAATAGTAGCAACTGCACTTGCCGTCTGCTATTTATTTTTTTGAAAGATCTCACTTGCAATTACTCACTAGTAAGAACTTTTATGCAGAAGAGTCTGTTCAATGCTGCAAGCAAGCAGCTGGGCAGGCGATGAGAATACACACAGTGGCTCTACCCAAGAGGAACCTCTTGCTGATTCAGGACTTTATGACGTTCAATGTGGTTTATGGGAGCAATGCAATGTCTAGCTTCTTTCTGTGAAATTCCTTTTTACTCTCCTAGTCTAAAAGTTCAACGACTGCAACTCCTAGGGAGACATGCTTCAACACTTGTGTACAGTATATGCAATATGGGGATTTGCAAAGGTGAATAGAGTACGTGCTGTGGATTGCCTCCCTTAGTGGTGAGCAGCGCACGCTGCTGTTGCCAAATTATCTGTTTGGATTGCCTTTTAAAACAAAATGACTGATCACTCCCATTACTGAAACCCATATTGGCTGTGAGTCCAGGAAGACCTGCTCCCTGCCTTGCTGGCATTTTCCATGTGGACTGGGAGGGCCAGCTACAAAAGCTGAGGCCACTGAAGGGGGGTTTGTAGGTGGGGAGCGTTGTTGCTGTTATTAATTTTTTGTATCTGCTTATGATTTACATAGAAATTGTTCAGTTTGGTTGTTTACTTTTTGATGTTTTATTTTTGTTTTGTTGTTTGTAATTATGTAATCCTTCAAATATTGTAAGCTGCTTTGACCATAGTTTTAACAGGCATACAAATCAAATGACTGACTGGCTGATTAAAATGAGCCTTCTTCCCATATTTATATACTGATATCAAAATACAGAGCTCAGCTAAAATGTTAACTTTAATTGATAAGGATAAAATGCAGTTGAAAAGGTGTAAGTATAAACCCTGCGGAAGGGTTTATGAAACCATGTAACTATTTGATGAAGATTATTCACCATGGGACGTGGGTGGCGCTGTGGTCTAAACCACAGAGCCTAGGACTTGCCGATCAGAAGGTCGGCGGTTCGAATCCCTGCGACAGGGTGAGCTCCCGTTGCTCGGTCGCTGCTCCTGCCAACCTAGCAGTTCGAAAGCACGTCAAAGTGCAAGTAGATAAATAGGTACCACTCCGGTGGGAAGGTAAACGGCGTTTCCGTGCACTGCTCTGGTTCGCCAGAAGCAGCTTAGTCATGCCGGCCACATGACCCGGAAGCTGTACGCCGGCTCCCTCGGCCAATAAAGCAAGATGAGTGCCGCAACCCCAGAGTTGGCCATGACTGGACCTAATGGTCAGGGGTCCCTTTACCTTTACTATTGTGAAAATGTTTGAAAAATGTAATAAAAAATTACACCACCAAAAAGGTTAACTTTAATTGTTCAACTTTTTTTCAAGCTTTCCTAATTAAAGCCAACAATTACTGTTGCTGTGTGGGTTCACTGTACTTGTTTTACATGCATGTATGCTCCAAGTAACTGTCACAGACAACAGATTTTGCGTTGCATTGTTATTTGATTCCAACACCTGCTCTCCCCCCCCCCCCGCACCCTTTACACCAATGTATAAGCACCTATCCACTGAGATTGCATCTGATGAAATTGACTCTAATCCGCAAAATCTTAAGCCATAATAAATATGTTGATCTCCAGGTTGCCAGAAGTTATTTCTGTTGCAACAGACTAACATGACCACCCCTCTGAAAGTTCCAAATTAAAGTGGTACATTTTCATTTACATCAAAGAAAGTAACCTGCTATTCAACTTCTGGCACTCTATGGGGAAGCGGACAATTTTATTAGGGCATCTTCAGCCAAAGCACTGAAACCTGCATTGGCTATGATTAGGGAAACCACATTGCATCTGCAGTGAATTGTGAAGTTTCCTTCCTTCCTGAAGCAAGGGAAATTAATCGGAAAGGAGCACTCTTTGAAACCTAACACTGGAAACCTGGTTGTATTTTCAGCCTCAGCATGTTTTCCCAGTTTCATCAGGAAATCTTATATATACTAGTTTAAAACTTCATGATGCCTGTATCTTCCGTGCCACACTCAGGGGTTATCTGCTGCTCAAGGATGGGGAGAGCTGTCAACAATAAAATGTTGGCAAACTGGGCCATCCTTAGGACAGATGTGAAAGGTCCCTTCAGCTGATCAAATCTTCACACAGGACGAGGAACACAAGGGGCTACTTGCTGTTGGGAAGGGAAAGAATGAACTTTTCAGGGGGCTTTGGAGACCTAGACACTGTAGGCCAGGAAACCAAGGGGGTAGCAAAACAAATAAAGCTGAGGAGGCAGGCAGTGGCAGACCCACATTTTGGGGGTCCTGAAACTCGAACTGTCATGGGGGCCCCTTTACAACCAGCAACAAGGTCTGGCTAACCACTGCTATCTTCTTCAACATCTGGGGTTGTTCCATGACAGATCATCACACCTTTACAACATCCGTGCAACTGACTCTCCAACTTTATATATTGATTATATATATATATAATCAATTTGAGTCATGCCACTCAAATTGGGTCTGCTAGACCCAAATGTTTTAAGCAGTGCGGACTAAAGTTGCTTTAGTTGCTTTGCTGGGGCCCCTCTAGGATTAGCCAAATCTAATTTGGCTACCAACACCCAGAACTAATTTCACAGGGCATTGCAGCGAGTAGGCACTGAAGGAGAAGCCCCATCACACGTCTTGCGCTGATGGGACTCGCTAGCTGAATTCCACCCTTTGGTGTGGACACATTCTTATAGGGCTGCTTAATTTAACATCATTGCTTTGACAACTAGTGGAAATCTAAGCCTACCATTATAAGTGACTCCTTTGAGGTAGCAGTTGGAAAGAGAAAAGGCCCTGTTAAAGATTAAAGAGACAACCTGTACTTGAACCTCACTTTTTAGCCCGCAACAAATGTCCACAATGGGAATCTCAGAATAACAATATATGTATCATTTTAATAATACTTTGAGTGCTCAAATAACTTCACCATGCTCCCGAGCTGACTCAGCCCCCACAATTTCCCCCGTGCCAGCTATTTGTGAAACAGAAATCAGCTATGTTGCAGTCAAACTGTGCAACACACACATCCATTGTGTCTGGATCCTTTGCCAAGCAGCATGAAAAGCAACAGAAGTGGAGTCCTCTTGTGCAGCCTCTGGATGAAGAGAAATACTATACTCACCAGGGGAAACTGTGGGGTGGCATTTTCAGAAATAAGTGTTTTGATTACATACATAGTATAAAGTGGAGGGGGTTAGTGGGCGCCTGGGAAAAATACAAACCTGCTACAAAAGAGCAAATGTTAATGACAAAGCCTTAGGTGATACTTCTTTTTGGAATGAAGTTCTAGGAAAACAGTACCGGGAGATTCTCTGCATCGTCATGTTATGTTAGCTTTGTTCATCTTAGAAACTCACCCAAGTGATGGAGGACTAGGAGAGGGGCTGGCTGTGGCTGAGGACATCCTAATGAACATGAAATTAAATAGGATATAAACTGGTATGCCCAGGGCAAGAGCCTTCTTCAAGGGTTAGACATTGCCCTTTTGTCAATACTGGTGATCTGAATGGTGAGAGTTAATTTGTTTTAGTCCAGAGGAAACAAACCAAACATGTATTGATGATGTCATGTATCGTCTTGCATTTTCTTTGTTCTTGTTAACATGCTATGTTGTCTTTTACTGAGCAACGCTGGCAGCCACAAGCGTTTAACTCATCTCTTGATAGGGGAGGGGTATTGTGAGTTTGGCTGGATTGAGCCCTGTGCATGAGTACTCAGGAAGAAGACTTTTTTTTCAATTGCTTGTGGGTTATTTTCCTGAACAGGAACCGGCCAGTTTATGGATTCTGACTGGATGCCAACAATGGACAGGCACAGAAGGATGAAGAGGAAAAGAGCCACTGAGAGTTTCTAGCTAGAGTTAGGGCCAAACTACATAGGATATTAGTAGTTTAACATAAGCTTGCTTACCCTAGCTGCTGTTACTTTGGAGTTACAGCAGCTGGGAATCCTTATCTAAAGAGGTGCTCCTGATCCAGATCCCATCACCTACTTGGCTGCTATTTGCCCACTGGTTTTGTTTGCAGTAAACATCACATTCAATGACAAAAAGCAGCCAGGAGGGAGCAATTTCCAGGAGAACACAAGTGCAGGGTCTTCATCTAAACTAAGAGCACGATCAGGATGGAGGCATTGCGGTTTCTTTTTCCTCCAAAATGAAAGCACTGAAGTCTTATGTAGCTTTTCCTAGTTATCTGAAAAACTGGAAGTGCACAGATCTCTGAGAATCTGCTATGCCTCTGGGAATCTGCTATTTGTTTTCAGGAGTCTGCTTGCTTTCAACTATACTCTAGTTGTACATTTGTAAATAAAGCATATATTGCAAAGGCATCTTTTGTCTCCAGTGCTCTTTTATCCAAAGAAATTACACCCCAGAACATCCCACTGCACAGGGAAATGTGCAACATGCCTATATGGGTCTGTTGAAACAACCATCTAGCGGCGAATTGTATGTGTGTGGCGGGGGTGGGGGATGGGATTTCAATGTCCTTTCAACCTGCAAAAGATCTTGATTTTTTATTTATTTTATTTATTAAATTTATATACCGCCCTCTCATCACAAGATCTCAAGGCAGTTCACAGAATAAAATACAAGGTAAAAACACAAGTGAATAGTTAAAACAGAAACAACAAAACAATAACCCTTGCTTCCCACAGACACATTTAAAAGGCTGTAGAATATTAATCAGCCAAAGGCCTGGTTGAAGAAGAATATTTTCACTTGGCACCTAAAATATATATAATGAAGGCGCCAGGCAAACCCCCCAGGGGAGAGCATTCCACAAATGGGGAGCCACTACAGAAAAGGCCTGTTTTCGTGTTGCCACCCTCACATGGAGGAGGCACACGAAGAAGAGCCTCAGATGATGAACACAGAGGGACAGTATTTCGATATTGAGGTCCTGAGCCGTTTGATCCTCTGAATGAAAAAGCTGCTTTGTAAATGCCCTTCCTTTTGATCTCCTCCCATGTTTGAACACATGAAAGAAGCTGAAGGAGGCATTTTCCTCTTTCACACATCATTTTACAACTTTCTCGATGTCAACAAGGGGTGGGGGCACATTTTGTAGGAAGTACTCTGAGAACAATTAAGTTAAGTCAGAATGTCCCATTTCAATTCCCTCCTTGGTTATAAAACTCAGCGGGTGGGCTTAAGCATGCCGTAGGTCTCTTAGCCTAACTTCATGGAGAACCAGGGCAGCGCAGCAGATAAGAGTGTCTGACTTTGCCCAATCCCTGTCTCATCATGAAGCACATATGGCTTTGGGCCATCCTACCCAACAGGGTTGTTGTTTAGGAAGACACGGCATATATGCTTCCCTGAACCAAGGGTGCTATCAAGACATGGCTTTGAGACAGACGTCCAGGACCCCACTCAGCACAATGAGCAGAAGCCTCCCGCCCCGAATGCAGCAGGACTGGCTTGTCACATTTTGAAGTAATGCACATCATTGTCTAAAGAGGTTGTGGTACATGAAACCATTAAGTCCGGAGTCTAAAACAACACAGCTGCACCACCGCCCTGCACTCCCCTGAGGATGAGTGGGATTAAATGACAAAAGTAATTAAAGCAAGAAATGCAAGGCAATATGCACACTAAGCCAAACTGTAGCCCACTACTGGGCAATTTCTGGTGGGCTATCTGAGGTTTCCCTGTCACTGGGAGCCTGGTAAAGATGGCTGGATGAGGTGAGCAGCACAGTGGCAGTCCCACACAAACCAATTACTCCTTGACTGTTAAAACAGATGTTGACTAGGTGATTTTGCTTTGCAAGTTTAACATATACATCAACTGACGCCTGGGGAGTCTATCTGAGGCATGGAGAGCCTGCGACCCTCCAAATCAGCCTTTGCCAACCTAGTGCCTTCCAGGTGGTCCTTCACCAGGTACCGAGCTGAGACTCGGAGCAGGGGAAGTGGGAAGAAGGGCGAGCGGCCATGTCTTCTACTCTCTTTCCCCTACTGGCTCGGGCAGGTCCACAGGGGTTAAAGGGGCCACACTTTGCGGGGAAACGTCCGCGGAACCCCCACGTCTGTGTGACGGGTGGGGCTGCCCCGTCGAGGCGTTAGAAGTGTTCGTAAATGACAAGGGACCCTCTTTTCCAGCAGCAAATTCTGTTTGCAAGCGGGGAGTTTAACTTCTAGAGGGGAAGGATGAGAGAGCGGCAGCGGGACCCTCCCTGCTTTTTGCGGCTCAGTTTGGGGACTGTTGAGATTATTTTTTAAGGTGTTTTGGGGGGAAAGGAGGGCTTGTCTCAGAGACAGCGCCTTTTGTAGATCCGAGACCCAGGAAGAAGATCTTAGCCGAGCCGGAAAGTTTCTTCTTGGCGCTAATGGCGGGAGCGCAGCCTGCAGGGGACGATTTCTACGGGTTGGAAAGAGAGCGCTGCCGGCCGGCCCTCCACGTGGAGACGGAAGGGACGCGGGTTACCCACCCCGAGAGGGAAGGATCGGCGCTCGAGTGGCGAAACATCCCCCCTGCCCCCTGTGCTTAAGGACACCCGCACCCACGGGAGTGGACGGGACGGTACCTGTTTTGCCCACGGCGCCCTGTCCCAGCACCACGAGCCTCAGGGTCCGCGCAGAGCTCAGGCTGACGGATCGGCGCAAGGGCCGAGGGAAGCTCATGGCGAAGCCGGTGCGATCTTCGCGGATCAGTCGCCGCGATCTCCGCGCGCCTCGTCGGCTCCAGCTCCGCCGCGCCACTGCCCGGGCGAGCGCGCAGCAGTCCCGGTGGCGGCTCTCGCAAGAGCGCAGCGGCGAGCTCCGCCCAGGAGGGGGCTGGGGTGCGCCGCCGCTCGCTCCTCCCGGGGTCGCACAAGCGCCAAGTGCGAGAGAGGGAGACGCGGGGGAGGGGGAGAGTCCTCGCGGTCCCAGCGAGACCACGAGGTTGAACCCGCAGACAAGCCGCAAGCCTCAGAGAGCCCCAGAGGCCCTGGCCGCACTCCCGCCCCGGGCAGGAGGAAACGGAGGGGCTGCCGGCCGGATCTCTCCTGCTCCCTCCAGGGTCACAGGCAGGGCAGCTGAGGAAGGACTCCGGCCGTGACATCATCATCATCATCATCGGCGAAGGGAGCTGCTCTGCTCTCACAGCCCATCTCTGGGCAGCAGCAGCAGCAGCTGCCAGCGCGCCTCGCTCTTGCTTATTTGACTAAATGGTTTCCAGAGGGGTGGTGGTAGGTCAATTGCAGCCAAAACAATAAAAGAGTATTGTGGCCCCTTAGAGACTGGTCCGTGTGCGGCGCCCATGGGTGCACAAGTGCCCACAGGGCTTTCCGTGATGCCCGCATCGTTCCCTCCTCCTCACTTTGATTAGGCTTGAATAATTTTATTGTAGCTAATATAATAGGTCGTGCTGTGTGTGTAGCGCCCAGTGCAGTTTTCCCCATTTGCAAATGTGTCCAGGGGTCTGAAAAAGTTGATGATCTCTGTGGTGTATAAGCATACCATCAGATGTATGAAGTGTTATCCTAAATTGGCAGAAGAATGATAGGAGGTTTGAGGGAATCTGAATGCAAAAAGTGCAGACTGGGCTCTGGAATCCATATTGTTGGCTTTCTTTTGAGGGTCTTGGAGACCCTCATGGTAAAGGTTTGCACATTTCTCTTTCCCAGAAACATGTTCCTCAGGTATGTGTCAGTGTCCAACAAACAGCCTTTTTCACATGGTCACTTGCACACATTCCATTAGCCCTGGAAGCACATCTTGAAAGCCTGGGAGAATTAAAGAGAGAGCTGGAGAGAGAGTTCACCTGGTGCCAAAAAAAGAGAGTAAAAATTGGCTGCCGGGCAAACCTCTCTTAGGAGGGCATCCCACAGCAAACATGCTACCACTGATGGATGCTACCTCTCCCTAGGAGACACCCAAAACTATGCTAACTTCTAGGCAATCCTGGATTTAGCATCTGGAATGCCATAACTAACATCAGTATTGAGAGTCTGCAGTGGAATGCCCAAACCTGAGCCCTGTATGTGACAGAACATGGGCTGACCAATAGACCATAGGTTAGAAGTTGTATGTTGCCAGATTTCCCATGGCCAGCAAATGGCAAAATGGTCATTCAAACAGAACCTGTGAAACTTTCCCCCTTGTTGGACTCTTGTTCCTTTAATGGCTATATGACAAACAGAAATTAAATCAGGTGAAGCTGTTCCAGCAAGCAGATGCAGGAAAACTTCAGATGTCAAATTTCTGCTTTTCTTTGCAGGAGGTTTGCTGGAGGAGAATTTGACAGCCAGTGTGGTGTAGTGGTTAAGAGCGGTAGTCTCGTAATCTGGGGAACCGGGTTCGCGTCTCCGCTCCTCCACATGCAGCTGCTGGGTGACCTTGGGCCAGTCACACTTCTTTGAAGTCTCTCAGCCCCACTCACCTCACAGAGTGTTTGTTGTGGGGGAGGAAGGGAAAGGAGAATGTTAGCCGCTTTGAGACTCCTTAAAGGGAGTGAAAGGCGGGATATCAAATCCAAACTCTTCTTCTTCTTCTTCTTCTTCTTCTTTTTTACCTGGAAGAGATGGAAAGTGCTGCATATATCAGCAGTATCATCCAAAGTGTCCTTACTTGACTAAGATTTAAGGTAACTCAAAACTTCCCCTGCATCCCATAGGCTGAGCCCTAGTAGGCTGAAACAGAACAAGCTTGCTTCTTGCTGACTGATGAATTTAAAATTAGTTCAGAGAGCTTACCCCCTCAGTCCAATACTGCTGATCCTCCCAACTTGTGAAGAAGGAAACATCAAATGCTGCTTTGCCTTCCTTGGACCTAGAGGGAAACTGGCATCTCTGAAGATGGGAGTTCAGTGAGTGTTATGCAAATTTGCCTTGAAATGCAGGAGATAAATCACAAAGCCTAGGGAGGAAATGCAAGGCTTTTTTCCCAAGTAGAACCTGAATAAATGTTTCCAGCAGTCTGTTTCCAACAGAACTTCCTAAGAAAGAGAAAGGGGACAACAATAAATTTGCATCCAAAGTCTGAACATATTTTCTCCACTGAGGATTTGTAAAAGAGCTGGCAAGACTGATTTGGGTGGTTTTTTCCCTGGTGATGGGAGATGCAAGCCTGTTCCGTGCTTCTGCATACCTATAAGGAGCATAACACAGAGATTTCACCAGTGATCAGATCTGTGAGTTCCTAAATACATTTCAGGGCAAACTTGCACGATTTGTGAACCACCAAGTTAAACAAAGCCCATCAGCCACATTTCGATCTTGCATTTTGTTCTCTTAAGCTTGTCTTGGTTCAGTCCAGTAGTGCCATTTTTTAAAGCAGGGTGGGAAATCTGTGATGCTCCAGATATTTGCTGGACTCCAACTCCCACCTGCTCTGGTCAGCATGGCCAGTGCTCAGAGATTATGGGAGTTTTGTGGCCCAGCAACATCTGGAAGGCAACAGATCCCCCCCCAGCCTTGCATAAGGCATCACACTTCAGGAGAAGAACCTGAGAGCAGGAAGTGCCAACTTCTACTTCCTCAATAAATCATCCCCCAGCCAGGCACCACCTGCTTGGTTAACCGTATATGTAGCCTCTCAGCAAATTCTTTGTTGGAGAGAGTGTGCCTATGAAAGAAATCACAGGTGCATTTTTAGTTGTAGCCAGCTGGTCAATATTAGATTAATGCTGTACCCAAAAGGCTCCCCAGCCCTGGTCTCTACAACTCCGGATTCCAAAACATTACAAATGAATGTTCATCACACTTTCTTCCCCACTCCTGCCATTTCCCCCACTGCCCACAATCTTTCCCCTTTCCCGGTCTGGTTCCTTAAGCTGCAGTACCTCTACAGGCCTTTATAAATAAAATCAGGGACTTTGTTATTTTCTGAGGAGTGATGTGTCAAGCTGGGGGCAGGCATTCAGATCTTGGGCAAGTGAGGCACAAGACATGTGATACCAACCCTAGGCACATTTATTCAGAAGTGAGTCTTTAGCAAGAGTTTTGCTTCACTTGGGATTGCAGCCTTCAAGACTCCATCTTAAACACGTTGTAAATTGAGCTTTTAGTCTCTGTTTTTTAAACAAAAAGATTGTTGCCCGCCTAGCCTGGTCTATTGTAACTGAAAAGGACTCCCTCCTACAAAGATCCCTTTTGTGCCACTGGTATCCAAGAGACTGCCTCCCAGGGTTCCTGAATTTATTTATTTATTTTACTTTTGATCCCAGTTATCTGCATTGAGCTTGCATTCCTCCCGTCTCTGTAACCCTATTCAAGCAGCACTCTTGTTTAGGCAACCTTAGGATTTATCTAAACATTTCAGGTGCCCTCCAATCATTCCAATACATGGAGGGGGGGTATTACATTTCTTGTGGGCAGCGGATCCTTTTGCCATACAAAGGACAATGTGAATAAAGCAGACACTGAACAGACTGGGCTGAGAACCACAACAGCATGACATTTAGAAATGAAACTGACTCCCAGAGTTTCATAATTCTACCTCCAAGGGTTTTTTTCTTTTCTTTTCTGTAATGTAGCCTTTCTTTTGCCATGTAAGGTTATGAAGCACAGCATGGCTGTAACGGTGCAACATGGATTCTGTTTACAAAGCAGCACTGCTTATTTCTTTTAGCAACCTTGCTCCAGAAACTGACTGCAACATTTTCCTCCTCTTGCTCCATACACACACACACACCCTCTCCAACTTTGCACCGGGTGTTTAATAACGTGCACATATTTGTTTTTTACTATCCCCCTAAAAGGCAGCAGGAAGCCAAAGCAGAGTTCAATTCATCTTCAAATTCTGGCAGCCAGGGATGTGCCATGCGCACACACAAATGGACTAAAAACCCTGGGTTTAGAATTCAGACAATTGCTTTCTTTGCTGACATCATAGCCTGTATAGTTCTATGGAGGCAGGAGAGTTAGAGGAGGGTTAGAGCAGAGAATGTCAGAATTGATGGGGCAAGTATAGCCATTTTCAGATTGTATACCAAGAGGGAACTAGTCATACAGGGGTGGGGATGCTGTGGCCCTCCAGATGTTGTTGGACTCCAGCTCCCATCAGCGCCAGCTAGCATGGTCAATGGTCAGAGATGAATGGATTTGTAGTCCAGCAACAACTGAAGTGCCACAGGTTCCTCATCCCTGTGCATTGTGAAAACGTGTTTCTCTCTTTATGACTTTTTCCAATGACCCCAGAGTAGTGTACATAGTCCCCACCTCCTCCATTTTTTCCTTATAACAATCCTGTTAGCTAGATTGTGATGAGAGATGCTGACTGGCTCAAGTGATCTTCATGGGGGAGTGGGAATTTGAAGCTGGATCTCCCTGCCCTTAGTGCAGCACTCTGACCATGACAACACACTAGCTTAAACTGCATTATTAACATGTCTACCCACAAGGGAAGCTGCCTGTGGCATCTCTGCATGCTTTACCATTCTGGTCTTGCCACCATCCAGTCAGTATCTGCTGCAGGAGGTAAATCTGCTTCATCAGGACTGATTGGAGCGTTAGCTCACTTTTGCTGAGAAAATCGATGATCTGCTTTTGACCACCCCTGTGAGGGCTGTCTGTTGTGTCAATGAGCTAGTCACTGCTCTGGACGTCCCTCTTTCCAATCAGGGAATGTATCCAGATTGGTGATTCCTCCAGTAACACAGGGGACTGGCCTCTTCAGTCTCGAGGTCATCACATGCGACAGCAGAGCACGCATAAGCCCATTGTTCCCCATTTTCCAGCCACTTCTGGGTCGCCACAATGTGCACATCCATTGCCACACACATACTGAACCCATGTAAATTGGTCATTGCCTGTATTCTACCACATAATGTTTTATAATGCCTTATATCAGGTATTCTTCTATAACACACACTGGCTCTGTCCTATCTCCGTATGCAGCTTGTTCTGATGCTGCCAATAAAAGGGGAAAGAATCCCACCAGCATTTGTAGGGGTGGGAAATATCCTTGCTAGCCCCAAGAGGTTACAACAAAGGCAGCCTATTAGAACTTATAAATTTATCCTGCTCATTTTCAGAATCAGAAAAACAGAGAAGACAAGAGAGTCCTGAATTCCACTCCCAGTGAGGTAGCTATGGCTATTGATGCATTTTTATTAACATTTTGTCTAACACATTCATATAACTGTTATTTCCTTGTATTCCATCAGCTGACTGTTTTCCCAAACACAATATGAAGACTGGTTATATTTTGAGTATTATAAATAGCGATGACCCCAAACAACTTGCAAGTCATTTTCGAACCACTTGTAGTTTACATACTTCCCAGCTGTTTTCCTTGTACTGTCATTGGGAACAACTCAAAGCAGCTGTATATCACTGCAGATCTTAATTTACAGGTTTGAGCAAATATGTAACCTCATCTCTTCGGTATGTGAAACTTGCATGCAGTCTATCAGGTTACCAACTCCAGTTTCTTATCTACAAAGAGAAAAATCCCCAGCAGTGCTGACATATTTTCTTTCATGTTCAGATATAGCGACCATCACTCATGGATTCATAACCTCAAGGCTAGACTACTGTAGTGCCAACTGGCGATGGTTTGGAGCAGAGAGCGGGTGGATTGCTGGAGACAGAGTCAGTACTCAAGTGCTTGAATTGACTTCATGCTCAATTCAAGGTGGTTCTTAATTATTATTTTTTCTTATTAATGTAATATCTCATGGCATCCTTGGTTTGGTTTTTATGTCATGAAGTTCTATTTTGTTATTTGGGTTATAGGGCTAAATTTAATAAAAATACTTTAAAAAGGTCAAATGAAAGGGCATTTCTGTGGGGCGAAGAAGCGAAGACTGTGAGGGTATGCTGTTATCAAGGAGTTTGCATTTAGCCTTACAAGGTGCTTTGAAGTACCAGCTTAGGGACTTCAAAGCACCTTGCACATGTCAGGCCTTCCCACCGACCTGTTACATTTGGCCCACGAGACTGATCCTGATAAGGATCTGGCCCATGGAGCCAAAAAGTTGCCCACCCCAATTTACAGAAAACAAGGCTTGAAAATGCAACATTATGCTGATGACTCAGCTCTTGCAATAAACACCAGAAATTCCTAGGAAGTGCTATGAAAGATAATTGGGCAAATCTTCCATTATCATGGTTGGGGGAAAATTTGTTTTGACCAATATGGATGTATACCAAAAAATATTGTTTCTCTGTATGAATAGACATGATTGTAGAGGCCTGACTGAATAATTTTAGAGTGGTGGCAGGAAACCATTTGGAAAATTTGGAATGGAGAACCAAGACTGACTGAAAAAGCTTTGTTCATTTCTAAATGCCATGGCGGGATTGGATTACTGGTTTTTAAACTACTATATTATTATGCTTAAAAATTAGTGGTAATAGAAGATTGGTTCACATGGGACAAAACAACTTGCTGAAAACAAGATGGAGTTAATATATCATGGACCGTTTGCAACTGGAGAGGTAGCTTAATGCAAGGGTTTCTGTTTGTGCAACAGAACTTTTCTTCTGTGTTCCTTCTCCCAAATCTGCTCTGAAGGATTGGGGATTTGGAGAGCATGCTGTGGGGGTGGCAGGGTGGAGAAGCAAATTCCTTGGGGGAAGCCATGACTTATAATGTTACAATACGAGTTTAAATGTATAGTGTTGATGGGGTGTTTGATATTCTTTAAATGCCAAACAAATGCCTTCTTCTCCCCCAGCATTCCAGCATGTTGTGTAGTTGCTTTTAGTTGTGTCTGATGGGTTCTGATGGATTTTACATTATTGGCTGGTGGTGGCTGCAGCTTTATTGATTTGCTTTGTGCCTGGTCTTTACGTGTGTTTTTATAATTTTAAAAGTTTGTCAGCCTAGAAGCATTATGCCAAAGGTCAGCTTATATATTTACAGCAATCAATCAATAAGCAAATAAATGCATCTTAGAAAAATTAATAGTAGCTCTCAAAATAATGGGACATGCATAGAAATCTTCAGATTTGGAAAAAAAGCAGCTTGAAAACTGTATCCAGACATATCACCATCATGGTTTAATTGTTTTTTTCATTTTATATTTCCTGTTGCTTAGAAAGAAATAGGATTCTACCAAGAGGCTGGTGCTGTACAAATAAGTCATGTTTCTGTGAACTGCATATTTCCAAACCCCATCTTAGAGGCTGACTCAGTGGTGTAGCGTGGGGGGTGCAGGGGAGGCCGGCCGCACCGGGCGCAACATCTGGGGGGGGGCGCGCTCGCACTCGCAGCTCTCTGCCCCTACCTGGCTCACTCACTCTCTCTCACTGCAGTGCTGGCTGTGCGAATCCGATCTGAGCCGCTGGGTCGCCGCTCACTGTGGAGGGGGTGGGTGCCAGGCGTGCGGTGCAGAGAGAGAGCGAGGGACTATCTGGGGGAGGGACAGTGCAGTGGCTGCCCAGCGCAGCGCTGAGCGCGGGAGAGAACCACACCAGACCAGACCAGGCAGCAGCAAGAAGAAGCTGGCAGCGGCGGCAGGTTAGGGGTTAGGGGGCGCAAATTACTTGCCTTGCCCCGGGTTAGGGGGCACAAATTACTTGCCTTGCCCCGGGTTAGGGGGCGCAAATTACTTGCCTTGCCCCAGGTGCTGACAACCCACGCTATGCCGCTGGGCTGACTGATACCATAAAGAAAATGGCAAATCCAGGTTATTTGGGGAAAGGGGTTGGTAAAGTGAGAAATATGATTTGGAGGGAGCTGGGAGGTGAGGTCTAAGAAGTGGAAAGTGGTAAATGATTTGCAGCAATGTCTTGGCTCCAGGCGTGGAGCTGGCTTTATGTCTCCGAATAAGGTCACATCCATTTTGTACGATTAAATTTAACCTGATTGAATAATATCAGAGGTGGTTTGTTTGTTTGTTTGTTTGTTTGTTTGTTTGTTTGTTTGCAGAAACTAACATGGAAAGTTTCTGAGGTCTACAGAAAAGTAACAAGAAAATTATGTCTGTTCCAACAGTAAAAATTCCTGAAATAGGGACTCGCCTCAGAAACCATGATCCTCAACAAAGTGGTTCTATACATCCCCCCCCCCCAAAAAGGCCTGTAGATAGATATCTATCCTGTAGATAGGGAGAGAACCACTTGTCACAAAGCAGATGAGTCAAAGAAATTGTATTCAGGCATGAACCGTGATGCACCAGTAGTCATAATACTATTCCAAATCCTAGTCAATAATGTTTTTTTCAGGACAGAGATTGATTTTATTATTACTAGCTTTTAAGATGCAATGGCCGGGGGGAGTTCCTCGAGACAAACTGTCACCATGTAATTAAATGATGTACAGGGGGTATAATGAAATATCTTATTAATGCCATTATCTGTTATTGCAGCACAGCATGTATCTCATAAATCTTTGTAATTATTCTAATGCAGCAGTTTCTCCCCACCTGAACTATGATTATCTGCAGTTCCTGATTAGCCAGATTTTCTTGTGAGATTCCCTGTGTCAGAATAACTCTTAATTAAGCTGTACCCTCATTCATTTTGACTTCTAATTATCTAAATGTTCTGGCCTTCTTCTAAGTCGCCAAGGTCAATGATATTAGACTGTGTGTGATTCTTAAGAGAGCATTCTCTGGCGGTTTATGCCGTTCTGCTCTGTTAGTAGCCACTGGCCATGCTTTTTAAAGGCCATTAACAAAACCATAAATAGGACAATATTAAGCAAATGGTGTGTGTGTGTGTGTGTGTGTGTGTGTGAGAGAGAGAGAGAGAGAGAGAGAGAGGGAGAGAGAGATACAGTTCATTAAAGGCTTTAGGATTAGGCAGAGTTATCTCAGTTTGATTATCCAGTCAAACTGGAGCTCAACTCTGCCTCCCCAACCCCTTTTAATTCTCATTTAATGTAGACAGTAGCTGAGATGCAGTGTTGGGCAAAACATCTTCATCTTAATTAAACTGTTTCTGGGTCTTTTGTTAGCCTTTTTGGAGAATTCCCAGAAAAAGCTCAGGGGGTTTCCTTCCTCTAGTCACCAGCCCACCTGTTTGGAAATGTAGGAAAGATGGGATGAAGGAGAAGAGAAAGGCTGGTAGACGAGAGGGCTGACATTAGGTAATCACAAGCGGAGGCCATCTTTAAAAGTATGAGGATAGCTTGGCTTGGGATGGTTCAGGGAAATCCTGTCTGAGTTAATTTCACAACCCCATTTCCAAAATTCTTCTCCATTCCTACTTAACCAGGAAGCTTTAAGCCAGTCACAGCCCAACCCTATCCATGCTTACTCTGAAGCAAATCCCAGTGATTTAAATGGGATTTACTCCCCAATAAGTGTGCATTGGATTACAGTCTTTACTCTCTCTTAGTCTCAGATGCCCACCTGTACCATGGGAGGATACTGGTCTACCTAACAAAATTATTATCAGGATGACTGAGATAATGTTACCTAAAACACCCTGAACACTATATACGTGGAAATAATTAGTAACGCCCACTACCACTGGCTTTTATGAAATTAACAATGGGCAGTATGTTCTTAGCTTTCGGGCTTGGGTCTGTATAGCTCAAAGCCCATTATTTTCTTAGCATTCAGTAACTAAGCATTAGCTTCTTGAACCCCAACTAGATGTGTGCTAGGGCAATAGATTGCTGTCAGTCTTTCCTCCCAGTAAGGATTTCAGTTCCATATGCCCCCCGCTTACCCCAACAGAAATAGGCTTCTTTTCATTTAGATAGCATCACTGAACTGAGTCGTTAAAACATGTTTTCTGTTTGCAGCCAGAATGAATTCATGTCATGCTGAGAAAATAAATCAGACAGAAGAAAGAGTTCTAAGACACCCAGCAAAGCTGTTGTACAAAAAATAAAATAAAAATAAAATCATGTCAAGAGTGTACCCCTAGCACTGCTTAATCTCGGACTCTGAATTTTAAAAACCTGTCAAGCTATAGTTTCTTGTAGCTGGAAAACATTGTATTCTTTCTCCCATGGGCTTTAAGGGTGGAGCACAATCCTCAGCATTTTAACCATAAGTCATAGGTAAAGGTAAAGGTACCCCTGACCATTAGGTCCAGTCGCAGACGACTCTGGGGTTGCGGTGCTCATCTCGCTCTATAGGCCGAGGGAGCCGGTTTTTGTCTGCAGACAGCTTCCGGGTCATGCGGCCAGCTTAACTAAGCTGCTTCTGGCGAACCAGAGCAGTGCACGGAAACGCCGTTTACCTTCCCGCTGGAGCGGTACCGATTTATCTACTTGCACTTGATGTGCTTTCGAACTGCTAGGTGGGCAGGAGCTGGGACCAAACAACAGGAGCTCACCCCGTCGCAGCGATTCAAACCACCGACCTTCTGATTGGCAAGCCCCATGCTCTGTGGTTTAGACCACAGCGCCACCCCCATCCCTACCAGAAGTCATACCTCTCTCCAACTACCCTTGGACTGAATGAGAGTAACAGAGATCTTCTGCAGCCTCCATGACAGCAGGTGATTCCATTTGCATGTGCATTGTTTTATTATTTGCCTCTGAGATCTTTAAACATTTGAACAGCAGGAGTAAGGGCTGATTCACACATGCAAGAACATCACCTATTTCTATGCACTTGATTGGCAACATATGATCTGACTACTGTAAATTGATAAGCATTGCATAACCGGCATTGTTAAAAGTTCAGGCTGTTGTGTTAAATCGGTGATGCTGGTCTATGTGAACCAGCCCTTAGATTCAAACATCTAGGTTCTAGATTATACCAGATGCATAAATTGACTTCAGCATGACCAAATCAGCTCCATTGAAGTGTGCTAGTTTAACTTAATTGATAGATTCTAACCAATCTAACAAACAAATGGCTTTGTGAAAGGTGAAAGCCAACACACAAACCAATAAAAATTGTTCCAGTTAAAAGTGCAATGTTACCTAATTTGCCCGTCTTTGTTCTGCGCTATGCAAGCATTCTGAGGAATAAATAGATCAGTAGGTTGACACTATGTAGTGCTCTTGCAAAATCGGTGGCAACAGCTATCTCATCGGACAAACAATGAATTAATCTCCCATGGAACAATGCTGGCTGCTCCTTACAGTTCATTAGTATTTGGCTAAGTGGTTTTTCTGCAGTTCTCTAAAGAGGACTGAAGGAGGGAAATGGTTCTCTTCATCAGCAGGAATCAGGAAATGGAAGAAACTAACACTATTGCTAATCCAGCTCATTAAACTTAAGTACTGAAGGATTGAAGTAGAGGTCTCAATTATGGCATTAGCAAAGTGAGTAAAAAGCAATTTTCATCTCAAGACAAAATATGCTGTGGCACATTTTAAAACTACTTACTTTTAACAAGTGTTCTGCAACAGCATTAGCTTCAGAGCTGGGATGGAGAACCTGGGACCCTCCAGATGTTGAACCCCAGTTGCAGTAATCTCTGACCATTGCCCAGGATGGCTGGAGCTGCAACAACACTGGGAGAGTCGCAGATTGCTTTGCAGCACAAGAGGCATGAGCTGAATCAGAGGTGATTAGGCTGCACTGTTGCAGCACAGACAATAATATCAACCATGTTAACAAGTTAAGAATATGTTTGCTTGTTTTAAATGAGACATCTGCTTCAGTTCACTGATATGTTATGATTATGGGAACTCATTCTGATATTTAAACTACAGGTAGAGGTTTTAGCATGAAATGGGTCATGTGGAAAAATCAAACCATCACCAGTCTCAGGCAGCCAACATGAGGCAAATCAGTCAACCCCACCACACATGGCTGTTGGGCTGCTGCAGGGTCTCATCTCTCTCTTTCTCTCTCTCTCTCTCTCTCTCTCTCTCTGTGTGTGTGTGTGTGAAGCTCAGATGGGGCAGGGGGAATCTTGTCAATCACTCCTTAACCGCCAATTTCACAAGACAGTAGTTTCACAACAATCAATATCAAGTTAGAAATCATATTTGAACGAAAGTTTTTTCATAATAGTTTTCTTTATTGACAACAAAAAAAATGCAACTGAAATATTTTTCAGTTTTCATATCGCCCTGAAACTGCAAGCCCAACAATTCGTCATGACAGAACAGGAGCAATTTCAATGCTGTTTATCCGGAGAACAGTTTGTGGCTGAATTAAAACTGAAAGAGAATGGAAAAACACAGATCAGAGAACAGCCTTGGAGTTCAGTTACCTAAGTATGTTAACAAAAAGAGTCAAATAATCCCAAACAAAGAGAAGAACTTTCAAATCTATTCAGGTTTCAGTTTCCACTCATCGCATACACCTTAAAGGTTTCTGCCAGAGGCACTGAGGAATAAGCTGTCATTTGTTCCTTACTAAGCATGCTGATTAAGATTAGCCTAAAGATGTTGTTTCAGCTTGTTAACATCTTTGGCTTCATAGGCAAGATTTGGAGAGTGAAAGCTAAACCAGGAATAACTGACCAGCAAAAAGAAAGGGATTCTAACTGATGGAACACCACCCTAGCTATTCTATGTACACATAGGACACTGCATTCTTTTATTCTAGACATAACACCAGCTTAGGTGCCATCACAGCATTCTGCAGCTTGATAGAGAAGGGCTTATGTATATTTTTCATCTTACTTGTTTTTTTCTTGTAATTAGACTTTCGACGGATTATCATACGTATTTTTGGCCAAGACTCTGTCTTCTCAATGACGGTTGCCTCCACACGGACTAGATCCTTCCTTTATAGTAAAGAGGAAAACATTGTACATTTTATTCTAATCAAACGGAGGCTGGTAAAGTAGAAAGAGAAAAGAAAAGAAAAAAAAGCAGACATGAAGGCTATGGGTCCATTTTGGGCTACATCTCTAGTTTTTTTCACATCACAGAATGGGTCCCAGGCATAATTATGTTTGGAGCTGTTTACGGTTGCTTTTGTCACATGCAAAAGAACCCAAAATCAGGGTGGGGAGAATACCATGTGTCACAGTGGCCCCAAACATTTAACAATTGCCTCCCCCACCATTACAAGACCATCTTGGCTGTGAGTCCTGGAAGACCTGCTCCTTGCCTTGCAGGCCTTTTCCACCCAGCCTGGGAGGGCGGAGCCCTGACTGACTCCAACTACAAAAGCTGAAGCAGCTGAACTCTTGGTTGGGGTATTGTTTAGGGGTTTTTATTGTGGGTTCTGTTGTTATTATTGCCCTAATTGCAGCTTCTGAAAACATTTTAATAAAGGTGGCAGCTGACCTCAAGAGAGAATTATTCTAAAGTATGCCTTACCCCAGCAGTGGCTTTCCCAGCAGGGTGAAGTCATCTGCACCAACCAGCAATACCTGGACAAGATTAAATAATTCACATCTGTCACCACACGACTGTCATAACACCATCAGAATGTTGTCAACGTACTTGGGGGGAAAGGAGCTTTACATTTGTAATGAAGTTTTCTTAGTCAGCTTATAGCTGACTAAGGAAGGGTAACACAGGGGAGAAGCAGGCCCTAGCCTAACCAATAAATAAATACTGTCTTTGGTGAGAACTGTGTTTTTGGCCCCAACCTAGGGTATACACTAAGATCCCTCTTCACTTCGAGCAAAAGACAACATCATTAGCTTTTGTGAAATGGTGAGACAGGAGGGAAAAGTAACAGAATAGCTGTTTTCGCACATGAAGTGATTTCTTTAGCTGCTGTAGGAAGAGCCACACATTGCAAAAGGAGAGGGTAAAGTTTTCCAGTGGTTGCTCCACCACTGAAAACTCACAGATCTGCAACAGCTATTGGGGTCCGGAGCTGGTAACCTCAAGAAAGCAGGTAGCTGCACCCCAATGCAGGGAACTTCAATATCGTGTGTTTAACTGCCTTTTAAAAACATTTGCCCACAACTCTAACAAGCCAGTGAAGCACTGTGATGCTGTACACAGCTGATAATTGGGAACTTCTCAAGTTCTAGTTCGGTGCTATATCCTGACAGGATTGTGGTCAGGAGTTACTAGAGGCTTAAACATGAAAGCCTGACTTTTTCACCCCGATCTAAATTTTAGCACTCCCAGCTGTCAGCTTTCTGCAAACACCTGATCCGTTTCACATATGGATGTGGCATGTGGTTGAAAGGAGCACAATCCCCAGGGAGGCCTCTCTGAAATGAAACCAGAGAACTGGGTTTGTGGGAAGTATTTTTCTTTTGCTAAATTATTCCATAACAGGGCACCTGACTAGAATATACATGCTGATGAACTAAACACAACTTCATTTCATGACAACTTGGGGTATTTTGATTAAACAGGCTGTGTTAGTGTTAAAAGTGGATTAGGTTAGATACTGAAGGATACTCCACCCCCACCCCCCATAATTTCCATGTGAATGCCAGTCTTGCTTACAAATCAGAGCAGGTGCATTTGTCAACATGTGTTTTTTTTTTTTTTAATTTCTCTTTATTAATTTTCATACACACATATACACACATATGTACAGAAAATAAATTCTTCACGGAAAAAAAAACAATAATAAGAACAACAAAACTTAATTATAAGAAGAAAAAAAACGAAACAAAACAAAGACAAACATGTAAATTATTGACTTCCCTCCATCTCAGTTTTGGGTTATGTAATACATTTTTCCCCGCAGTTTTTCTTTAAAACTTTTGTATGTCGAAGGGTTATATTAAGCCTACTGTGATCTTTGGATTTTTTTAAATCTACTTCAATATAGGTTATGAATTTATTCCATTCTTTAATAAACTTTGTTTCTTTCTGGTCTCTAATTTTTTTGTGTTAATTTTGCCAATTCTGAATATTCAAATAATTTACTTTGCCAATCTCTTACCGTTGGGATATTGATTGATTTCCAATTTTGGGCGATTAAAATTCTAGCAGCTGTTGTTGCGTACTGGAATAAGGTCTGGTCCTCTTTCTTAATTTCATTGCCAATCATTCCCAGAAGAAAGTTTTCAGGTTTTTAACAAAAGTATATTTAAACATTTTTTTAGTTCATTATAAATGAGCTCCCAGAAGTTCTTGATTTTTTCACAAGTCCACCACATGTGGTAAAAACTACCTTCCTTGTTTTTACACCTCCAGCACATTTTATCCCCATTCTTATAGATTTTTCCTAATTTTACAGGGGTGATGTACCATCTGTACATCATTTTTTCCATGTTTTCTCTTCAGGCAACACAAGCAGTGAACTTCATATCTTTATTCCAGAGCTTAATCCAACTATCGTATTCCAAATTATATCCCATTTGTCAACATGTAAGTGTGCCATATCTGGACAGCAACAAAGCAGGCCAGTGTTAGCAGTCTCAAAACATGCTCATGGGTAGCATGCTTATGAACAGTATCTAAGAGAATGACATTGGACTGGTTTGGTTTGAATTAGGCAAATGAACCCCTCTAGTCTGCATGAAAGTTCACGGTATATTTAGTTTTCCCCTCCTCCAAAAAAATAATGAAAGTAAAATCAAAGATCAGCTGATACCTGTGGCTAGAATTCTATTCTATACTAGGTCATTTCCTAGTAATAAGAATTCCAGCATCTCTTTTCAGTGAGCATAAGAGAGACTCATAAAGTTTACTACGTAGCATTAATGCTTGTAAAGTGCTAATATGGAAAGAGAAGAGCAAGATGATACTAATTCCCAAAATACAAATGGTGTGTGTGTGATTTTCTAGTACCATCGTAAATTTAATTCTGGGGATCGGAAACCCTGAATCTGAAATTTGGCTTTCCATATAATTTCCAAGATGCCAATGCCTGCGAAGCACTAATTAGTTAAAAACAACATCCCTCCCTCCATAGCAACAGGTTAAAGAAGCCTATGAAGGTCAACCAGCTTGTACAAGAATAAATGAAAGTAAGAATCAAAGCACTAACAAGACAAGGGTGTTCACCCAAAATATTAACCACTTTAATATTTCTAGACAATTCATCGTTGTGAAGACAGAGCATGGGCTGAGCATACAAACTAGTGTTGTGTGTGCATGGAGAAATGTTATTGTTAATCATTTGCTTACATGGGGACAGGTGCAGCCATTTCTGGGATCACAGCTGTCGTTTTTTCAAGCTACTACAGTCAGGGGCATTACTGCCCTTGTCCCCATATAAGCAGCTGGCTCCCACTAAATTTTCTCCATGCCCAAGTTTACAGGCAAAAGATGGAGAAAATTAGCATTGCTTGTCTGAATCAGCCCAAACATTCTTAATGATACGATATTTAACATCCTATTTGACACCCATCTAATAACAGAGGGAATGCAATCACTTCAAAAAATGAGGACACCAATGAAATATGTCTGATACAGGAGGATAAAGCAATTGCTAATATAAAGCTTACCTTTTCCATTCGGATTCTGTCTCCACATTCAGCTGGTATATCATTATTAAGTAAAATCAAGTCTTCGCTGGTTACTTTCCACTGTCTGCTGGCAAAGTGAACAACTGCAAATAGTCTTCCATATTGTCCCGTGGCAATTAGTTCATTTACTTTTTGAAAAATCTCTGGATAAAAATGGTAAGTTAGTGAATAAATGAGGTGGGAGTTTTGTGTGTGTATGTGTGTGTGATACCAACTGTCGATAAAGCAAATAGTTCTTTCACAATAACATAATAATCCACGTCACAGTCCTCATTGTTCAACAACTACAAAAACTAGTTCTAAGGCCTAATTTGCAGTGAGTGGTTCTGAAGATTCACTGAAGTTAAACCTTTTGTATACTCAGTGGCTACTCTGGTCTGCAATGAGCAGTTCCAGGGCCGAACATTTATTTTGTTGTCCATTTCATCAATAATCATGCCTTATAATAGCCATTGCCACCCACATGTTATGAACTTCATCGTCATATTCTCTATACTTCCATTCCTTCTGCCCCAATTGCTTACTACAACTCCCATCATCCCTAGCTAGCAGGACCAGTGGTCAGGGATGATGGACATTGGAGTGCAAACAGGTGGTGACCCAAGTTGGGGAAACCCTGCTGTAGACAAAACTGAGCTAGATGGACCAATGGTCTTACTTTGTGTAAGGCAGTCCCCATGCTCTTTTATCTCTTACTGCATGTCCTGAGCACAACCCAGCCCGAAGAGGACAGGTGGCTGGGAGTTTAATTCTTTCTTGACAAAACACACACTTCCAGTAGCTCCTAAGGTGCGCAAAGCATGCACACACGCTTCTGGCGACTAAGTAGCTGGCATCCCTCCCCAGACTTGTGCTCAGAGCAGGACTGTTGGAGCAACAGTGTGACCATGCCTTCACCCAAACTTAAGTACCCTCGCCTGATGGGATGCATGCAAGCAACCTGTGGCTTCTCCTACATGGAAGTTGTTGCTTTGCCTACCTCTTCAAGCCCCTCCTGGTGCTGGAGGACAATGGAGAGGAAGACAGAGGGGATTCTGCTCTTCCTCCAGCCCTGGCTCTTTCCCCACATCCTGCACCTCCTCCCTATCTGTGACTGCTTGGACTCTCCCCATTCTTCCAGCTCCTGCCTTGCAGGAGGCACCAACTCTCATAAATCACTGCCCTCTTCCACTGGATCTGACTCTGGCCCCATGGCCTCCGCCACACACTCCTCGGACCCTTGCCAGTCCCTTACACTGCATTGCTTGGCTTCAATTTTTCTTAAAGCCAATGCTCTTTAGGCATGCAAACTGTAAAGATGCAAAACAGAAAAAAATGAAGACAACGAGAAATCAAAACAAAACAAATACAGCAAATAGGTACAGCCATACCCTTTGCCTTTGAACAGCTAGGTGTATTTACCTCTGTGGTGTTCTGTCTCTTCTAGAGGATCAGGGAGTTTGATTTCAGGATATGGGGGAGAAGTTAAGGATGTTTTTGGAAGGAGTCTGTGAAATAAGAATATACTTTTATGAATGTAATAGCCAAGCACTTGAGCCTATAAGGGTATTTCAAATATCGTCCCTAAATAAGAAAGAAAATGGCTTTCTCTTGGAAACAATACCGTACAGAGAAAACAAAAACAAACTTAGCCCAAGAGTCCTTGTCATCTTGTTTTCCAAAACTATTTCCCTCATATCTTTTAACAGTGAGAACCACAACTAGAGATAGGTTCTGTCTTGTTACGGAATCTTTATATGAAATAGACCTCAGTTTTATGTCCATCCAGCCAATTTCGCGGCTGCTCCCAAAAGTCAGGAATCAGTAAGAGGAGTTCAGCCAAAAAGATTCAGTACGTGATGGGGAAGTTGGGTATAAGAAGCAATGACGAAGTGAGACCTGAGGTATGGAGATCCAAAGCTTGTGTTGGTGTGAAACCAGAGGCATTTTCCTTTTCAAAAAAACTGGTGGTGCAAACGGCCCTGATGGCAAAATGTTGGCTGTGCAGAACAAGTGAATGAGGATCATGAAACAGGAGAGTGCTAATGAACTCATGTCTTGCTTGTGGACTTCCCATAGGCTTTGCTTCAATTGACCCCTGTGAGAAAAGCATGCTGGGCTAGGTAGGCCTTTGCTCTTACCCAGCAGGGAGATCTTCTTACCTGAGGCATGTGTCCATGGAATTGGAATTTGGAAACATGCAGGTGTAAGCCAGTTATTTTGCAAATTATCAGAAATCAATGCATAAGTGCTACAATTCCACTGGAAACTTGGAACCAGCAGAGGTTGGTCTATTAGGACAACTGGGGAGCTGCCTCACTTACTTGGTTCTACTCACAGCCAGCCCTCACCCTACCTGCTTTCTTACTTACAAAAAGTCCAGAGGGTAGCACTGCCTGTCAGCTTCCTTCTCCTTAGTCTCAGTTGTGCCCTTGAAAAACTCAGCAGAGAGGAGGATGGGGACAACACTAGAATTAGTTGGCTCTGGCTCCACCTACGGTTGGTCTCTGTGTCCAGCCCCAATGGGGACCAGCTATCACTACTTGGAACAAGAACATGTGCTATAGAGCAGGTCTGGGGAAGCTTTGCCCCTTCCACTCAGGTGTTACTGAACTACAACCCCCATCATTCCTTGCTACTGGCCATGATTGCAGGGGCTGATGGGACTTGTTGTTCAGCAACATCTGGAGGGCCAACAGTTCCCCATACCTGCTATAACCCCACCTCAATTTGGAAAGGCCTCACCTCACCTAAAATCTATTTATGATGAAAGAGAGGGATAAATAAAATTTCTGATTATGAAGGAAACAAGATTGTTGGGAGAAGTAGAACCAGAAGAATTAACGGGGTAGGACCATAGTACATGCCATTCAGATAGGATTATCTCAGGCTACACCCTGGTACCTCCCTTTTAAAAAGTATTTCTACAAGCAAGGAATTTGCCATTAGGGAGCATTAAAACATGCATTCCCTACTAAATGGTGATTTGTTATTATGCTGATTAGTCTAAGTTAAGACTGTGATTGATTGCATACAAAGCAGCTTCCTAGGCACTGTAACCATACAGTGGTCATTATGGGTAATTTCGTAATGTATTATGTAGTACATGCTGCCCAATTGCTCCTCATTCTGTTCTCTATTGGAGCAAGCAGGAGAAACAAAGCAGACGACCTTGGCACCACACCATGTCTGAACCAGGGACTGTGGCCTTATACTTTCTAATAAGCAACAATTGCCTGCCAATCTTAAATCACTGCTTATGGTTGGCCTGCTGGCTGTGGCTTTTTAGGGAGCAACAAAGCATGAGCCCTAGTTCAGATGTAATGGGGAAAACAAAGCTTCCAGGTTTGGTTTAACCTACTTGTGCCAGGAGTGGAGCCAAGTGGGAGAAATGAAGCAATGGCCACATGCATCTTATAACCATAAGTCAGAAAGTCAATGGTGATTTGTGAATGCATGGATTACAACATAATTTATGCACACCCTTGCACTCACCATGATTAATGGAGTTCAGTAATGCTTTCTAGCACCAGCAAAAATAGATTCACTGGGTTTGGGTCACCCCTTTCAAAACTGGTTACTATTGGGATCCTGATGGGATTTTTGTTTAAGATGCAAAGTGTTTTTTTGTTTATGCAGAAAAGTGAACTAGATTAACTAAGCAAGGGAATTTAGAGTAGAGTAATGAAACAGGGAACATTGAATACAAAGAGCTGTTGTGTTGTTTTTTAATCTGTTAAGGCAAGAAGTGTTCAGTACCAGATACACCTGCCCTGTGATGCTAAAGATTTTTGTGTGAATAATAGAATATTAACTGGTTACCTGGCTAGGAGCTAGGAGCTAGGAGCAAGTAAAAAGGGAGGCCAGCATTATCTTGAACAGCCACTGACTGTAAACCCATCTATGGAGCTGGCTGAGGAAGGCTCTGCAGGCAGTCATGTACTGGTTTTTGGAAGACAGGATTAAGCCATCTCTTGACTTACCTAAGACATTATACAGTTCATGCAGTGAAATCTAGAGGTTAGACACCTGTCACATATTTGCATATACCTCCTCCTTTCTCTATATGGCTTCCCCCTTAACACTGTAAGCTGTACTCCTGTGAAGAGTCGTCACACACATTCAGAAAGAATGCTGCGTCCCTATGTCAGTACAATAAATTTCCCCAAGGGTGCTCACTCTTAATAAGGAAATTTCATAGCATCTTCCATATTCTTTTGATCATGATGTGTTTTAATGGTGTTTAATATTGTATTTTAAATTATTGTAACCCACACCCTGGAACCTCATGTTGAAGGGCAGGTGTCAAATAAATAACAACTGCTCAAACTACCTAGGCAACTGGCAGTCAGTTTCCAAGCTGAATTGGCTTTCCCAGAAACTAGCTGCACTTTAGCTTACCTAAAAATTCTAGTATAGTGACAGCTTTTGACAGCACACATTTTCTGGAGATGCAATGCCTGGCAAGAGACCCTAGGCTGCTGGCATAAAACTGACGAATGACAACTCAAATATGCATTCCCTTTTCTATCCATCAGTATTCTGTCAGATGGCGTGAATTCCTGCAGGTTCACACAAACTCTGAAAATCAGCAACTCCATATAAATAAGTACTACCTTCAAAACTTTGGAACTGTATTGTTTGGTTCTGTAGATCAAAAGTTTCAGAACTCATGAGGAGCAAGAACCCAAGAACACATTTTGCTAAAGATGGCAGAGAACAATGCCAGTTAAGAAATCTGGTCTAAAGATTTCACCTGCTAATAATAAGCCTAAGCAGGAAACAGAATATTTTTCCCTACGCATGAACCGCTTATGGGTCTTGAGCTGCTTCTGCTAAGGTACCTCCAGTGGGCAAAAATGAAAAATGAGCAATACAATAAAAAGAGGGGGTTAATTAATATTAGGAATGCTAAAGAATTAGTATTTGAAAGAAATTAGAGTAGCATAATTTAATTGCCATGCCCTTAAAAGACTACTGGAGTACTCAGATTACTTTTTTGCTGCAAAAATAAAATTCTTTTATGAATACCGAAGGGGGGGGCACCTCACAAACATTAATTATATATATATCACCAAATGAAAACCACACATAAAAACTGACAGTCCTTTAAGAACTCATTTATTTTTAAATGCGGGTAAATTGTATTCAGATGTCTATGACCTTGTCCTTGAGAAATGGCAGAGGTCACAAAACCTAGCAGAAAATTCTGTCAATTATTCCATCCGTTATTAGCATAGCCTATGGCTTTATTTATATGCCACAAAAGTAATAGTGTAGTGTCCTGTGGGGGAGTTGTCCAGCATGTAATAACCCATCTGAATATGATAGTTTTAAGTTCTGACTCACTTGCTAAATATTCTTCTATCCTTGTCATGGTGTCACATGGCAATTGCTGCCTACCATCAAGAACAGTCCATTATGGAGATGTAGTTTTTGTTACTGCATTTTGCTAACTTGGGTGCAGTTTTTCAACTGCCACTAGATAACACTCCCCCCCCCCAACCCCACACCCTTTCACTGCAAGGATTCAGGAAACTGTGTAAGGGGTTGAGGCACCCTAACACATAATTTTGCTAAAACTTTTATGCAAAGACTAGATTGGTGAAGTGTTAGGTTCCATACAGCATCGGCCAACAGTAGTGATTGCCGTACCCCTCCAGTTTGGTGCACATTAAGGATTCTGCACAGGAATTCAGTTTTTCCCATCACGACTCAAATAAGTGACCTCAAAAATACATTCTGCAACTTTCTCCAATGGGTAAAATGCCTTATTGGTGAGGCAGAGTTGGATTTAGGGCAGTGAACCAGTTCCCCTGCACAAGATGTGGGGGCCAAAAGGGAGTCTCCCTGCCTCCTTCCCAAAGCCTAGTTAGCACTTTCCCAGCTTTGGAAATGAGATGGGAGAGCTCTAGGAGCCTGCCAGAGCTTTGTGCATCCTTCCCAAAGCCTGATGCGTCCCTTACCTGGCTTTCAGAAGGCACCACGAGGGAAGGGTGTGTGTCAAATTTTTGACCCCCCCCCAAGGCACCAGATTACCAAGGTCTGTCCCTGGGCAAAGTGTAATTTGTTCTTTAATAAGAGTGCCCGTGCAAACAGAACAGAAGCTGTGATGGTAGGGATGAATGCAAGTGACAGTCCACTTAGCACTCTACTTAACCTCCATTCAAAAGCTGGTGGCTGCATCTAGGTTTTGGTAACATCAGATGCATTTGCAGAGAGTATTTGATCCCCATAGCCCACGTTCAGGGAGACAATTCCATCTGTGGAAGTCCTAACAATTCCACATGATTGACAGGCTATGTGCAAGTCTAATATGGGGTGGGTGCAGCTAGGCCCCTACAGTAGGCTGCAGGGAGACTAAGGAAACATCCCCTTTTAAAAAGGTGTTCAATCTAATGCTGAACTGGAAGCATAACACTGGCTCTCCAAGATGTAATGGGTGAAGTTTCATTATGTTATGAGACTCCTTTAAAATCTAATAAAGAAGAAACATGGAAAAAAATATTATGAGACTCACAGCAGCCCATATACCTTGCAGATTAAGGCCTGATGAGATGCTGGACATCCCATGTTTTCTACCAACTGAAGATTGGGTGGCATACATTGAAGAGAAAGCCTTTAATTTAAGCGTTAGCAACATAAAACATTTTAAAGCAATTTGACCTATTAGTACAGCAGCAACTAAAAGTTCAACATGTCAAGACATTCATAGTTCTACTATGAATACATAACAGGGCTAAGAAAGTGAGTTACCGCAACTCAAGTTAATTTTATCATGTGCGATTCAAGTCTTACATGCTTGCTGCTTGAAACATGTCCCTATGGATGTAGATTTCCCACAGCAAACCATTTATGAGAAGCAGATCATTACTTTATCCTCTTCCAACCATTTGAGGAGTGTTTCACATAAATGGTTTAGCTCATATCGATTTGATTCTGCCCCAAGTGGCAACATTGGTACGGACTCCATTATGAATTCCTCCATAAACCTGGACAGGAAAAGCTGTTCAGATCTCACATTACGGCTGTATTCTATTAAAGAGAAGACTCGGACCACCAAAAGTTATTTGTAATAAATCATTTATGCATGCGGTGTTAGAAATGAGCCACAGTGTTTTATAAATCTTGATCTGTTTATGAGATCATGGAACTTTATTGGGGCGACATCAACAGAAAGAGATGTTTACCACTAGAAAACAAGTAGATATGGAACAGACTGGCTTTAGTTTTTTACAAGGCAAATTGCAAAAAGAAGCTGCAGGTTGTATTATCATAGATGACTATGAATGGCCTAGTCTTGAATAAATGAGTTCACTAGATAACAATCTTTTCTCAAAGCAGCAACAGAACTAGAAGAACTGAAATGAGATATCTGCACGAAGCAACGTGGCAACAGCAGACATATCCTTCAAGCTGTTCTTCAAACTTCTACAGACCTCAAAAAATGTGAGCTGCAAAAACCTTAAAGCAAAATGAAGCTTAAACAGTACAACTGGACCATAAGGAGGTCAACTGCAAAAAAGTGAAATTGCTAACTGTCATATATAAGTCATATATACTTTGTGTGTTCTTTGGAGTTCACTCATGTTTATGAAGGCTGCATTAGACTGTGTTCAGAAACACCCAGGTCTTCATATATAAATTGGATGATACTCCTTTTGAGTGAGTTCCCTTCTACAAGTTGGGCAAAAGTTTGAATGCCCAAGAGCATTGCTGAGGCACAGACTACAGAAGATGTGGCCACATTTTGTTGACACTATAAGCCGTCCGCTTTGCACAATCTCTGCATAGCTCTCTATGCAAATTGGACAACACACAGTGCCTGAGGATCTTGAACTTGCAAATTCATTCCTTCCCACTTCTCTGGGCAGCTCTCTAGTGGCAAGAGCATCACTCTCTGTGTGCCCACTATCATCATCATCATCATCATCACTACTTAATATAAGACTGTCAGACAATGGTTGACGTCTGAACTCTCTATTGGGCTGCTGTCCACTCTCTCCAACAACCACAACAGAATCGTTATGTGTAAGATCAACAACTATAGGTTCTGAAGTTTCGCAAGTGAGGTCAACTACTTCCTCATCAACACTTCTATCATCAAGTCTGAGTGGCTCTACTTGTGCAGCTGCAGCAGCTATTTTCCTTTGATTACGAGTTTGCATAGAGTGAGTCTTGCCTCCACAGTACTTTCTCTGAATGTCCTGATGCTCAGTTCCTTTGCTATCACTTAAAGGAGTAGTTTGTTCCATAAAACTCGGGCCTGCATTAGGAGGGGAGCCAGCAAGGGCAGTTTGTAAAGGTAAGGCCAGGGAGGAAGTAGAAGGCAAAGAGGAGGAAGAGGAGGAAGAGGAGGGGATACAGGGTTCAGAAGCAGTTCCCCCCATCATCTTGTCCAGAGCATTACGAGGTCTTGCTGAGGTGTTGCGACTGCCCCTCTTGCTTTTCCTGTCCTTGGTTGCATTACATTCTGTACTAGTTGAACTCATGATGCACAGGGATGGGAGAGGCACAGGCTGCAGGGTACTTGCTTTCCCCCTTATCTCCGTGTGCTGTTCACCGCTTAGCTGCCAACCAATTTTGTAATGTGATAATGATGATCATGAATGCTCTCTCTAAAGCAGCTTTATGCAACTGGTGATGCTTTGGAGCACTGTAACTTTTTTTGGAGTTGTCTCTTTTATACCAGGTACTCCGAAGCTGCGAGCAAGTTCAAAATCTCGAGGAGTTAGGGTGTATTTCCTGTTACTCTTTAGAACTGCATTAAAGTAGGAAGAAACATGATTAGGCTAAGAAACAAGGACACCAATATTAATTTTCTATCTTTCAGCCAAGAGGTTAGCTAAAACAATTAGGATTATTACGAGGTGGAGTATCTTTCCCTACCTTGACAGTTCTCTTTATACAAGAGTTTGATAAGGAGAAGGGAAGAATTCATGGAAAACTGATGAAGGCCTCTTGCTCAAGAAGAACCAGGGCACAGAGCCAAGCTGAGGATGATGGGAAATATTAAATGAAATTCCTTTGTGTTGCGTCTACTAGAGCGCACTTCCTAGGGCTGCTCTCGCAAGAGGTGTTTTTCAGGTATGACACATTCAGTGTGTACACCCAAGCCTTGAAAATGCACATACAAATCTTGCAAACTATGCAGTGCTGGTGGTGAATCCAGTGTTTTGTTTTTTTGATTGTCCTCATGACAGGCCAAGGAACAGCATGGCCTATGCCACCCAAGAAGAGGCATACCAGCATGGAGTTTCCGCATGCGTCACAGTTCTCCTTTAACACTTATCTTGTTTTGTGTAGCTCTCTCCCCCAAAAGGAGGTTTGGGGGAACTTATTCCTAAAGTTCCAGTGTGGCACTAACATGCATGCACATGAGATTCCTGAAACTGCACCCTTATGGTGCAGTGTTTTTCTAGTAGGTCCTAGGTCTAACATGGTAACTCTGTTTTTAAAGCAGAAGGATAGATGGGGGGGGGGGTGAGTCTCTGCTGAAATCTCCAACTATCAATTCTTCAGAGTAGCCAGCTCCATCAGGCCATCCCTTTCGCCTCAACATTCCCCCATCTTGCAGCAACATTCCATCATGCCACAGCAGAGGGAGAGAAGAGAAAGAGAGCCACTCTATGCATTCAGCTGAGAGAACAATGCTTGCCTTGCCTTCTCCTTGAACTATTTCCATTCCAGCTGATCATTACAATAACTCTGTAACTAAGATCTAATGCCAGTGTTTGCTTTCCCTCCCTCTTCCCCTCATTATCCCTTTTCCTTTCGTGTTATAAGAGCTGTCTGACAGAGGAACTGTCTCCCTAGGGAGGTTGTGGACTCTCCTTCCTTGGAGGTTTTTAAGCAGAGGTTGGATGGCCATCGGATACATATGATCTAGTTGAGATTCCTGCATTGCAGGAGGTTGGACTAGAGGACCTTTGGGGTTCCTTCCAACTCTACAATTCTATGATCTTTTACACTGTAAGCCTGAGAGCAGGGATTGCCTTATTAATATCTGTAAGCAGCTTGAGGGGCCTTTTCAGATGAAGAGCAGAGTAAAAATGCTATAAAAATAATTATAACAGAGGAAGATCAGGATCCTAGAGGTGAAAGATGACGCATGTTCTGCCACAAACAGATCTTACCTTTGCTGTGATGAGGTGTTTTGTGAACTTTGATTCCGAGCTGCAGACCATAGCAGAGAGGCTGAAAGAGAAAGACGGAATTAGAAACAAAGGAATCGCACTAGATTCACACCTGAACCTGCTTTTAATAAGCAATGAAGCTGTGCCATTTCCATAAATAGTGGGAATGGCTGTTGTGTCAAAGAAAGTTGGGATGCGAATGTTCCCTTTCTTTAAGATCTTTAATGGAGTATTTTTTTCTTAACAGCAAAAATATTAATAGGCACCAAGATTCAGCCTCAAAAGGTCCCTGTAGTCCTTCAGTATTAAAGACCTGGTGAAACAGAAGTGGGCTCAAGGAAATCTTGCAGAGATTTATTTGTCTGATTACACTTATATCTCACCTTTCTTCCAAAATGGAAGCCAAGGTGGTGTACAGGTTGTTCCCAGCTGGTCTCCCATTCAAGCCCTGACCAGACACAGGCCTGATCAGCTTTAGGAAAGTAGCAGCCTCATGTGCCTTCATGAGGCAATATCCTGAGGCTTGGCCTGAAGGCATATGAGGCTACCACCTCGTGAGTTTGGCTCCAGCACTCCAATGCTAGCTTTTCTAGATTAAGTGAGCTGGAAAATATCAAATTAAAAATAGTTTAAACATAACTCCTTCTACTGCAGACAGCAAGCCTCAGAAATAATGAGAGCAGAGTAAAAATGATGACCATTAACCTGACCAAATTAATGGCAAGATTAGTCAAAATCCATTCTTGGAAGCAGCTATTCTTAACAGCTTATTAGTTTAATCACATTTTGCAGTCATAGCACTCGACTTACTTTCCTTGCAAGGAAAAAACAACCTGCGCTAAGTAATTATTTACAGGGGTTGAACATGAAAATGTGGACTATTTAATGAGGGAAGTTACTTTCAGCAGTTCCTTTAAGCAGCTGCTTGAGTGAAACCTTGGAGACCCCTTTTCCTTCTGGTTCTAGTCTTGGGGGCTCAACCCAGTGAAGACTTGGCATGTCTAATATCACTGAAGTCAAAAGGAGTTGGGCACTTCTAACTCTGCACAGGATTAGGCTTTAAGAGTCCATGAAGTATCCATAGCCTAATCAGCACATTTTACATTTGATTACAAGCAGAAAAACCCAAATTTGCAGTTATTACCAGAGTCCTTTCCTTCTTAATGATCTAAAATCCTGTCACCTGGGGATAAGGCTCCAGAAATTTTCAATCTGCTTGGCAGCCAACCAGTGGTTCGGATTGTGAAACACACAAATGGTTGCACTCATACTATAATGGCTCCTCATTCCTACTGCAGCCCCTTTTACTCTCTGACAAGCTGCTCCTGGGGGTTGATTGCACTGCACGCTGCCCTAGAGGGTCCAATGTGGAGGTGGGGATGCAACTGGAAGAAATCAGCTTTCACAGGTTTCCAGATCCCACCACTGCTCCTAATTAATCACTGAGGTTCAGTGCTTTCACTGCATTTGAGAGGATCCCTTTTGAACCTGCTACTCTGTGAAGGAGATTTTTTTCCATAGGGGAAAAGCAGCTGTGTGTGTCTGAATGCATATGTGCACAGAGCAGCCCCTCTGTTTAAACCCATGACATTAATGGTTCATTGCAGCATTTTGAAGAAGTTACTCTCCACTTCCCTGTGTTAGCAGCAGCTTTCAAAAGATACATCATTCCTGCAGTGCAATATACAGCAGGATTTCCCTACTATTTGCCAGAATTAAATCTCTGGTTACCAGTGGTGACCTTATTTATGGAATTCTGGCTGCTTATTTGATGGCATACTTACCAAACTTTTATACACGCAATAAATTTCATAGCCAGTGGGTTCTTGGTTTTTTGTAGTAGCACAAAAATTCCTATAATTTTGTCACTACACTTTGAGCACACAGGAGAATCCAAGAAGCTCTTGCTGATCTTACGCTTGGAACCACGTTAAGAATTAGGTGAACAGATACAGACTTAAAAGCACAATCCTAATCTTTCTTACTCTATAACTTACTCTGATTCCAGTAGACCTTCCAGGCTATAAGTTTCCTTGGTTATTCAGACTCTGGTGCATGAGAATTGTAGTTTAGAGGCATAGAGAGGGTTCACAAATTATTATGTGGAAAATGCTGGGCTGGTTCAAATTTTAATTTTACCATCCTCCTCTAACTTTCTGAGTTCATAAGCATGCATGTTTTAAATGCAATATGTGTGTGATGCCCCCTGCTACATCTGCTTAGATTTAAGCCTTGCTCAACAGCATGCTGGAATATTTTGCTCCTTTACAGAGCTTGGGCCAACACCAGAATTTGAGGGGTCATCTGGGTCTACGTACACCACTTGGCTGTCTGCTTTGCAAACTAAACAGGGGGCTGGGGGGGAGTTGTGTCCAGTGTCACAATGAGCAGCAGGAGCAGCCTATTGTGGCAGGCTACAAAAAGGGGAGGGGGTGGAACTAAGAAGAGAGGCTGGAATCAGCAATGGTGGGCTCTCAAGTGGACATGGGCCTCTTCATTCTTTCTCCCACATGCCTGCCATGCTAGGTCTCCTCCTGTATGAGGTATTAAGTAACATTATGGAGATGCATATGATAGTGCAAACCGGCAGACATGGATTTGGAGTGGGATTCCACCAGCAGATGCAGGAGAACAGGGAAGCTGAACAGATGTCATTGAAATTGTACTCAATACTGATCCAGAGTAGATTCCATTGTATAGTTGCAGGATTCCTAAAAAATAGACCGGAGGCATTTCATCCAGCAGAGCTTTACTGCTACTGAAGGCAAATGAGCAGAATGGTCACAAATCCAATACATTCAGGATTGGCACTGTCCGTAAGAAATCCAGTTGCAGCAAACTTAACTTAAACTGACAATATTTTATCAAAAGACTAAACCTTAACTCTATATACAGAACACCACATCAGTTGTAAAAAGAGACAGAATTAGAGAGAATGAAACCCAGGCTACTTCTGGCCTCACTATTATGACCTTGACAGAGATAACAGAACCAGCTTAAACCAGTGGTATTTTCTAGAACAGTGACTTTCACCTAATCATTATGACCTGAGAAATAAGCTGGGCAAATAAGCTGGAACTTGAAATATGGGTACCCCCCACAAAAATTTAAAATTCGGCTTTGTAATTTGTAATTTATGTGATGTGATTTGATTTGGTCGGTTAATAAAAATTATTTACAGAAAAAAGAGAAATAAGCTGGGCACAATGGTTTAACTTGAGGACTGTTTTATGCTGCTTTTATGATCTTGTGACCTTTTAGTTTATTAGGTTTCATTTGGATTGAAATTTTTATTATTTCATTCTTGCAATCTATCCTGGCAATATGATTGAATGGCAGTATAAAAATGCTTGTAATTAATTATTGCATTACTTCTGGGGTGACTGAGGAAAGGACAACAATATGGGAAATCTATAACTGGCATACCAGATGAAGCTGGTAAAAGGCACTCCTAGCCACAAAAGTCACTTGGGCATATTGCTGGCATCATGCTCCAAAATGCCCAATGATGGTTCTTAAAATAACACCCTACAGAACTCCGTAGCACAAGTAGTAGGAATGAACCACTGTAATACAGTGTCTCTAATAACCACCCTGAGTAATTGGTCCATAGTCAACAGCAACAAAAGCCACTTGAAGGGCAAGCTGGAGTAACAGGGTTGTATTCCACCTGCTCCTCTCTTAATAAAGGTGACCAAGTGCACAAACCAGGCCTGAACCCTCACTGAAATGGATCCAGATAATCATTGAACTCTAGAAACACCTGCAGCTGGTCTTCTAGAACCTTCTTTATATTGTTTATATTGTATAAATATATTGTATAAATTATACAATTTTTATATTGTATAAATCCTAGAATCATTTGTTTCTATCAGTCAGCATGCTTAACACTTCAATTCACTAGGTGTTCCCTCAAACACTAATAAAAAAAAATTGAAGTAACACAAAAGATCTTCAATTATAACATCACTATTAATATTTTTATTCTTCTGCTGTAGTTTGTGTTAGTAGGGTACTTTTGTTTGCAAAGGTTGATTCCTCAGGTTTTAAAGAAAATTATTAAGTATCTTAAAAATAAAAACACACTTTTTCCTATGATTTTTAGTTTAATCACTCAAGGCCTCTTATTCTTCAATATGCAGTAAGAATTATACACAATACATTTTCAATTAAGCTGAGAGTGGAAAGTTTTAAAACATCCAGGTTAGAGTGAAACAGAAAAATAAAACCAATAACTGTTTGAATTACTACTATAACAGGATGGATAAATGACCTTACCTAGCTCCTTAATAGCCAGATACCCTATTGTATCTGCCTTACAGAACAGGAACTACACAGTCGTTGTGAGCAATGATGAAGTCATAATAATAATACAACCCTCAAGCCCAACTAAGAGACAATGGAACGCACACGGTGGAAAACGCCTACAGACACCCAGTAAGGTCAGAAAGATGCGAGGACTGAGAACGGAACTGTTTTAGTAAGGAACGGTGAAGGTTAGGGCTGGTTCTCTCTAAAAAATTATCAACGGAAGCAACTGGATGAGCTCATGGGGAAAACTTAACAACAGAAAGGGACTCCGGCAATTTAGGGAAGGCGGTAAATGGCACTTTAGAAGCAAGGCAGGGAAAGAACTAGGAAGAGGTTGCAAACAGGAAGAAGAGCCCCCGCCCCTTCTTACAACGGAGACTGCAGCCCCGGAATAGGAGCTGGAAAGAACCTGCATGGAAGGCGACCTCACCTGCCCGCGTTCCCGCCCGGCTGACAAGGCGCCGGTACGCAAGTGCACACGCGGCAGCCATTCCCTCCGCTCCTTCCCTTTTTCTTTGCCGCCCCAGCGGAACCGGAAATACAGCGCCGTGTGGGGGACGGGGGACCGGAGCAGCGACGCAGCAGGGCCGTCGGGAAACAGAAGCCCAGGAGTCCAGGGAGCGCCCGTTGCCTATTCCCGCGCGGAATCCTTCGCCGTGAAGCCTTCCCACCCCTCACTCCCACGGAGGTTTCCGCGATGGCGACGGCGGTGGTTCAGGATTTTGTCTCTCGGCAGCTGGAGATGCTAAAGGAGGAAAGGGAGGCCGAGATTTCGGAAGCCAGGTATCGCCGGCGGCTAGTGGACAGTTGCTTTCGTAGGGTTCCTAAGCAGTGTGACTTATATTCCCGAAGGGGAAATAAAACTATTTAAAGCGAAGTACGGGATTTTAAATTTATATTAAAAAAAGTTTCCTAGTTACTTCTGTATGGTTTGGCATATCATATATTGGTTTACAAAAAATCCTGAAGAGACTTGCTAAGGAGCAAACCCCGCTGAATACTGTGGAACTTTATACTGAGGAAATATGTTTATAGGGAATTGCGCTGCCCGTGGGGCCTTTATGCACACAATCCGTCCAAAGCTTTTCCCGCCATGCAGTCAGCTTCCCTGTGGCACTTCTGAGTTAATCTCTCCCGAGACACAAGATGCAGTTTTGTTTGCCTATCTCTGCACACATTCAGTGACCCTAACTAAGCACGACTGCAAAGGTTGCAGTCCTGCACTTAGGCATTTCGAAGAAGCTCTCGCACACTGACCAATTTAGGATTTGCTTCTGAATAAACATGGGTAGGATTGCTTGGTGATGGGTGTCCAGGACTTTAGAGAAGGGGTGGGGGGGGTAAAGCACAGAGCCAAATACAGTAGCATTTCTTCATGAGGTAGAAAGTAATGGCTATTCTGTTTGGCTAGCAGCGACCCGTAGTTTGAAAAGTTAAATACATTGAAGATCTCAGGTGCTCAAAGAGCATAATATAGGAGTACAATAGAACCCACATGAGCTACTTAGTTGATCCTGGAGCTTGCATCCCCCAAAATCTAGTGCCTGTCAAGAGAACCGGGGTAGCGTACATGGCTAAGAGATTGAGCTATTAATCAGCAAGTCCACTGTTCTAGTCATGTCTCTGCCATGAATTAACTAAAGAATCATAGAATTGCAGAGTTGCAAGAGACCCCAAGGGTCATCTAGTCCAACCCCCTACAGTGCAGGAATCTCAATTAAAGTATCCATGACAGATGGCCATCCAACCTCTAGTTAAAAACCTCCAAGGAAAGAAAGTCCCTTACCACCTTCTGAAGGAGTCTATTCCTCTGTCAAACAGCTTTTACCATCAAACAGCTCTTCCTGATTTTTCTCCTAATGGCCTTAAGGAAGCCATGCTCTTAGCTCCCACCCCCAATACAAGCCCAGGGGAGACAGGAGATGGTCATAGTCTTATGTTGCAGGGCAAAGATTACAACTAGATTTTATAATTTATGTTTATAATTTATTTTCATGAGCTGCTGTTGGGCCTACTGACTGGCAATTGGTAGAAAGATCTGATCTGAATTTAGTGGTGCTAGTATTGTACCGTTGTACTGTATTGTTTGTTTTAGTTATTGCTCTAAATGAAGTAAAAGTTGTTCTAAGAATAACATTTTACTGGGTTGTGTGCTGCTCTGGATTTCTCTGAAGGGCAGTGTGTAAACAATAATACTAGTAAAGATGCCAATGCACAGAAGCAGCCTTTCGCTTACTCAGATTGTGGTGCATATGACCTTAGAGCACCTTTCTAGAACCAAAACTATCAAAGGTACAGAATCCCTGTCTTGCGTCAAACCTGGCAAACCTTGGGCTTTGTACATACTTATCTGGGGGTAAGTCCCATTGAACTTACTTCTGAGTAGGCTAGTATGCACTGTTAGTAACCAGCAGCTATTGTAAATGGTTTCTGTTTCTCACAGTGAAAGTATATAGTTTAAGTGATACCATCCTGTTTCCTTATATCATAGTAAAAGAAACTGAAGTTTTCAAACTTGTTCAACCATGGGCTTAGTTGCTGAGTATTATTTTATTGTTATAAAGTAAAATGGGCTCTCCTCCCTAAAGATGAGTTAAATGTCTTAACACTTATTTAGGTGAGTAATCCTTGTAGTACTTGTTGGAAGATTTTCTAAAATTACCTGAAAAAGTATCGAAATAATCAGACTTTCAGGCTAAGGCCTGTATCCAAAGAACCATGCACTCAGTTCCTCACACCCAAGGGAACTCTAGATTTGTTTCACAAACAGCAGCCAGAAGCAAATTATTAACTGAAAGTCTCTCATTCCCTACATTCCCTCCAGGGCCAAGGGGAAAGCAGGTTTGCACACCTCTGTTTATTGCTCTGAAGTGAACTTTCAAAGAAGCTTTTCATATAGAGCAGAATAGCCCTGAGATATATTAAAGACTCTGCTGCCTGTCAATAGCCCCTGATATCTCAATGCTTCCTGTTGATAATTGAATATTTTCCTGCTTTGAGGCTACGCGCAGTTGCCCATGGCTTGTCAGGCAGCCAGCGGATGATGGTAGATCAGTTAGTGCAGGGTTGTTCAGTAAATTACTTCTGGATAAATGTAAATGTGGTATCTCTTATTTCTGGAGTCATTCTTTTATTCTACATGTGCATAGAATCTGTTAATCTTTGTACAGCTTGTAACTTCTGTGTTCCTTAAATTTGGCACCTCTTTTTCCCCTGCAGAGTCTTTTGATCCTTTGCAAATGTTAATTTATATTATGCAAATTACCAAGTGTCCATTTCCTAGTTTTGAGGCTAAACTAAAAGAAAAAAAGGTGGGTGGAGAGATGCCAAACGGTTCGGATTGCTGTAAAACTACCCAAGCAAGAATCTTAATTTACCCAGGCCTAGCATACATGGACACTTTGTGACAAGGGGGGTCTGGGTAGTCTTGACACTTTCCACATCCCTGAATACACAGTAAGGCCCTTGTGTAGACACACATCAACCTGAGGTAGCTTAGAAAGTAGTGGTACTAGGTTCCTCCAGGTACAGGTCAAAGCATTAATCTGTAATCTCAATGCCCCAGCAGACATGAATGCACACCTACATTGTCCCATAGTTTTATATTATTATCCTTCTTTGGAAGGGTGCCAAAAGAGAAGAATTGTGCTGCAAAAAAAGAGGAAAGAGACTTGAATAAGCTTTGCATACACTATTATATATTTGCAAATTTAGAAATCAATTATGTAATCTAAATAGAAATATACTACAGTTCACGAAACAGTAGTAGGGAAGGTAGTGAACTGCGGACTTGCTCAATCTGTTGCCCTGGTGCTAATGGTTGATGGGCTACTGCAAGACCCTGCTTTTTTTTCTTACAGTTTTATATCTTTAAAGTAGACTTGGACAGCCCTTCAAGTAGAGGACACTCTTTCCAATAAAGGACTGTCCTGTGACAGCCCTTTACATAGAGGACAGACCTCTGAAAATAGGACACATGGGCATTCAATCTAGGGATGTTTCTTTGTTGTCTACCAGCATTTCTCTTCACATTCTTCATGGGCAGAGAGTGGAAGAGGACCAGACCAGATCTTAATTCATACCATTCTCAAACTTCTGAATCTATAACAATTTTATGTGTTTTTCCAGGGCATGGAAGGAAAGTTTCTCCTCAAAGAGCTGCAGCGCAAAGGTGTCTGCTTGCTGAAACTTGAAGTAGCCAGTCAAAGAACGGGGTTGTATGGCCGTCTGCTTGTAACTTTACAACCTAGAAAGCATAGCTCAGAGACGGAGCTGCCCTGCAATAATTTTGGTCCTGGTGAGTAATCAGTTGTTGACTTCAATAGAAAGCAGACAGAAAAGCTACGCCTCAGTGCATGACATCACAAGCTCTGTCTGTTCCAGCAGCAGGAGAACCATCCTTACTTATGAAAATTAAACTGTGAAGCAGATTGTTTTCTGGTCTTGTTTTAACACTAGCCTATATTGAAAAACCTACTTATATTAGGTCAAATTTACTTGATGATTTCAGGTAGTTAGCATTCAGCTCAAGATTGATGAAACCTAGTGCTGGAGGGTATTTAGTTCTCCCATTCACTCTCTGCCTATGATGATAGGTGTCCAACAGTTTTGACAGGAGGAGCTGCCACAGAAGACTGGATGGTGCTAGATTGTGTGACATTTGCAGTGAGGAGAGGCAAAGCAGATCTTCGATTATATGGCAGCTGGCCAGAAATTCATTAACTAAAACTCGGATGAATTCTGCTCTCTCTTCCGAGATCACATTCTGGCTCAAGTTTTTGAATCTGAGGAAGTGGTGATGGTCCTTTAAGGTTTACAGATCTAATTCCTCAAGAACAATGTGATTTGCCAGGGTAGTTCTCCATTGATTCTGTTATAGAATATAATTTTAAATAGATACCGTATTTTTCGCCCTATAGGACGCACTTTTTCCCCTCCAAAAATGAAGGGGAAATGTGTGTGCGTCCTATGGGGCGAATGCAGGCTTTCGCTGAAGCCTGGAGAGCGAGAGGGGTCGGTGCGCACCGACCCCTCTTGCTCTCCAGGCTTCAGGAAGCTATCCCCCCAGCCCGGCAAGCTCCCAGAGCGATGCCAAAGCTGTGCGCACCTTCGCCATCGCTCTCCGGCCCGTTCTGGGGGCTGGGGTTGGGGGAAGCTCCGGCTTCCCCCGCCCCCAGCCCCGCAAGCTCCGAGAGCGATGGCGAACGTGCGCGCACCTTCGCCATCGCTCTCTGACCCCGTCTGGGGGCGGGGGGCGGGGGAACCTCGAGCTTCCCCCGCCCCAGCCCCGCACCTGGGGGGAAAAAAATACCCCCCCTTTATCCCCCCCCCCAATCTAGGTGCGTCCTATGGGCCGGTGCATCCTATAGGGCGAAAAATACGGTACATAATTATTTAAAGGGAGCAGACATGTAGAATGATCAGAAACTGTGGCTTCAAAGTACTTCCCTCTCATTAATTAATTTGTTTTTCAATCCTGTATGTGTTTACCTTGCATTTGTTTTTTAAAAAGGAAAACCAGGCCCTAAAATCTTTCTACAAATTAACTTCAAAAACAAAAAGCTTCCTAAAAAGAAACCTCATAGGTGCCTTTTAAATCTGTCCTTTTGGTATGGGAACTAAAAAAAGTTTACACTGCCTTTCTAAGGCAAACTGCAAAGTTGTGGTAGTAAATTAATAGTATGTAGACTGTTAATAGGACCATTAACATCTTTGTTGTTCACCAGAGTGCCTCACAGATCACAGTTTCAAAAATCAATTCTTGATACTCCTGACCTGGTAACCCAGCTACTTTTGTTTTATTGAGAGTAGTCTAAGTCATTACACCGCTAGTGTACAATCAAGCAAAATGGTTCAGCAGAGGCTCATGCCTGAAGTTATCTGATGTTTGCAATTAATTTAGGCAGCAATCCTGTTCCTACTTACCTAGGAATAGCTGCACTGAATTATGTGGAACTTGCTCTGAGTAGACAAACGTACCCACTACCCCTGTTCCATTCACCTTATTTTCTCCTTCCTATGCACTTTATTAGCTCTTTCCTCCTCCCACTGTGTTGCGCTTCTCCCCTTGAAGCCAAGATGACAGGGAAGCAGTGGGCAGTCACCTCTGAGGTTGTTGTTTCTGCACTTTGCTGCAGTAATGGTGGCTCTTCCTTGCATGCACCCTCTGTTTTCCTGTATTAAAACAGGACTGGGTATGGCTTGCTGCTTTGCAGTCTTAGATAACCGAAATCTAAGGCTGGAAAGGAAGATAGCTCTTCTTTCATCTTCCCAAATGCAGCCTTGTTTAGGCTGTTTGGCACAAACTTGTGTTCTGGTGGCTCCAAGCTTCCGTTCCAATATGTACAGGTGAGGGAAGAGTCAAATAGAATGCCGCAGCACATTGGGAGCATTCTTTTTCTCTCTTTCACCCCAACCCTCAAAGGAGAGAGACAAGTAAGTAGCCATGTTGGTCTGACGCAGTAGAAATATATAAAAAAGATTTTAAAAAATTGTCCAGTAGCACCTTAGAGCATAGCTGTCAACCGTCCTTTATTTGGTGGGAAACTCCCTTATCCCAGTGCCGTTTCCCACTGCTGTCCCGGATTGATGATGTCCTGTAAATTTCCTGGGTTTCAAAGGAAGCAGCTCCTCTCCCTCCCTCCCTGCTGGCCAGGGAGGAGGGAGGCTCCAACTGTGTTGCTTGGCTGCATTGCTCACCCAATAAGGAGTCTAAGAACGACTGGGGGGTGGAGCTTGCATGCCTTGTGCCGATCAAATCAGCCGCGTTGCCTGTGGACTCGCCTTTGCTCAGTGCTTCCCAGCGGAGGGGTGACAGTGGTTTTCCTTGCTGCATCCTCTTTGCCAGGTTGTTGCGCTGTGGGAACCACTGCTTGAGGCTTCGTTTGACTGCTGGTTTACTAAAATCCCTTATTTTGGCTGCTGATCCCTTATTTTCGAGGCTGCTGGTCCCTTATTTTCAAATCTGTAAGTTGACAGCTATGCCTTAGAGACCAACTAAGTTTGTTCTTGGTATGAGCTTTTGTGTGCATGCACACTTCTTCAGATACGTGAAGGAGAGAGAGACAGATAGCCCAGACATACTGGGCACATGTTTCAAATCTGAACCTGTGTTGAACAGCATCCCAAGGGAATCCTTTGGGGCTGTTTCTTTTGAGGAGGAGGAAAGGGGGGGAAATAGGCAGGTTAGCTCTTTAAGGCTAGGAGGGAGATTGGAGACTCACCTGGGGCCAATTCTTTCTTGCCACAGGCAATCAAGCAAATGGTTAATTGTATACCAGAATTAACTCCTCAGCTGTGCATGATAATAGTAATCGGGGAGCAGCATGGCATCGCATCCTTGGCTATTTTAAAACAATAGACTATTTGGAAGTGGATTGCATGGAGCTAGAGAAACATGAACTTTGGAAAGCGCCCCCCCCCGCCCCAGACTTTGAGAAGCACATAATCTCCCTCTGCATTGTTTCTGAAAGAGCACTTCATTTCTGAAATGCCAGCATGGGCTACAGAAATTGTCCGTTGGGTTCACAATTGCTAGTGAGTGATCATTTTCAATTATGCAAAGCTGCATTTCTCTCTTAATGAATAAATATTTCAGAAAGATGAGGGAGGCAGACAGGAGAGTGGAAAAAGACAGATGAAAATGTGGTTTCCTGTAGTTGTAATTGAGTGATGTGAATCTAAGAGAAGGTGACTTTCCGCCCTGCTCCTCAGGTACAAGCACAGTGGATTGATTTTGTTCTGGCAATTTAAACTGGCAATTCCTATAACAATTTAAGATGCATAACAATCTTTATTTAATTCATTGGTATAAAATGAGTTTCATTGGTACTTGAATTACTTACTGAAGCAGAATGTATTCTCATTGCTGGATACAATCAATAGGGGTTTGTTGATTGGTTTTTGGAACTAAGTGGTGCTTGCATGGCTAACACTTGCTATATTTTAGAAATATAAATTTGTGAGTGTGTTTTAAAACTGATAATGTCTGTGCTGGGGGCTCTATATATACTGTGTGATTCTGGAGACTTACTATTAACTAAGGGCATCCTGGTACGCTGATCTAAATTCTGTGTGGGCCAAGACGAGAACTGGATCAAGGCACTCAAAGATCCTGGCTTCCTTGAGATGTACAAAAGTCTGATGGCATGCCTACTTTCAGTGTTCAACTAAAGACCCAATCTTCTCAGTGATGTTGCTGGCAGGTCAACTACAATGCCTGTCTTCATACTGAGCATATCGGATTGCACAACTTCTGCTTATTAATGCAATATGGCTATTTATCTTTTAAGAATGTATTGAAACAGTCATTTCCTGTGTTATTAAAACAGAAGTGAATAAAGTTGGTACCTTAAAAAAGCGGGTACCATTGGTGGATCTGTAATAGGATTCCTCCTAGTCTGTGTTTTCCCATCCAGTCCATATTACAGGCAACAACCAGCCAGTGTGGGATGAACCTGCTGAAATGAAATAGCTGCGTGTTGAATTTTCAACTCAGTGCCAAGTTCTGTGCTTTTTCTACTCTGGCTTCAAGGTGAAGCTTCACAGCTGATTAGTCAGAATCTTGGTGGACATGTGGGAGGTGGAAATCAATCCTGGGGGGTGCAGGCAGCCAATTGTGTGGAGCTGGATGGGTGGATAGCAGAGGGCTCCTGCAGTCATTCCTAAGGACTGGAATGTTTATTAGTAGGGAGCTCAATATAGCCATCACTCAGTGGAATACTGCTTATGTCCCAGGTTTAACCCCCCAGGTTAAATAAAGCTATGTCAGACAATGGGAGAGACTGCTAGGAAAGAGCTGCTGCAAGTCACTGTAGACAATGGTGGGTTTGATGGGCAAATAACCAAACCTGGTATAGGGCTATGTTGCCTGCTATTCTGTATCCTGAATGTTCTTCTCTGTTTCATCTGCAGGTGACATTGTTGGACTTTATGAAACAGCAGGCCAAGGTGATCAGCTCTGCACAGGACTTGTCACCCGTATAGCCCCCAAATCAATCACGATTGCAGTTGATGAGCCTCAAAGTAATCTTGTGAGCTTGGACCAGGGGAACTCCTATCGTCTGCTGAAACTTACCAACGATGTCACATACAAGAGGCTTAAAAGGTAAAGCTACTAATATAGGACAGGTCTTGTTTTATTGTGTACCTGAAACGGATAGTAAGCATGCCTTTCTTTTCAAAAGTTGTAAAAAATAATGGAGAGAAGGTATGTTGTTCTTCCACTCCCTCCCTTTTCCGTATTATCACGGAACAACAAAGTATGTACAAGGGCTCCAAATGCCAGATTTGGTGATGTAGGTACTCACTACTTATAAGCAAAGTAGTGGGCTTCCTTATCCAGTTTAGTACTATGGGTTCATAGAATTATAGAGTTGGAACGGAAGCAATCCAGAGTGTCATCTAATCCAACCCACTACAATGCAAGGGAGAGAGTATGTTCAGCTTTTTCTCCCCTCCCCCACCAAAAAAACCCCTCTTCAATCCAAAGACTGCAGAGATAAACAACACCCAGCTCTTGAAGTTTACAGCAGAAGTTTATTCATGTTTGACAATGTTGTCTGAGTTTTAAAGGAATTGTTTTTAAGATTCACTCCCTTTGTATTATTTTCTGTGGCAGGGCCTTAAACACACTTAATCAATATCGCTCCGGGCCTGCATCTGGTCTTATCGACGTCCTCTTCGGTTCTTCTGAACCTAGTGATGCCAGCAATATAAGTAAGAATTTTTCCTTCTCTATATAGAAAGTGGATATCATGCTGAAAAATTCTGGAGACTGGAGAAGTCACTGTAGCACATACTGTTCCAACTATGATGTACAAATATATTTTGTTAGCAACTCCAAGAGTACTGCCTCGCCAATCTATTGTGTCAGTTGAGGAACAGTATCACTGGAACATCTGATGCAGTGCTAAGTGCATCTGGCACCATTGTTCTCTGGCATTGGCACTTCCTTACACGTGCATCACAGTAGCACAAACATTTGTTGTGCAAGGAGCTTGCATCAGTACAAAATATTGTTGGAGAGTGTCTTCATAGATTTAGAATCCTGATGTCCTCAGCAGTCAGTGGAGCCAGACACCAAGTGGAGAGGCCACTCTTGTTCCACATGTCTTTCCTAGTATGAGGCAGCACCACTGAGGTTACTCGTGAGGTGGGGGGCAGGACGGGTTGTTGTCACCGTTTTAGATTAAGGTGCAGTGGCAGGAGCTCAGTTCTTGCTGACTAGGCTGGTAAGTATTACACTTGAAAGTAGAGGAACTTGCTTGTGTGGTTGTTCAGCAGCAACAGAAGAATAGCGCAGTGTTTCCTATTAACCAATATTCAATAGGGAATGTTTTTGTGGCTGTCTAACCATCATATGCGTGGTTTCCCCTTTTTCTTGTTTCCAGTTTAACCCTTACTGAGTACAGCTGGGAGGTTACCCAGCTATGATTCCTTAATGTAAAGTGTTGGTGAAAGCAGGAACAGTGCTAGGAGCACCCGCAGCTATCACCTTCCTGTAGACTGAAGGCTGTGGGGGTACCAACTGCATTTGGTTGATGCACAATTTCTGTGCATCCAAACATTATTCCCCGGAGTTCTGAATTATAGTTTACCCTTGGAGTTTTGAGGAGTCCATAATGGACCCACAAACTCAACAGGGGTATTAGATGTTTTTCAAAAGGGCGTCTTTAGAATGTGGTGGGCCCAGAAATTAATAGAGGACAGACAGACAATGACAATTTATCAGAATGGTTGCAAGATCCCGTCATGAGATGCAACCCACCAGCATTCATGCTCTTGAGCACCGTACCAGTATTCACAGTAGTGTCCCCCACTAGCTAGTCTTAAACCTTCCAGTTTCAGTTACTTATCCCTGTTCTCTGTCACCCAGGAGTCACCTGGGCCAACAGACACAAGTTCTGATGCCAAGAAAAACACCATGGCTTACACAATATAACAGGTCTTAAGTTTCAGCTGCATGTTACGGGTACTTTTACTTATTGTGTGAACTGAACAGTCTAGTTGTTCTCAAGAATAATATGTGGGACGAAAAGGTCACAGTCCTATAATATCCTGTTTCTAGTGAACAATACAGTACACGACTGCTTATCTAATTCAGCTACTGGAGAAAGGTGGCACATACTTTCTGATGCAGATGTTTGCCAGAAGATTAGTCAGTGTGTCAGGACCAATCTGCATGCTTGGAAGAATCATATCATAGAGCTCAATTATCCCATTTCCAAAGCAGGTGGTAGCACACATTTGCATTCTCCTCCCCATAAAAAGCTATCTTCACACTGAAGACTAGCTCAGCAGGGGGACAGCTAGGCCTAGGCTAGCACCTGTGAATCCTGTATTAATTAATTAAATGTATATCCTCTTCCAAAGGAGCCCAGGGTGGCAGACAACAAAACAATAAAAAGCATATTGAACCATTTCAATGCAGATGCAGGCTGGGAAAGAACTCCACATAAAAAGGCTTTTTGGAAAAGGAATAATGATAGCTGGTAACCACCAGAGGTCAGCATTCTCCTATGAGCAGCATATGCTTAAGCCACCTTGTAACTGCTCTTACTTTTCTTCTCATCTTCTCTTGAAATGTACTTATTCCATTTTTTAAAGGAATCTGTATGAAGGATGTCTTTGTGCAGCTGTGTGAACGTTCTGGTGCTGCTAAGGAGGATGTGAGAAGCTTGTTAGGTCTGCATTGCTGTGCTGCTTCAAAGTGGCTTTCCCTTTGGTCAGCCCTGGCTGGTCCTGAGTCATGGCACCTGACCATTTTTCTGAGCTGCTGCTTAGTGGGTTTCCCAGAATGCTTATGTACTTATAGTGCGCACACACTGTACTTCCTTTTATTTTGGGAACATTATTCACCATACTGCCTTCTGCCCAGTTGTCCACCGTGTGCTGCAGTGAGGAATCCCCATTGCTCCCTGCTGCTGTGACCAGCCAGTCAGTCTCACATCACTAGAAGTAGCAGCATACAGGAGCATGGCCAGCCACTACTACCCACTAAGTGAGGCCAACCTGCACCATGGGTCCAGCAATGGCATTGCTGCAGACCCAGAAGGAGACATCTTGCTGTACCACCACCTGAGATGCCAGTGATCTAACTAGTTCATTCTAAGGTAGCAGCAGCTGTGGTTAGTCAGAGTACCTGGCAGCTGCTGTAGACAAGCTTAGCGGGTTGTATAACAGTGAATGCTAGATGTAACAACATAGAATGGGTTGTGAGCTTTCAGAGGCAGCTGGCTGGTATGCGGTTCAGAATGCTGGATGGGGACTGGGCAATTCTTACAGGGTCAGGGCAACATTATAATAAAAGATTCAAAATCAGAAGAAGGCTGGAAGAAATGGGACCTTAAGACAGTCTTTGAATGGTCAGTGTAAAGTGTGCCTTCTGTAAAACTAAAAGGTGCATCCTGATGGGTCATCCAAGTGGATATGCTAAAAACTGAATGAATTGGGGTACTTCCCTTTCCTGCTGTTTAGAATGAGAAACCTCTTGGCAACCTAGTTTAGCAAAGGTGACGCTCATTGCCCCTTCTGATGTGCCAGCTCCTTGCAGATACAGAGGAATTAAATTGTCAGTTCTGTGTCTTTTGCCAGCCTGAAATTACAAATGCCTGTTCCATGTAGCATTTGCCAAACTAACAATGAGAACTCCTACTTGCCAACTGTTCCTCTTTCGTAAAAAAGAAATCCAAAACACCCTCCTTTATATTTTACTTGATTTCCTCTGGACCTCGGAGACCAAATGTTCTTCTGCTGATTACTGTAGCACTCTGACATCAAACAAGCAGCAGGATAGAGGCCAAAGCCATCCTCTTTTATCTTTTGCAGTTGAAAGGGTAAAGTTTAGATATTAATTATATGAACTCCTGTAACATTTGCTGTACAGAACATTTTTAGCGTCTCAAGTCTGCTCTGAAAGTGTTCTCATTGTGCTCAAGACAAATGTACCTCTACTTTTGAAATCTTGATCTCATTTATCTTTTCACGGCTGGATAGGATATTATTTAGTAACCCTGTTTTGCAGATGAGAAAATGAGGCTGATAGATTGTATGACTTGCTTACGGCCATGGAAAAAGGGTTTCTGTCTAAGCACGAATTTGAACATGCCTCTTGCACTTACAAGCTCCTTTGCAATCATTGCCATGGTGCATATTTCCCTTTCTTGCTTCCCACTTTTGTAGGATGCTATTAATGCTATTAATCATTCTAAGAAGCCCTGTCATACCTACTTAAGCAGTGCTGGTGTTTGGCCTTCTAGCAAGGAAGGTGTTTTGTTTTTTTTTAACAAAAGCAAAAAACCAAGAACTTCTTAGTGAGATTATGATGGTGGGATTTTTGTAAATGTACTGCCTCTTTAAAATACATCCTGGCACAACACACTGACTTTCTATTCCAACACAGATTTAGATAATGATGCAGAATGTCTCTGAAATAGAGTTTGAAGACTGGGAATATTTGCAGCTAAACATAGTCTGTCTTAAAGGCAGCCAGGACTCAGTATGGGCTCACACTAGGGATCCTGACTCCTCTGAGTATTAATTTGGATGTTTCCTTTGTTGCAAAGGTTATTCTTGCTATCAAATCTGCTTCCAGGAGCAGCCTCTTATTTGCATTGTTGCGCTTGCTTTCTTTTGCAAATGTTCTTTGCGGGACTGAGAACTGAACAAATGCTCCTCCTGCTGCTTCTCGCAGAGCTGTTGAAGTACTACAATGAATCACTGGATGCCTCTCAGAAGGAGGCTGTTTGCTTCTCACTGGGACAGAAAGAGCTTGCCATCATCCATGGACCACCTGGAACAGGCAAAACGACTACGGTGGTGGAGATAATACTTCAAGCTGTTCAGCAAGGCTTGAAAGTGAGTGAGTGGGTATGGATTCTAAGGGAGCTGCTTGATGGCAGAACATAGTGATGGCCGCCTAATCCTGGACAGTTTTGTATGATCTGGCAGCAACTGTCCAGGGGTTTGATGTCCCCAAAGGGTGGGGAACATAGCTGAGTCTCACCATTTCCATTACTTCATCCCAGCCATTCTGCATTTTACGACATGTTTCTGTGTCCCTTTGAATGCTATGGGAACTGGGTTGATAGCAGGAAGAGGGAGCATCACTTTATTAGCAGAGTATGTAAGAATTTTTACATCTTGTATTTGTCCCCATGACAGTGTGGCCCTCTTGTGCCCTAGTTATAGGTTGGGGAGTGACTTGGGATAGGTTGCAAGACTCCTCCAAGATTACAGTAGATGGTGTTGGCTGGGGTGAAGCTGCTGTTTGAACCCATTTGTCCATACTACCGAAGCACCTCTAACCATTTATTTGAGGTTCTCCATCCTCCCTACTGACCGTGTATTTTTTCCTGAAGCAAAACTGGGAGAGATCATAAGAAGGTAGTAAAATTACATGTCAGATCCTGAGGCCTGGGTTTGACTCTGGAATAATGAGAAACATCATCATTATTATTATTTTGAAATGTGGCTCTTCCCCTGGCACTTATAAAAGGATCTCCTTTCCCTTTTATTTTGAAGCTGTTTCTTCACTCTTCTAATCACATTTTTTGCATATCTTTTTGGCCGTTTTGGTGAAACAAATAAATGTTTTTAAAAATGTGCTCCTCTCCTAGGTCTTGTGCTGTGCTCCATCTAACATTGCAGTTGACAACTTGGTAGAAAGACTCGCTGGCTGTAAAGAGCGGATCCTGCGCCTTGGTCACCCGGCTCGTCTCTTGGAGTCCATACAGTGCCATTCACTTGATGCAGTCTTGGCACGTGGGGATAATGCCCAGATTGTAGCAGATATCAGGAAAGATATTGATCAAGCATTTGTGAGTTTTGCGTTCTATTTTCCACAATCTTTTTTTTAATGGATAAGTATTCTTCAGAATATGTTTCTGAAAAGTGCAGAATGTATACTTCTGAGAAGGTATAAGTGCAATACAGTCTGATGCAGGCATGGCCAAACTTGGACCTCCAGATGTTTTGGGACTGCAACTCCCATCATCCCTAGCTAGCAGGACCAGTGGTCAGGGATGATGGGAATTGTAGTCCCAAAACAGCTGGAGGGCCAAGTTTGGCCATGCCTGGTCTGATGTATGAAATATTCAGAATCATGGGATTGCTTTTTGTTTTTCAAAGAAGCAAGCACCTAGCCCTCATTGTTGTGGAGGGCAATTCTGGCATGTGTGTAGGCAGTGTAAAGTTGGAGGGTCAAAATCAGGCTTATTTATTTATTTATTTACTAATTTTATTTGTAAAATCTACAAACAGGAATAATAGCATAATACACATAGCCCTGAAACACCAAAGCAGATTTAACCAAGGCCCAACTTAGGCTGAATGAGGGCCAATAAATGTGCATTTTCCTATTATCTCATCCAGGTACTGATTCAGAAGATATGAGTCTATGTCTTAGGTCTATGTCTAGAAAAAATGTGATCTGTGAAGTAGCTATATATAATCAGAACTATCTTTTTCATGACAAGTGTGTAACTGGTAGTATATATGACTGCTGGACTCAGCAGAACAGCGAAATACTTAAGGAGAGATTAAAAAGCATAACCTCTTCCTTACTGGAGCTTAGTATTGCTAGCACTGGCCCCTTTTAGCTCTGGCCTATCCTTTTAGGTCAAGGCTGAGTCATTGGATGAACAAAATAAATGACATCTGCTTTCATGGACCCCCCCCCCCCATTGAAGCTCATTGGGGCTGAATGGGGTAGTGATTTCTGAATTCTCAATATTTCTTTTTCCTGATCACCACCCAAGTAGAGAATGCAATGCACCCATAGCATTACCACTTAAAAGTATTGGAAGAAAATTCATTAAAAGTCTTGGTAGCTCAATTTGTTACATGGTCCACCCTGCCCGTCGCAGCATAGTTTTAGAGTTCTCTGTCATCCTCTTTATTTAATTTCCTGCTTTAAACTTAATTTAAAATGTGGCACTAATTTAATTGGGATATCATTTATTATTACAAATTATTGCATTTCTTTCCCAGTGACATTGTACAAAATGGCTTCATAATTAAATTAAATGCACTATGCTGGGAATTTGTCCACTATCACGTAGAGGCATACCTGTAATGGGTTTCAGGACTTGGCACACACTTTTGCCTGCCCTGTCCCCTTTTAAGCCCCTTCAGTCTCTGGGAAATGATGCAGTAATGATCTTTATTTGTCTTGTTTGCTCCTTAATACCTTTGCTTCTTTAGCACCCTCAAAATAATAATAATAATAATAATAATAATAATAATAGTAATAATAATTTATACCTCGCCCATCTGGCTGGGCTTCCCCAGCCACTCTGGGCAGCTTCCAACAAAGCATTAAAATACAGTAGTTTGTTAAACATTAAAAGCTTCCCTAAAAGCATTTTTACTAGTTATAATTAGTATTATTCTCATTTATTTACACGGTGCTTTATAACCTTTATTGTGCAAATTGTCACAACATGCACACATAGGCAGGTGGCTGTTCCTCATATTATGGATGACAAGCTGCGGCTGAGAGATGGAACTGGAAGTTTAACCCAGGTCACCCAGATTTATGTACACTTTGCTGTAAATAAGCTTTCTTAGTGATACCTTCTAGATCTCTTTCCATCCAGTCCCTGGTTAGCAGCTGACTTTGCTGGAGAGCCACTCAGAGTATTGGGATGGAGGGTCCCAGGCCTGAGATGCTGTTTGCTCTACCTGTTCCTCTGTCACTATTATCCTTTAAAGATATATTTACAGACCTGACAGTGGCAATCTAGAACAGAGTTTGGCTGGGTGGGGGGATTTCCTGCGTGGTGCTGGCATTGCAGAGGGATGAAGTTGGAGCAGGGGATGAAATAAATGCAGTGCTTGTTTTTATTTGGAATTGATAGAAGTGCGGTGGGTGCCAGAACAACATGTTTTCCATGGGTAGCAAAAAAACACCGACTGGATGCATAGATTAATTGAATCATATGCAGGTGTGAATGCTAACTAGACAGAGTCCATCCTGTGAAGTCAAATCTCGCCCCTCTCTTTTTCTTTTGTATATCAAGAAATAAGGCAAGGAACATATGCTCAGTTTTGACTTACCAAACCAAATGCAGGCTGCTGGTCACACTACGTTCTCCAATAGTCCATGGCTGCAAGAGGTTTAGAGGTCTACATACCTCAAGGTTATTTACTGAGGTGGGGGGGGGGAGGTTGGTGTTACAAAAAGTAGCCTCTTGGCCATCAGTATCTAGGTACATAAATGCTGCCTTCACTTTCTCCACTGCTCTGTAGGAGAGCTGCCTGTTTGTGAATTATGTTTGCCTCGTCGAAACTAAAAAAACAACAACACCTAACAGGCAAACTGAGATGAGAATGTTTTCTGGCGTGTTCAGAGATGAGAGCTATCCATTGTGTTCTCTGGAGCAGTGGTGTTCTGATGTACAATCTTCCCTTAAACTACAGCGGCCGACTATTTAAACTAGAGGATAACAGACAACTCCGCTGTTAACTGCAGTTTATTTGTGTAATACTCCACACTGCACCGAGAGCCAGAGTGGTATACTAGGAGGAGGAAGACACCAGCATCCATGAGGGTCACTGGTGACCTTGAGTCATTCACTCTCGACTGTGCCTATTTCACACAGCCGTTGTGAGGATATAATTGTGGTGCCGGGGCTGTACACCTCTCATGGGAAGGTTAGGGTATAATAGTCATCAACCTCTCTCAATAATGAAGTCTCAGTGCCCTCATACTGATCAGAACGGAACCAAAATGGACCCACTGAGAGACAAGAGGGAGGTATCAGCATGCTTGTGGGAGGGGGAATCCCAAGTTTTGGAGAAGTTCAATTTAAAAAACTACCGCAACCACCAAAATCCTAATGAGGGCTCAGTATGTTCAGTGGACACCAGGCATTGCAGAATGTTGTGTCAGTTGGAAGAGAAAACTAAAGCAGTAGAATGAATTAGCTTTTTTAGTCCCTAACATCTTATGATATCCTGGAGGAAGGTACACTGGACAAGAACACCCCTGTTAGGAGATGAATATATACTGCAACATCTCGTTGCAGTTTCCACTTGTACTGTAATAATATGCAGGGAGCTAAATGTTCTCCTTTAGTGAAAGCTACAGAGTTTGCCTCTTTCAGCATTTTCAGATTTCTCTTTATAATAAGCTTTAATTGCTGGAGCAATGAAACAGCTCAGAAGTTGTTCCCTATTTGGGAGGAATCCAGGAGAGTGTAATTGTTTTGAGAGATTAGTCCCCTCCCAAAGCAAATTGCAATGAAAAGTAGCTTGCCTATCTCTCCAGTGTCTCCACAGCCAGCAATCATGGAAAGGGTTCAGCAACTTTATGGGTTTTGTATATTGCAGTTGCTTTACTTTTTACTTTCTTACTTTATTTCATTATTTCTTATTTTATTTTGTTGTGTCCCAAGAAAAGAAAATATCCAGAATAGGTAAGATTATTATTATTTTTTGGATCATCTCCTAGCACAGGAGTATGAAAGACTTTCTATTATATGGGATATTTCTTGATTTCTAAACGTGCCCCCCCCCCCCCGGGTTTGGTGCCTTAAGACTTTTTAGGCATGTTTGATATAGCATTTTGAAGGAGGCAACAAATGAGACACGCAGGCAATAGCATAGGCTGAAAGACTCATTTAACACCACCCAGTGACCTCCGTGGCTGGGCAGGAGAGTGAACCTGGGCCTTCTATATCCAGCCCCAGCTTTCTAGCCACTTTATTGCGCTGGCCCAGAAGGGTAGCAGTATCACAGTAATAAAGGCTAGCAATTTTATTATTATGTCACAAGATTATTTGTGAGGACTTGAGACAAAGCCAGTGGGGAAGGGGCAACTTGTATTAATTCAGAAGATTTCATATTCTTACATACTTAAGTCTGGAATATCTTGTAGTTTTAAAAATCCTGCACCCATAGTTGCCCCTTTTGAACAAGAACTGATATTAATGCTGCAATCCTAAATTAAATTAGCTGGGAGCAAGTTTCATTCAGCTGAATGAAACTTCTGAGTTGGTATGTATATGATTTTAATTGTAAGGCCATTATATATATTTGCAGTTTAATACTACAAAAGATGAAGTTGTTTCTAGATATTTGTTTATGTTTTATTTACCCCCTTTGATCCTTTCCAGGACTAGAAACTTTGTGTTTAATAAAAGATGTGATTCAGGCCATTTTGACAGCAATCTCTTGGCCGCAGAGTGCATGTTGTACATTCCTGCACTAAGCATGAAGTTGATTATTAGTTCACACCATGCCCGTGGAGAACTCTGGTGGCTGGCTGGTGGTGAGCACAAGGTTTCTTGGTTTGGAGCCTAATTTCTCCATGAGCAGAAGAAGAGCTGCGCTAGTACCACCACCCCCAACTTTCATGGGGCCATCCAGTCCCCAGAAAAGGGGGTATAGGATGTTCAGCAAATAATGCAGGAAGGGAGGGCAAAATAAATTAATTTTCAGAGGAGGACAAGGGTGACTTGCCATTTATAAGAGTAGTCAGCAGAGGGTTTTCACCTTCTTTTCTTTCAACCAAAATGGCTTTACTTCAGTGGCAGAACTTCATTGGCAACCTGGCGACATTCCCATGTCCCACAGAGTGGCCCAATGGGAGCACTGCCATATCATGGCAGCATTGTCCCCAGTGGCATTGCTGGCGGGGGGGAAAGAAGATTGTTCCCCAACTGGCCACTGCGGGGAGCAGCTACCTGTGCCCCAGCCATGCCTTGGGGAGTGGTGACATTACATCGTGACATCATTGGGCCATTTCTGCAAGACATTGGAACGCCACCAGGATGCGGGTGGTAGTTGAGACTAAGTGGTGGTGTTGTTGAAGAAAAGAAAGCAGAGAACCTACTGCTGCCATCTCTTATAAATGGTAAGTCTCTCATGCGCCTCTGAAAATGAATTGATTGTGCCCATCTATGCTGAAAATTATATATCTCATCTCCCAGACAAATGCTGTAGGGGTTACCTCATGGTTATCTATATCAACAGGAGTTTAGGTAGGTTGCCTAGTTCACCTCATACATTTGGTGCCTGCTCAGAGTTAGAAAGGTGTCCCTCTTCGAACTGAGGTTTTCATCCAGTGCAAGCTAGACGGCATAATGGGGTTGCCTTGAGATGAAGGCATGCCAAACAAAGCTAAGATGAGGAGAAATATAGAAACTTTGCCTCCATCTTACTTTGCTGCCAATTTACACCTGTGACTTTGAATATGCAGCTGAGCCAAATCATGAGATTATTTATATTGTGAGAGATTTATTGGTGTTGGGAAGTCTTGTATTGTACAATATGCTGCTTAGATGTGACAAACCACATTAGGATGACCACATGGGTAACAACAAAATAATGCTACCTACTGGTCACATTGTGTGTAATGTTTTGTTTGAAAAGACATGCACAATTAGAAAGTGTTGCAGGTGCTGAAAGTTGCAGTGTATTTTAATTAGTATGTCCTCAGCTTGCAAAATCTGGAGCAAAGGGGTGTTTGAGACTTCTGTTAGAATAGTAGTTATCACTAACCAATTAAATAAACCCTAGGGCTTGTCTGCATATTTTCAGGGATTAATGAATCCCAGCTGGATCCTCACATAGATGAAAAGCTTTGTTATGTTGGGGAAGGGGAATTATTGATGCTACTACCAGGAAAAAAAAGCATCATTCATCAACAGTACCTCCATTAAATAATCCATATTGAATTCACCACCCCAATATACTATCAACAAACTATATTTCCCTTTCTCATGTTGATTTACATTTTGTCAGTATAGGCATAAGGGCTGAAAAGAGAGCAGCTTGATGTTGAATTGTAGTATGCTGCATTTTAATGAGGAAGATTTTGTTTCATTAACTATTATCTTAGCTGCTAAACGTTGTGTACAGTGATACACTGGGCCATAAGCTACATTGTAGTATGGGGAAATTGTTTCCCTCCTCTTCTTCTTCCCCTTTATACAGGTGAAAAGCAGAAAAGCCCAAGACAAAGGAGAAAGGAGCCATTTTCTAAATGAGATTAAAACACTGAGAAAAGAACTGAAAGAGCGAGAGGAAACTGCTATGACTGAAATACTGACGAAAGCTAATGTTATTCTGGCAACAAACACAGGTTAGAGGAACTTTCCTGGTTTGCTTGGGTGGGTTTTTTTGCCTTGAAGAATAGCTAAATCAGATTATTGGCAGCTACAGATTTAGGCTGCTCTACACTCCACTGCATTCTTGTGCTTTATCATGTACTCCAAAGATTGCCCAGTGCATCTTTGAATTGATTCTCAACCCAATATGTGTAAAGGTATGTTCAGTATACAGAATTGCGTCTTGCTAGATGATTTGCCTTTTTCTTCTGTGCAGTTCTGCTTTGCAGTTGGATGGTTTGTATAACTAATCAATGCTGTGCGCACATGTACTGCACACACAACTCTGCCATTCATGTTTTACAGAACATCTTTTACTTAATGCCGGCTAATGAGGTAAGGGAACATGCATTATTTATATAACTAATCAAGCCTTTGGAGCTGAGAAAGCCGTGAATTGTGTTTTAAAGTATGTACTTAATGTGGCTTCTTGGATCAGGGACCAGACAAATTGCTCCTGTTGGCGATCCCCATGGTATATTTACCAGGGAAGCTTCCAAATAACCCGAGTGAAAAAGATTGCATATTAAATGTTACAAACATGTGCAAAGATTATTTATGAGTACAACACAAGTGCCATATTAAAATCAATTTGTTGTTTAAAATAATGTTTCCCTTTTGATTGGAAGGCTGAAATAGTACTTTAAATCTCTCACCACTGAGTGTTCTAGACAAGCAGAATACTAGAGTGTATTCAAACCTAGCACACCTGGAAGAAGGCTAGGCTAGTATCTTCCTCCCTGACGTCTAGTTGTGCCAGGAAGGTGTGTGGGTTTGTTCATTTCTAAATGCAGGAGTGTTTAGTCATTTGATTATCCCTTCTGAAATCCAAGTGGCATAATCTAGGAATAGATCTGCATTGCCATCTACTCTTTGGGTGAGTTAGGTCTCCTAATATTGGCCATCTTAGGGTGTATTGGACTTTGGCAATTTTTTTCCAATTTACTATTTGAAAGAAGATACTACAAATATGATCCCTTGGAGGCTGTTGCTTCAAGAGCAAGAGTTGTCAGCTAAACTTGAGACATTTATCAGGGCAAGGATGAATGGGGTCACACTCAGGGCTTGGCAAGTGTACTGCTCAGGTTTTTTGTGCCCAAGGAGAGGGCACATTGCCTACACAGCAGAAGCAGTAGCCAAGGGTGTTGGGATCATGCCAAGCTTATCAAAGGGGCATATTTGGGCTCAGGGCTCCCTGCAGTCAGAGGTACTAACATTTACGCATATTTGAGCACAACATCCCTTCTTTCAGAGATGAATCAGCCTGTTCCTTTTAAAAGCCACCTAGTGTTTCCAAAACTTCTCCCACTACACCCACTCACACAGACATACAAGCACCTGGCAAGCATTCCTTCTGCCTCACCTGCAGGGATGGATGAACTTTTCCACAGAAATAGCCAATAGTGCTTGTTCATTAGGAGAAGTGTTTTGGTAAACAGGAAATTGGACTGTCAGATGGATCCTCTGTTGCCTGTCACAGCACACTGCTGAGGACAACATAATGTGAAGGCTTGTGATACTTTGAAAAGATGCAGGTATCCAGCATGTCAAGGCCAACACGTCTTTCCTCCACTTTTTGCTATGGTGCATAACTTTAACATTTTCTCTTGTTAACTAGGAGCCTCTTCTGATGGTCCTCTGAAGCTACTTCCTGAGAACCACTTTGATCTGGTGGTAATTGATGAATGTGCCCAGGCATTTGAAGCAAGCTGCTGGATACCTCTGCTGAAGGCCAGGAAGTGTGTCCTGGCTGGAGATCACAAGCAGCTGCCTCCCACAATCATCTCTCACAAGTAAGGAACATTTCCCAAAATTGGGCCATTAATTATTTGGAGCATTGGGGAAAACGTTCACCTGGGGTTGAGGGGAAGTGTTTCAGTTTGGACATCATTACCTGTGTTTATCTGTGCAGCAGGTAGGGCTGTTAATAGCTGGGCCAACCTACCCGGTCGTTATTTAAGGACATTGGTACCAATAGATCAACAGAAAAACATTTTTAAGCAGGAGTGGTTAGAACCATGGACTCTGATCACAAAGGTAGATTTTTTTCCTATCAGTCATAATAGACATACTTTGCTGTTACACCTGAAAGGATAATAATAATTTGTCCTCATTGACAGCTGCGCCTTCTGATTAGAAGGAGGCAAGTATTTGGTAGCCTTCTCTGTGGGTGTGTAATTCTGCAGCGTGATAATACCCAATACAGAGATTTAGCAGAATTCCCGCATCTCAGAGAAGGTTGCCTGCTGAGGATGAGTGTGTTGGGCTCACAGGAACCGTTAACTGTTGAATTAATTAATTTCTCCCTCCTCAAAATTTGAAAATTACAGGTGTAGAGGAATGACCAAGAGCACTGGAAGCTTAGGCAGGGAGGGCCTAGGGAAGTAGCTTGCATAAAACCTGTTTTGAGAAAGAGTGAACTGGCCAGGATTCCGAATAAGCTGGCCCCATCACCCAAATGGTGAGCTGCTAGTTTCCATGCACTGTAGCAGGAAGATACAGTATTGACAGATCACTACATTTTTTGAGATCCTCTTCATATATTATTCATATATATCAAAATTTTGGGTTTTGAGTTTTCATATAGGGCTCTGTGTGTGCGTGCCTGGTTTGCTTGAGTTTTTCTGTTAGGAATTACTGCTGTGCTAGAAAAAAATTACATCTTATTTATGGACCTGCTCCCTGAGAGGCATTAAGCCACTAACAGGAATGTATTTCTTCTCTGCTTTTTACTTTCTACTCCCAGTAGGAAATTAGCATGCAAGAAGCCTATAAATTGTGCATTGTTGTGTGTGCTGCTCTTACTATGTAAATCTTTAGTCAGTTTTTTTATGCACATGAATTTTATGGATCTCATATCTGTAATATAATTCAACCTTTTAGGTACAGGCATTAATTATGATATCCTGGTATGTATAGAAAACCTTTGCAGTGATGGTAGTTTAAAAGCATTTTTTTGTATCTGTTGTATCTGTGAGCAGCTGTCCCAAATGAAACCAGGGTTCTCTTGTGCACTTAGAAGGGCCTGGACTAGACAAAAAAATACTATGCCTTCTGACAAGTTGAAAGATGCTGTGTTATAGACTAGATGATCTTTTTCTATAGAAACTAATACTGGAGACATATGTCTGAAGATCGTTCCTTGCAGAGCATCATTTTGACTAGCCCCTTAACCTTTCCCTACCCCATCACTTATGTAGTGATTTCACTGCAAAATCAGCATAACACCTGTGTAGAACCTGAGCAGTCCATTGAATTATAGGAAAGATGTTCAGTGGTAGAATGGAGAGATCAGAACTTTGACACCCAGGAATTGTTGGGGCCTTTTGACTGAATGTACACACACATTATGTCAAATAAATAATGGTGTAGACTGAAACAAAACAAAAACATATCAGGATGAGGGAGAAACCAGTGCTCATAGTGGGGAAAATGTATGCAATCCTTTTGAAGAAATGAGCTCCATCTCCGATGGGAACCTTGTCATCTTTGTTGAACCTTGAAACCTTGAATCCTAATAGGCCTTTCTTCCCCTGAAATCTTCCTCCAGCCACTTCTCCAGATTGCTTGGATTCGATCCAGTTGGTTCCCTCCTGGGGCTGTTTTATCATGCTGACTTTTTGACCAGTCCCCTACCAATTTGCGTTACTTGGGTGTAGCAAAGTAATTCTGCAGTGGCAAAAAGAAGGGAGATCAAGGTAGCAGAAAGGAAGTGTGTTCTGCAGTACCTGGGAGAGTAAAACAGAAGTTGGTGACAGTGGCCTGGTATGTACATTTGAGCACCTAAATGACCAGGCATGCATGTTGAGGACCCAAGCCATGCCCTGTAGCTGAATGCTCATAGGAATTTTAGAGCACTGGCTAGGAGCCACACACTGTGTGCTCCAGATGCACACACTGCCTTCTCTGCTAAGAACTTGGAGGGGGAATGAAGATCCTTGGACATCTGGTATGATATGGAATGTCAGATTTTGGTTCCTTGAACCAGGAGTCAAATCCCTGGCCTCAGAGTCAGGCCTCTGTTCTTCTCTGTGGCCTGCAGGGTGCTTTTCCTTGAACTGGGCCAACTATTTATTTGGAAGAGGCAGAGGCAGTTTTGCTGTCTTCTGTCTGTAGAGGGCACCTCCGCCTCTGAGTCCTGGTTGACAGTGTTTCCAGGAAATGGGACATGGTATCAGTGGTTTTTGCTGTGTGCATGCTGTCAACGTGTGACAGTTGCACAATGGTCTCTGACCAGAAGGAAGGCCTGTCTCAGTTCTGAGGAGAACAGCTCTCCAGAATGGGGGGCTCTGCAGTGAGGAGCTTTTTTCTTCCATCTTTTCATTCTTTTCCTTTTTATTCTTCCTGTGGAGGTATTGTCACAGATCCTGTTTATTTAAAATATTTGGACAGAAATGAAAAAGCCAGGAGTCCCTGTGGTAGCAATTATGAAACCGCAGTACATGTCATTTGTGCAAATTGTTGTGGATTGCAAACTCAAGAGTTAATTCCAGAGTGTGCAGCTGCCACAACTGATGTCTAAAAAGTCTAGTTTGCAATTGGCACCCCAGGAATCTGTGTGTACTCATATGTGCACTGCATGTGCAAGGTATAGTCACTCAGACATTCCCATTGGGTTTGCTTAGAATTTATTTCTCTCAAGCCTAGTGTTGATATGGAGTTTCTATATGAGAAATGGACAGGGACCTTACAACATGTGTATGCTTGCTAAAAACGAACTTGCTGATTAACATCCTAGACAAAAGTACTTCTTCATGTAAAGCATAATTACCTTAATGGAATTCACTGTGACAAATGTGGCGTGGCCAGTCTCACAAATGGTTTTAAAGGAGAATGGGTCAAATTAATTGAGGAACAGGGTCTTCCAATAGCTGTTAGTTTAGTGAACCTCCCAAGTTGCTTTGGGTGTGGGGAGAGGGCAAAAACAGGGAAGAGGTATCACTTATCTATCCTGGTTGTGAGTTTTCTGGAAGAATACAGCTGGCAACTATGGGGAACAGAACACAGGAGTAGATGGACCATTTTTTAAAATTGTGTCTCTGGAGAAGAGGGTAGCCAGCATAGTGTTCTGAACTATAATTCCTATCATCCCTGACCAAGTTGACTGGGGTTGATGGGGGTTGTAGTCTGAAATATCTGGAGGGCACCATGTTGGCTACCCCTACCCTGGAGCAACAGTCACATGCTTTGAAAAGGAAATGTTTTTAAATGCAATGTGGAAACTGCCACAAAAAGCAGTGTGGAGTGCTGCTGTCAGGATTCTACTCCATTGCATCTCAGTTTTTCTATATCCCCCCCCCCCCCAAAAAATAAAAAAAATCAGCATTTAGTGTCTGTTGAGCATTCTTGGTCATCACTGGGCTGTTTTTCCCATTATGATTTGTTATACTTCTATGAATCTTGGGATTTCCCCAACCATGCTAATACCTCCCTCCTCCTAGGCTGGAATAGATGAGCCTAATGGTCTGTCTCTGTATATGGCAGCTTCCAATGTTGGCAATTCCGAATAAATGCTTTCCAGACGCTTAGCTGGTGAAAACTAACAAAAAGTGTCAGGTGCAGTGGATTAATGAAACAATCTGAGTTCAAATATTTTAGCCTAGCTATAACTAATATGTAAGACAGTGTCTCAGTTTAAGAATGAGATTAACAGGTAAGAAAGATTCTAGCCCTCATGTTTTGGGAAGAAGGGCTTGACAATTGTGTGCCATGTTGTTGAAATCTCAGAAAGTAAAGGGTGTATGATACAGTGGGGAGTGGTGCTTCTTTGGTTTCTACTAAACACCAGGAAGAATACCATTACCAAGAGTATCAAAAGCCGCTGAGAGGTTGAGGAGAATTAACAGGGACACATTTCCCTTGTCTCTCTCCCAACAGAGGTAATCATACTAAAATAGTTTCTGTGCCAAAACCAGGCCTAAACCCCAATTGAAATGTCTGTACTCCTGATTGTTATTACAATAAAGTATACAGGTTATTCAGATGTAAGCAAGTTTTGCATATCTTATTATGAGCACATAATAAGATTTCCACTCTGTATGCTATGTATTTTTTAGGTAAATAATTTTAGCTTTGAGCTTTAGTGTTCCTGTCCTTATCCTGAGGCCCTGGATCTGTTTTCAGATGCATGTCATGAGGTTTTTACAAGCTGTTCTGCTGTTGAGTTCTTGCAGAAATATCTCTGTTCTGAAATATTGACAAGAGCATAGAAAAAGAAAATAGCAGTGAAGTTGATGGACATCTTTATACATTTCCCCTTCAATCTATTTTTTTTTAATTTATGCTGTTCAAAGCGTGGTTAGAAGTGAAAACAGATTTCTTGATACTTGAGTTTTGTAAAATTTCCTTGTAAACAACATGGCAGTAAAATAATTTGTCTGGTTCAGATTCTGCTTTCTTACAAACTAATATCTGAGTTGGGACCAAAGCGTGCTGTTACATTTCACAGCAATATTTAGAGATAGTGGGCTTCCTGTTCTTCCTTTTGGTTTAATAGATTTAAACGGAAACAGAGCTTGAGAGGACATGGCTCTAATCAATAGTGTTTACAGATTTACATCTCCAAAGCAGAGTTAACAATAAATGATGCCCAAGGAGCTCAATGTATTAAACACAATGAATGTTCAAGGCATCAGCGGTACCCTAGATCTGTAACCCAATTGCTCTCCTGACAGGATGCATTGCAGATTGTTATGCCTGGAATAAAAGTCTGCACTGAGCATCTTGATTCTTGCTCTTCTGTCCATAAGTAGCATGTCAAATTAAAGCCCTGCCATTCTTAAATTGTAAGCAGATTCTCTCATTTACACAGGGTTCAGTGAAGAGGTGGTGGATCATTGACATGTTGTCAGGGACTGGCTAGACGAGGAGGAGTGTTGGCTGCCAGTTGCCCGAGAAGCACCAGGGAGTGACACTGGGGAGGAGGGAGATTTTGAGTCTGACTCAACTGGTGGGACACGGAAGAGCAATCCACAGAGGGAACCATCAGGGAAGTTCTGGAGCCAGAGAGTGGGGGCAAAGGGGAGAGGCACAGTGTGGACACAGACCCTGATAGGGATCTGCGTTGCAGGACAGTCCTATTCCAGCCCCTTCTCCCCCCACCCCTTTCTCAGTGCAAGAAAGGAGAGCTGAAAAACAGAAAGAGCAGATAAGAAAAGTTGAATCATGCCAGAAGAATGTACAGAGAGAAATGCTTAATTAAGGGAAGGTGGGGAGAGGTTTCTAGCTTCTGCAACTTTCATAGCCTGAGAGCGTCTGGTATCTCTGATTGTGAAGCAATAAAGTTATTTGCCTTCAAGTCGCATGCCTGTTCCCGATTTACAGATTTTACGGCAAGGCTGTTCTGGCAGCCTGACACATGTTTTCCTTGGAGGAGCATGGGGAACCTCAGGTCCCAGAAGGAGAATGCAGCCCTCTAAGTCACTCTCTCCAGTCTTTGTCTTCTTGTGTGGCGATATGGACAGAGAATTCCCATAGACTGCAGCATCTGCCCCTCCCTTGCCCTTGAGCCTGCTTTGATGCTGCACCAAGTACCTAAAGTGGGCACAGCCAACTGGGACAAAGTTCACCCTGCTCGTCTGTCCGGGTCTTAGTAATACAAACCAGGTGGGCCTCCTCAACCTCCATCCAATTATAGGTGAGGGAGATCTTAATTAAAGCCAACCTGCTCTTCAAATAGCAGCATCCGCAGGCCTGAGTTCTGGCTGATAGCGTGACTCCAATTCCTCTTGGTAGAGAGGGGGCCGGCATGCAGCACAGCCGCCCATTGCCTATGTCATATACCCCCTCACTGGAATGGCCCCACCTCTCTCTCACCACATCTGCAATTGGGGACCCCCCCTCCCAGTCTTCCCAGCTGATCTTGTGCCAGGCACACATCAGCTGCCACCTCTGAGAGCAAAGGTCAAACCTTCAGCTGTAGCATATCCAGAAAAGATACAGTCCCAGCCACCCTGGTAGTTAAGCCCAGGCAGAGCTCCCAGCTGGTAAGCGTGGGTGTGGCAGGCTTCTCTGCTGGCCCGAGGTGAGAAAAGCCCCACATTCATAGGAGTAGGGAGGGTGTACAGACAGCCGCAGAGTTCCTCAGGGCCCAAGATATGTTCATGCAAGCCATTTTGGACAGCAAGTACCCTTTTCACATTTAGAAACAAAGCATTTGAACCTGTGAGCTTGTAAAGTTGTCAGTTCATTTTGTTACCAGAATGAATAAAATTATAATTGTATAATGGGGTGGAAAACGATTTTCAAAAAAAGAATGTTTTGTCTCGAAAATTTAATGGCTGCTGTTTTAAATTATTGGAATTATTTGTTCTCCTTGCTATTAACAGAAAAGTACTCCTAAAAGCTGCTTTAATCAAGTTTTGTTTGCAAAGGACAACAATGTCTATTGACTGGTGTTTCTATTGGATTAGCTGACACACAGCTTGGATAGATGACTCTTCTAATGAAATGCAAAAGCCAATAAATTGGGAGCACCTTTTTTTAACTTAAAGAAGAAACACTGTTCTAAAATGTCAGGGATTTTAAAAAATCAAAATAAACTAGTGGAAAAAGTAAGTAGCTTCTTTAAACATGTGGCCCATCAGCATGCCCTTGAAATGCTTTATCTGAAGTTTGGGGCTTGCTAGAAGGTGTGTGGAGTTTAGAGAACTGGGGATGGGATCAAAGGTGGGGAACTGGGGACCGATTCCATAATTTTGGAAAAACACAATCTCCAGTATAAGGTTAGTTAAAAAGTGAACAGAAATTTTAATGTTAGCAAAGCATGATCTATCTAGATATAAAACACACTTCGAGTATAAAAATAATATTCAGTGTGTTCTCACAGATAAAACATTTGTGAAGTATAAGAAGTATCTGAAGGGGTTGCATGAGTTTGCGTAGATGAGAGGATTTGTTTTGCTTGGATTATGTAGTGAGCTTCATCATTGAGTGGGAATTTTAACCTCAATTTCTCACACTCAAAACTAGCGCTCAAGAGCCTGAGCAGATTCAAGGTGGATCCCTGTCAACTTCTGATGTCAGCAATCAGCTACCACCCACACCATCCTGGACAAATAAATATTAGGCGTGTCCCTTTGTTCACTCCATTTGCCAACTCCCATATCCCTGCCTCAATCTCCCTTCCATCGAGTTTTCCTTTCCAGGACAACTCTCCTGCCTCAGTTTCCTCACAGACCACAACCTCTCCCATCTCCCTACATACGTAAGTTGTAGAAAAGCACCACTTCATACATTCTTCATCTGGATATTTTTGGTTCTCTGAACAAAAGAATAACTTTCAATCTATGTAAAGACAAGTTATAATTAAAGTAAATGTTCTTAAATAGCTAAAAATTAGTCTCTGTCAGGGAAGCTCACTGTTTCCTATACCGTTCAACATGTTTGAGATTGCAAAGAACAAACGAGATAAATTTGGATATTTAAAATATATAGACAGAAAGTAACTTGGCTTGCTTTGCATCTTGCATACCTGTGGTGCCATATATAGAAGAGAAGCATGAGAACATAGAATTTTTATGTTGTTGTTTTTAAGGTTTATCAAAAGCAAAGAAGGAGAGAATGAAGTAGTCATGAAAAAATTACCCAATATCAAACAATATACGCAGTATCAAACTGGTACGTAAGCAAAAATCTGATGAGACAGCAAGAATAATAAAATTAATCGTAAAACCCTGATGCAATAAAAAGTTTTCAAAATCTGTCTGAAAATGAGAATTAAAATATTAAATTTGTTTTTCAGTTTTATGATCTTAAAAACAAATTAGAATAAAATGAAGCTTTAATAAAAAAAAGAAATAAATAATAAAAAGTGTCCTCGAAAGATGAGAATGGATTATGTCTGTGTGTGTGTGTATATGTGAGAGAGCGAGAGAGATGAACTGAGCAAGACAACAGAGTTAAATGACTGGAACAGAAATTAGAAATGGAATAGACATAGTGAAACAGACATGTTTATATGCTGACTGGATGAATTTTAACACTGGCATTTTAAAAAAACTTGCATGTAGAAATTGACAAGATCTTCCAATCTTCTGGAGCAAATTTTGGCATGCGTGCAGGGGATTGCAAGGAACAGGAGAGGAAGGGGAATTCCTGTTTTGTGTGTGTGGAACTGTGTTTCTCTAGCAGATTGTCACTGTAGGTTGTCACTTTTAAATCTTCATGCTATTTATGTGGATAATAACATAATAAAATGGGAGTGTATATAGGTTTGATATAAAGAAAACCCAACACTGGGCAGAACTGGAGAGAAACAAATGCCATATTCAGATGTTATCCCTGTCACCCAGTCCCACCGCTCATGGTATAGCTTAGAATCCTGCATGTTCTAAATGTGTTCTAAATCATGCTGGGAGCTTGCAAAAATACAGAACGCTTCCTGCTACAGACCTTTAGCCTCACATGCATGGAGGGTGGTGCAGCTGGGAGATGGCAGGGGGGAATGATAACAGCAGCAGCAAATGTGTCTCCCCGTCCCCTCATCATCCGAGCCCCAAATGCCTTGCAAAACATGGAGAAGAGGTGATTTATGATGATTAGGCACATTCCAAGGAAATCTGTGTACATTCTCCACTCCCCAGTGTTTGCTACCATCTCAGTTGGGGCAGGTGGTCATTAGAGAGAATCACACTGCAGCTTGATCCTGATTTGTTTTAACTTGGACAAGAACAAATTCCAAAGTGGAAATTGTGGTTTGTTTGAAAGTGGAAGCTGTTACTTTCTACCTTTCAAGCAAAGGAGGGGGAGTTTGGGAGCCCTAGGATTGCCCTTTCCCCCCAGTCACCTGAACTCTGATTTAGGACAGTGATTATCTGCACGGGGCCATTGACTTGGGCTTTGTGTCACCCTTGCACAAACTTGGCTTCAAGCATGTGTAACCAGTTGAGTAGCCATTGGACATAAGAAAGCAAACATAGCTCTTCTTTCCTTAATTTGCCAGTAAGCAAAGCTGAACCATCATTGGGAGCAGTTATTGCCTGCTGATGAACTACAGTAAGGTGCAGAACATGATAGGTGGCAGAGCTAACCAGCTTTTCCAAGTACTAAACTAGTGGTATGCTAGTGACAAAAGGTTGTGCAAAAGGGTGCAATTCAATTTGGAATGTCCAAAACATTGGGCTCTCTTGTAGGAGATTGATAATGAAGTCTGGATTGCATATTGTTATTACAACATGATTTAGTCCTAGCTATGCTATAATCTTCTCATTTTCATTCATCTTTCCCCCTCAGACTTTATACTCCTAGATCATCTGCATTAATTCAGTATCATGTTGATTATACTCTGCTATTTAAATATTGCTGATAATGATCATGCACCATCTTCATACTGGAGAACCATGTCACATTTTCACTGTATTAATTTATTTTCCTTTGTCATTGTGGGTCCTGTGTGCTTTAGCAGTTTCAGCTTAAGGCAGCTATACCTCATGACTATTCATTTAGTTTGCAAACTATTTTATCCTGAAGAAGGGCTTTTCTACCCGAAATACAGTGAGAATATCACATACTCAGTTCAGGAAATCTGTCCACCTTCTAGAATGCTCTATATTAATAGTGTTAACTTCTGACCAAATACAATCTGCCTTGGTTGGGAATATGTGGTTTGTGGGCTTCTTACCAGGTAACTTATACGATAACTCATCATAACATGCGGGATCAAGAAATAATTTCTCTTCAGGTCAGAAACTAGTGATCTTTTCTCCCCTCCTCACCAAAAAGGTACGCAACTCTTCCTTTGTGGCATGCAATTTCCTGCCCGCTCTTGATTTTTATTGATCCCTGTCTCTCTTCCTTTAGCATAAGGCCACCAGATTCCTTCTCCAATTTGAAAAAGACAAGTCAGACTTGTATTTAATGATTTTATGAAAGCTCTAGGGTCTCTTATGCATTTCTTTTCCTGCTGTACTCAGCATAGACAGACACCCCCCTCCCTTTCCACAATCGCTCATTGCCTAGGCAAGGATTCCAGCACAGAATATATAAGGGAGGTCATGGCCAACTGCCCTCCTGGGCCTCAGCATGGCTGGCTGGCAGATTGTATCTGCCTCTGCAACCTCATTGTTACCATCAGTGGGATGGCACAAGAGCTAATACTTTTTTATATAAACCCCTTACATTGGTGCTTCAACTGTACTGACCCAATTTCTATGAGCGTGCAAAGCTGAGTATATGTGGCCTTGTTGAGCAAGTATCAGATGTTCAAATGCGGCACGAAATAAGACACCCTTGAAATCTCCAAGCTAACCAGGCAGTTAGTCCAAATGCATCTTACAAACAGGGGCTTCACTGGATGAAGATGAATGCATGTAAGATGTGCACCATGATGTCCACTTCCATGCTGCCAGCTTTTCATACGCTCTTCTCTCCCCTATTTGTATGCTGGGAAGTTACTCACTGCTGTACTTTTATATGGGGGAGTCATTTGACTTGCAGAGCTGGAAGGCATCCTGAGATTCATCTAGTCCAACCCCCTGCAATGGCCAGCTGCTGGAACACGCAGCTGTCCCATACAAGGATCGAACCTGCAACCTTGGCATCATCAGCACCACACTCTAACCCACTGAACTATCCAGGCTGGTGATCAAGACTCTGACATTCTAATCTTAATTTCTCTTATTTCATGGAAGCGACCAAGAAACTCTGGATAGTGGGCAGAAAAGTTTTGGTTGAGGAAACGTTCTGGTTTTGTTGTGTTTAATGGCTCTGAGTTTTATGGTCACTTAATGCCGTGGTTTACAGCATGCTGTCATCTGCTTTAGGCCTGCTTCATATATTGTAATTTTTCTGCGCAGAGGAAACATACATCTCCCATAGTGTCTGAAGCAGGTTTAAAGTTTATTTCTTTGCACTTCAGATATAATGGCAAATGTGTATTTTTTACATGAAACTTGCAAATGCCGTGTGGGAAGTGGTCTTTGGATGACTGGGAGCAGAGTGGGAGGAAGATTTAATGCAATGCCCTGTATATAGCTAATCTTGCATATTGACTATTTAGTTGCCTTAATGTGTTATTCATAAAGTTTATTTTAAACTTAAAAATTAATTTATAAAATGTTTTAAAAGTGGTGTGGGTTGTTTGTCATTCCCCCCTGTGCCTTTGCACTCACTATTTCTGCCTTCTTCATGCTTCCTGTAGATCCAAGAGTCTTCAGTATCTCTTGGGTAGTGGTTTTGGGATGTATAGAGGGTTTTTATAACCTCCTACATGTTGGATAATGCTGGTAGTTTTATTAATTCAACCTATTAAACAGTACAAAGTTGATCGTAATGTTTTAAAACACAGCTATACATTTGCTTCTCTTTTATTGATTGACATTGCCGGCATCATTAAAGATGTATAGTTTGTAATTGATCAGTCCAGTCACCGGGTTGCATGAGCTGTGCTCTTCTTGCACATGGGTGTTTGCGAAAAGTGAATTCTCTCTTTTCTTCCCCACTGCCACCCCCAGGGGATCCACAGAGATCTCCTGAGATGTGGGCTGGGGGAAAAGAGAAGCTTTCATAAGCTGCCTCTGCTCAGCTTCCCACTCCCACTGCAACCCCTCACTTTACATCCCAGGCCTTTCTTGATGCTCTCTCAACTTCCAAGGGGGCTGGCGCTAGAACAGCAGAGGCACTGGTGTTTTTGTGGTTTTCTGTTTCCTCTGCTGGGACACTGGCAATATTTTAGGCCTCCTTTCACAAAACAAGTTACTCATTGCTGTTTATAGCCTGTTCTTTTCATAGGAGCTCATTTTGAGTGTCTCTAATCAAAATTTGGAAGCTCCCAAAGCTAGAGGAAACTGCTTTGGAGGGGTTTCTCTGGGGCTCAGAAGTTGGCCTGGAAGTTCAGCATTACAAACATGGCTTGAGCATACCAGCAAAAAATGTGCTATGACCTCAGAGTCTGACTCCCCGTCTTCAAGGGATGGCGCCATGGACTTGGAGGAAGAACCAGAGGGTCAGAAGGAATTGTGTGCTCTCTACTGCTCCAGTAAATCTAGCAAAGGAAAAGGCCATTCTGCCAACACCTCTCTGGCCTGAGGAAGTAGCACTGACACCCTCCAGCTATGAAGACTCCAGTCCAGAAGCTCCAACAAAACCACTGTGTTGTATCCATTGCTAGTCCTCCTCAAAGTACACCCACTGAAAATAATGGGCATGACTCACTTAGGTCTATTAATTTCAGTGGGCTTACTCAGAGTATAACTTAGTTGGCTACAACCCATTTTCCTGCCCCATGTCATTGGAGTCTTATTGCTGCTGGAACAGACAAAGCTACTATAACCTACTTCACCCATTGGGTGAGTAGGTGTGGTGAGGGACACACAAGCACCCAGATGGAGCTGTGGCTTTATTTAATGCTTAGCCCGGGTTTATCTATTGCCTAAACAACATTCTAACCTAGCTTCACTTTGAACGCTGCATGGAGCTGTCCATCCTAGACTTAACTTGGCCATGTCTAGAGCCACCATGCAGAACACAATGGAAGTATTGTGGTGTGCAATTCATGCCGTCAAAATAGTGCTTTGATTGCTAGTTGCAATACTGCTTGCAACCCAAGAGACACGTTTGTTTCCAAAGCATATATTCATTGCTTCAGTGGTGCTGAAAATTGAGAATTGATCTCATCAGTTGGCCTTGCTACATCCGTTTGTGATAATGTTGTATTGAAGGTTGTTTGTCTGTTTTCCACCACCCACACACTTTTGCACCATTTCAGGATAATCATTCAGGACCACTCTTGGAGAAAACACAAGAAACCTTGTTATTTTCCCAGGAGATTCTCTCCTGCCCCTGTCTCTCAGTCTGTGATTATCTTTCATAATTAGATAAAACCTTGATATGTTGTTGTTACCAGCTCATTGAGGAAATTGCTTTTTAAAAAATCTACATTAGAAATAATTGTTGAGAACAATCTTGGCTTTGAATTTCAAGGGCGTTGTGGACCACTTTAAAATGCCTCATTTGCTAGACACACTTCCTTAGACAGACATTCCTTAGGCAGACAAACTTCCTTAGACAGACAATGTGGGTGCATTGGTCCATAGCCATTGTTTATTCTGCTCTTGCAGACATCGGACATTTGAGGAGATCAAAGAATTGTTTCTAGCTTAATCTTTGCAAAATCAGCAATTATTGACAATAACTAGTGGTGAAATAATGCCACATTTTATCAAAAGGTGAAATATCTCTCTATTTATTCACCATATAGCCTGTTATTGGCCTCTGTAGTGGGTTGCACAATATACTGGAAATGGCCGTGTTAGTGTACACAGGAGTTTTATTGGAGGCCCATGGTGAGCTTTATTGCCTCTCCGACATTTTATGAGAGTCCATTAAAAAAAGATACTTTAGACTGAGCATTTACTGCCTGACTTAAAACAAAGGGTTTTTAACTGTGCAAGATGACTATAGGCTTGCTTCTTATTTCTTGGACCTGATTAGGAAGGCATTTTCTAATATAGGTGTGGAGAAACCCCAGGGGCTGCAGTTGCCAGGGTGCTGCATGTACCAGATCCATGCAGACACCAATGGTTTTTCCCATCCATTTTTGTCACACAGGATCAACACCATTTTCATACCATTTCAGTTGCTGAATGGCATGCTGTTCTTTTTTAAAATTCTAGAGCGTTTAAAAGCAGTTTGGGGACTTAGGCAGGAGAAAGTGGAAGAGGAGCTGCTGTGTTTAAAAATGAATTGAAAACTCTGGTGTTCGCAGGCTTTTCCAGTAGACCTACTGGATTGGGGCTCTTGAAATCTGGCTAATCCATTGACTCTTGTTGTCGAATAGATCATACAGCAATAAATAGGTGTCTTGTCTTATTTGACCAACTTAATCTATTTATTTACATTTGTGTCCTGTCTTTTCTCCATGGAACAGTTTCCATTTAAATACTGGCCAAGTCCAGATCTGCTGAGCTTCAGGATGTAAATTGCCCAGGGTAAAAGTGGCAAAGTTTCTGTCTAGAGTGCTTACAGTATAAGGCTACACTCCAGAATAGTATTTGGCAGTATTGGTGGGGCAGCACCTCTCATTTGACCTCTAGTCAGTTACATCACTCCTGCTTACCAGCAGGGGGAGGCAGCCACAAGACCCGTGTGGTGCAAACTCACCAGCAGGAGGGCTGAATTGACTCAGCCCATGATTTGCACCTCACCCATCCCCTCTAAGCAGCAGCAGTGTGACAGACCACAGGTCAGGTGCATGGCAGTGCCCTGCCTTACTGCTGTCTACTGATATTTGGGGTCTTATGTACCATTGACTATAATAAGGCATTATGAGCTGGGGAAGAAGTCCTCCCATTATTCCTAGGTTAACACATCTCTAAATAGGACTTTAGCATGTCTTAAGTGTGGGAATCTGGAGCATTTTGGAGCAAATTGGCTGAGATTCAGACGGCTGTACATGCAGCTTTTTGTGAGTAGTGGAGGCAAAAAAACTGTAGGTGCAAGCAAACACTGGGAAATCCCCAACTGCGCTTTTGAGTATTCACTTATTGGAATACAGCCGTTATTTATAATAGCCGTCATAACATTTTTCTATACATATCTGAGACACACACACATGTGATAAAGGTGGCAGTGGCTCTCTTTGCAATTTTCTTAATAATTTTGTTATTTCTCTTTGTTTGGAGGACCTTGCTAATTGCTTTCTTTCTGTCGGTGCAGGGCCGCCACAGAGGGTCTTTCTCTCAGTTTAATGGAACGGCTGATTCAGAAATATGATGACCATGTTGTGAAGATGCTCACGGTGCAGTACCGAATGCACCAGACCATCATGCAGTGGGCTTCCACTGAGATGTACGGCGGCCGCCTCTCGGCTCACTGCTCCGTTGCGCAACATTTACTGAGGTAAGTGACACTGTGCCTGCTTGCTTGCTGTTTCTCCTGACTCTAAACATTTTCAGTGCGGATTGACATTGTCAATTAATATTGATGGAGAATATGCAGGGTTTTCTGCTATCTGCAATTATCCTTTTTTCTTTTTCTTTTTGCCTCTATTTTAGCAAACCAGGGTGGGTGTTTTTTTATCGTCTTTCATTTAGCAAATATTGATCTTGGTTTTCCCTGCACTGGTTGCAGAATATATTTATGTGCAGTTCTGTTGTTTTTTTTAATTTAAGTAAAGCAAAGTTATATAGCAACCAGTTATATCTTGTGGGCCTGATTTTGCAGTCACTGTGGGCCCAATGGCTTGCACATACCCAGCCGAAGTCTTTGGGGTTGAAATAGCTGGCCCTCGTACCACAACGATTTTTGAAACTAAGATTCAAGGGCAGTTTGCTATCTGGGTATTTTTATTTTGTTTTTGGTGGGTGGGGTTAAGAAGTAGTGGAAAACAAGTTTAGAGCCCTCATGGGTACTTGGAGCCTATTCCATGTCTCTTTGAGTCTTAGCCTTTGATTCCAATGCCCAGTGCAGGCATAATAATATTACCGATTGCTTTAAAAAATTGGGAGCATGTCGTGCACACTCATCTATGGAATGAGGAATATCCCTCTATGGAATGTCACTCTACTCTTTCACTGTTGGGTGTGATGTTGTTTGTTCAACAAATGAATAAGTCTTTTTTAGATGATCTTTATATGCAGCATCATCAGTGTGCCTAGCACTTCACGGAGTACATGTCAAGGGGAGGAGAAAAGGGACAGGGCTAAACAGGGAGCAATATCTGATTGTTTTAGTTACGAGGTTAGGGTTAGGTGCAAGCTGGGTGATGGCAGGGCATGGGAACCAGGCAGTTGTTCCAAACATAATACGTAATTTTTTAAACTTATAAAACTATATGAAACAAACAAACCCAAAGCGTATGCAGTATATTGAAAGATCCAGTTTTTAAAAGGCTGCTAATATGAAACTTCACTGTGAGTTGGGCTCATATTGGCCATAATCTGTTATATCCACTGGTAGCAACTGGAAATTGCTGTCAGCAGTGCTCAGAATGGAGTACTTGAATTTTTATCTTTGCAACCACTAAAATGCAAAACATAGCAGGACTACAAACAGAGCCTTATCTTTGTGTAAAAGAAAGAAAGAAAATAGAGTAGTTAGTATTCAGGGAACACTTACATCAGGATAATATGGATTTTTTTTATATATAAAGAAACTCACATTATGGATTTAAATCACCAAGAAGATAATTTCAGTATGCAATATTGATCGCAATTGCAGTGAAATACTTTCTAAGGGCTGAAAGAAATGGTCAACAATAAAAAATGAATTACTGTTTTGAATGAAGGAAGATGTTACACTCTTCAGTTAGGGTTTAATGCTGCAGCAAATTGAAGGCTGCATAAATTCTCACTGACTTCATTGAGTTCCAGAGCAACCTCTTAACCTGAAATATTCTCCCTTTCCCCATGCTGTAGGCTAAGAAAAGGGGAGACCAGTCTTCTAGAGTTCTAAGATTCCCATATAAACCAAGTTGTAAAGCTCGGGTACCAAATGGTGATAATCCTAGGTTAGCTAAAGTGGTGACCTCCAGATGTTGCCAAACTCCATCTCTCATCATCCCCAGCCAGCATAGTCAATGGTCAGGGATGATGGGAGCTGTAGTCCAGCAACATGTGGAGGATCACCGGTTCCCTGCCCTTGTGCTAATCAATATTCTCCTCCTGCCCCCAGCATTCTATTTTTAAAGTCTTAGTTATTTCATTGAGAGAGTTACAGATGAGTTTAAGTATCTCCAGTTGAATTAAGTGATACCATACAACCTGATTCTGTACATATTTGCACAGAAGTTTATGCTTCTACATTCAGTGAACCTGCTTCTAGGTAAGTGTACAGAGAAGGCTTAACTTTTACAGGATCTCGCACTTGGTTTTCAGTTTTTCCAGGCGGAAATTATTTTCCTGAGCTTGGGGGAGGATGCTGTTTGCATTTGGCGTCATTTTAGTCTTGGTAGCCGCAGCAAGGTGTCTCCCTGTTGTCAGTTAATGAAAGTAGAAGGAGCCCACCTTGCTTTATAATTTTTATTCTGCTTATTGTGAACTGCCTTGGGTAAGCATGATTGGAAAGAACAGCACAGGCAAATTAACAACGCTGCTTTGCTTGACACTGGTTAAAAGTGCTGATAATGTTCTTTTAAAATTTTTAAACAGAATGGGCTTGAGTTTTTAAGACAGATAACTGAAGAGGCTGCTCACTGTATATAGGAAAAATACACATTATGTGGTATTAGCAAGGAAGGAATTAATAATGGAGTGGTTTCCTTTGGGTTGCTCTGTAGGTCAGCTGTAATGAATGTAGTGGCTCTTTTCCTCTCTTTCCTCTCTTACCCCTATGCCTCATACTCTTAGTGGAATTGCTGAGATGTAATGTTTAAAGATATTCTACCTTATTTTGTCCTTTGTTTTTGGAACACTTATATAGAGTCAGACTGCATGCTATCTTTAGTCAGATTTTTTGGGGGGACTTTGAGTGTCTCTTGCTCTGGGTGCTTTCAGAGATAACTATAAATTGTCATGGTGATGCCCTGATTTGAAGATTGTTTAATTATTCATTTTATTGTTTTCCTTATCCCTTGTTTAATTCCTTTTTTATTCTTCATTCTGCCTTTTACTTTTGGTGGTTTTGCATAAGTAGTATTTTTAGGATTTGAATTTGCAAATGTGATTTGTTGTGTACCTTTTGAGCAATCACCTTTGCCCATAGGCAATAAATGATTTGACCTGGACCCTAATTATAGCAGGTGTATGTACCTATGTGAGGTATGGCTGGAATTTAAAGGAATAATTATTCATAGCATTAAGGAAACTCTTGCTAAGCTAATAAGGAAAGTACCTCTTCTGTTGTACTCCTTTTATTGGTCAAAAAAAAATAATGTACATCAAATCACAGCAAGGCAGGACTGCATGATTAACCAAGGGCAAATCATGCAAAATTCATTTGGCACATGGGCAGCTTTGGGCTGCTGTCACAAATTCACATTTGTGCATGAAATCTGTACTTGATATGTTGGTGGCTAAAAGAAAAGAATCTGCCTCTGTTCTTGGCCAGAGGGCGATAATGAGGGTTTCTTCCTGACAACAAGGGTGAGAGCTTTCTGAAAGCTTCTCCCCTACTAATTTCTGAGGGAGCAACACGCCATTCACCAGTGCAGTCAACACCGCAGCATTTCGAATTATCATGTGGCCTTGTTTTGCTGATTCTTCCCTGGCTTCCTCTGAGTGCTGAGATATGAAGGCTCATAGTAATTTGAGAGGCTCATATCTTGGTGGATTTCAGGCATATTGAGAATTCAGCCTTCATTGTATATACATATTATTAATGAATCTGAGAAGAATATTTGGCTCTACACCTTGTAAGGCACTGCTAGTTCCAGCACATAAGACTGAAAGAACTTCCTTGTCAAACAGCTTTTATGCTTATCATATATCTTATTTTAAGATTTAAGGAATATGTTGTTTGGGATATGCTGAACACCAAGACCAAGGGAGTGCAAAACCAAGAAAATGCTTCTGTCAATGGTAATACATCAGTCTTAAATTTTCTCACAACAGCACCTGGATTAGTAACCCAAACTCCTGTCTTTAGGCTGTGCTTGGACCCAAAATCAGCAAGTATTCCCTCAGTTCTCCCTTCCATCCCTCAGTTCTTGCTGCTGATGTCATGAAAACCACTTTGCCATCATAACAGTTCTGTTAATGCCTTGCAAGTTTGTTTAAATTTACTTGCAGAAGAAGAAGAAAACTGGTGCATGTATCAGTATGATTTTCTGTGGCCGAAACCATTTTCAGTATAGAAGATGGATCTGAAAGCAGCCCGTCATTGGCAACCGTTAAAAGTCTCAGCATTGTGATGGCTCTGTCTTTCGGCCAATGTGTGTGGGCTGTTCTGCAGCTGAGGCATTGCAGCACAAGAAAAGTAGGGGAATGCTGAAATATTTATGCTGAAATAATCAGCAATTGCTTAGTACTTTAAACACGGAACAAAGGATAGGTTACCTGGGGCCTGCAGGAAAAATGCAAGGGAGAGGCTTCCAGAGGATTTTAGTTTGAAACTAGAAACATAGGAAGCTGACTTACATAGAGTCAGACCATTGGTCCATCGGGCTCAGTATTGTTGACCCTGTTTGGCAGCAGATCTCCAGAGTTTAGGTCAGGATTCTTTCCCAGCTCTATCTAAAGATGTAAGGAATTGAATCTGGGACCTTCCAGATGCAAAGCAGATGCTCTTCCACTGACTTTCCAGGCCTTTCCAAAGTAATCTTCTGAACAAGAGCATCTTGTAGCACATGCAGAGTGTCCTTCCTCCCAGGCAGCCAAAGCCATCTTCCAGATGTCTGGAACTGGGGGTTGGATGATTAGGACTGACAACATAACCTCCAAGCAAGTACAAGAGTCCTGATGCACTTCTAGTTTAAACTAAAATAAGTAGCAGTTGGAGGGATTACTCTATTTTCAGGCTTTTGCATTTATATATAGATTTCCAAGCCTGTTCTTCCAGCCCCCAGCTTTTCTCAGAAGGAAATGTGATTTTTCTCTCCATTGGAATACTGTACTTATGCAGCAGATTATCTTTAGAAGTGGCATTCACAAAATCACTCAAATCAAGACTATTCTTGAGAAATGAAAGTAACCTGCTGTTATCCTGAACCACAAAAGAAGTATCCTTAATGGTGCCCTTGAAGGAGACAGTTTGCTTAGCAGGTGTGCACTAAGAGGAGACCTAGGAAAGTAAAAATAGAAAATCTGAGCAACTGAAGACTCTTGACTTTTTCCAAAACAAACTTTAGGAAGTATGATCATTTTCATATGATAAGGACATGATTTAATTATGCACGGCCTGACGTGGCAATCATGTAATGTTGCAGCACATTTTGATGATTTAAATAAAATGGACCACCTTGAAAAGAAGATGGAAGCTCTGAAACGAGGGAGAAATGAGAATCAGTTACTAGATGTTCCTTATTGAGCACTAGATAAAATGAAATTTAAATAAAACATTGTGAAAAGAGATTCCCTTTATTCTACCTGTGTAAATTAGAAACTATTCCAAACCATACTGGCATCTCAATAATAATTATAACGAGCACTTGTTGAAGACTTTCATCTCAAAGGAAGCTTGGGTTGCAATCCTAAACATATTGAATTGGAGGAATGTGGACTCTATTTTCAAGAAAAATGATTAGAGTTGGGCTGTTGGAGCACATTTTCTCCAAGCAGAATGAAAAGTTAACAAAACAATTGCAAATAATTTGGGGAAACCCAAAGTTATTGTCCTTGAACTATAATTCTGGGTTCTGTTCTTACGCTGATACAACCCAAGTAAAAAATTGAATTGTTAATTTTCCACAATGGCAAATCTTGGCTCCATGAATTTACACTGGAACCCTTAAAAGTTTTCATTTATGTTCCGCAGTTATGAATGCAAGTAAACAACTTTGATTCTCAAATGCGGATTATTGTACTTTGTGATGTACAAAACTTATGTTAAGCCAACGTTGTATTTGAGGTTATCAAGATTGTGCTTTGTGCCTTTTTCTAATATTGCAGCTGTCAGAACATTGTCTCTTGTAATACATCAAAGGGCACTTCCTTTTGGCTCCAAGTGCTAAAATGTACAAGCATCTGCACTGTAGAATCTTGCATCTGTAATCTGGCTCTTTGACACTATTGACATGCGCTTTTGTCTTCTACTTTCTGTATTTTCATTGATGCTACTGAAAGTTGTGTTGCCATTACAGACAGGAGTTTTAAAGAATTATTTGTTTAGAATTTTGAAGGGAGAGCAGGAGATAGGTTTAAAGGCACAGTTGTTTTCACCTTGTATCCATGACTTTTTTTAAACAAAGTATTGTATGTTTCTAGATTTTGCAGAGATATGTTTTTTGAATGTGATGGCAAATGTACTGAAGGAATTGAAACCTTGAGACAAGAAAATAAAGACCAAATTCATTAGCTGACTTTCAGTGGGCTGGATCCAGGCTAAGGCTGTAGACCTGAACACACAGGAAAGCAAGTCCTGTTTGAATTCAGTAGAACTTCTGAGTAGACATGTGTAGGATTGCACTGTTAGTTGCATTCTCTTCCTATTGAAATCTATGGAACTGAAATTACAACCACCTATGGAACTGAAATCATGACCAGCTTGTCCCATTGATTTCAGTGGGATCAAAGTTCAAATTCCTTACCTGGATCCAAACCATTGTTTCTAAACCCATCTATTAAAATTTGCCCTAGCCTGATTCAAATATTTTATACTTGAGGGTTACAGGTTGCAGTTTCTGAATGTCTGAAAAACAAGTGGGCAAAAAACCCAGAAAAAGCGCAGCACCATGTGTGTGTTGCTTATTTTGCATTAACATCTCCTAATAACTCATGTAAATATTTTGAGGGTGAATTAGAAGAAAACGTGGTTGAAAGAATGATCAAAGTTCTTGGCTTGCCTCTTTTTTGGCTTCATGGAATAAATGATCCTGTACACCAGACGTAGGAAAGCTGTGGCCCTCCAGATGTTGTTGAACTACAACTCCCATCAGCCCTTGTTATAGGCCAACAACACCTGGAGGACCACAGATCCCCCACACGTGCTGTACACAATAGCCAGCAAGGCTATTTATAGTTATTTTATTTACTTAGTACATTTATATCCCACCTTTTCCCATTATGGAACTCAAGGCAGCATACATGGTGTTCCCTGGCAGTCCCCCACCCATGCACTGACCAGACGCAATTCTGGCTAGCTTCAGCAAGGCGGCAGCATTATATGCCTCTAGACTATGCTCTGGGAGAATGTGAACTGTGAATGATCAAAGGTAGTTCTCAAATATGGCTGAAACACTTTGGAATTGCTTGTTTGTGCACACAGTAGTTGTAAACAAGTGTTGTGATCTCAGTGTAACAATCTCTCTAAATTTTATGCAAGTCTGCCAAGAGTACAGTATATATCCCTCTCTCCACAACATGGCATCAAATACTAATTATGTGTGGCTCCCTGAGGAGAGCATTCTACAGGCAGGGTTCCACAACCAAAAAAGGTTCAATTTGTGGTGACCTGGCTGAGCAGAGGCTTTGTTCCCTCCATCATTTGGCCCAATGGAATTATATGAAGTGACCCCAAGTGGGGTCCACTGCAAATGTATATTTGCAGGTCCCACTATCTGAACACAATGCATTCTCAGGAAATCGTTCATTAGGCAAGTGTTCACATAACAAGCAGATGATTGCCATTGTTTCCTATGGGGAATCTAAGATTCGTCCAATCTCAATTTCTCTCTGGTTTCTGTCTCAAATTGCTGCAGCCAACCAGCAAAAGACAAACAAAGGAAAAACTGCCCCCTGTCTGGTCTCTTCCGTTCCCTAATTTGTCTGAACTCCCTCCGTTCCTTTCTTCATGGTTGCCACCCAAAATGGCTGCCACTGACCAGCAAAACACAAACAAGTAAGGAAGTGGGTAAACTCTGGCTGCTTGGATATCTGAACCAGCTGTTTGTGTTACTAGGTTTGGGTATGATTCTTTGTGTTTCGATAACTGACATTTCAGATGACAAACGTTCCGATAGTGGGACCTGCAGTCCCACAGAATGGAGGATTCTTCTGCTCTGTGGCCTGACCTATGGAGGTTCTGTGGAATAGTCTAGGTCAATTTGTGCTAGGATTCTAAAGCAGAATAAATGTGCTGCTGTTTATACTCATGCTAGTTAAGGGTCATTAACTTATTGTTCTTTCTAATAACTTGTCAGGGACCTCCCAGGGGTGGCTTCCACAGAAGAAACTTGCATTCCGTTGTTGCTTATTGATACAGCTGGCTGTGGCTTATTTGAGCTTGAGCTGGAAGATGAACAGTCTAAAGGAAATGAAGGTATTGTTGTTTTCCCTGCTATGGTTCTCCACACTCCCACCCTGGAATCAGCGCCCCCCCCAGCCTCCACATTTCAAGTTACATTATCCATGCATGTGCTGTAATTTCAACTGCTACTACATTAAAAAGGTTGCCTTGTGCCCGCGGTGTTGAAAGTGGTAGCCTTGGGGAGTTACTGAAGAATTTAGTTATGCTATTGGGATCTTGGCAACCACACATGGAAATGAATATGAATACATCCATGGAAAAATCTTGGGATGTCAAGGTTTAGGAATGCTTCTTGTGGTCCTAAGATGGATGGATAGCCTGTGTAAGCCACCAGTACCTTTCAAAACTCCTTCAGTAGTAGAACAGTGCAATCTACATGGGCTGTACATTTGCTACAAAGTACCAATAAGTGCAGAGGTTTTCAACCTTTTTGAGTCCACAGCTCCCTTGACCAACTACATTCTTTCTGCGGCACCCCTATGGGACTCAGGAGCCCAGTTGTGTCCCCCCTTGCCTGCAGAGCTGGCAGCCTCTCCCCCTTTTTCAAACACCCTCCCTTGGGGAGTGTTCCCTCAGCCTCCTTTCCTTTCCTCTCCCCTCTGCTTAGGAGTCCTTTCGGCAGCCATTGCTGCTGCCCCTGGTCTCTGAGCTGCCCCACCCCACCGCAAAGAGAGGTGCCTCCTCACACTGCCCCACAGGAGTCTGGGAAGAGGATCCCCCAGCCTTAGTGGCCCAACAGAGACTGGCTAAAGGTGAATGTGAGGTCAGCACCTTACCTTGGGAGGCAGCAGTGGGTACTGCTGGGCCTGCAAGATGGAAGGGCTCCCCTTCAGCACCAGGCACTTAGCTCCCAGGCAGGCCTTGCACAAAGCAAGGACAAGAGAGGCCAGCGCAGCACCTGTCTAGCTGGCCTCATACTTGTCTGCCAATTCCCAACAGCAAGGGTTGGTGGGCTGGCTAGCTGGGCTCCTTCACCCGCTTGCTTACTCCAAGGCCACCTCAGCTCCTGGCAACCAGCCCTCCTTGACCAGCCCCTGAGGCACCATTCACCTGCAAAGCTTGTAGCCAGGGCTGCTGCAACAAACAGCTATGCAAGCCTTTGGGAGGTAGAGACACGAGAGTTCATCAGAAGAGAGAGGGAAGGAAAGAGGGACAGAGGCCAGTGTTGCCTGCAGCACCCCTGACCATCATTCAAGGCACCCCAGGGTGCCACGGCACACTGGTTGAAAACCTCATTACCATGGATGTAGCAGAGGTCCAGCCAAATTATCAAGACCACAGTGTACTGTAACCAAACAGCAGGTGGAAAAACATGCAGCTGGAGAGGAAAATGGATTGTAGATAACTGACCATGGATGATGAAAATTTCCATTTGGATTCAACATCACTGCACTAGACAAGGTTTATAGAGCCACCTAGCAAAATACATCCTTCCCCAAAGACCTTGAATTCTCAAAAGCAAGAAGCAGGAGAATGAAAGATTATCTAGTTCAGCCTCATGGTCTAGGGTAAGATAATAAAGTACCTTAATGAAAGTTGACAGAGCTTAACAGGGCTGGACCAAGACATTTTACTCCCTGGGGCAAAAAGCAAGATGGTGCCCTTGCCCTGTACAAAGGCTGACTGGGCCAACAGCTGAATTCTATTTCAACACTGGCGACAGGATAGCATCCTTCACTTCTGTCTGGGAACTGGTTAAGAGGAGTAGACAGGGGACTGCCACTGCTGTCTCTCTCATACACACACACACACCCCTCAGCATGTGCTGCCTGAGACAGTCATCTCACTTTGCCTAAAAGTTGGGCCAGTCCTGGAGCTGAGGAAGAAGGGCGCTTGTGATGATTGTTGGATCAGACACCTGTGGTTTAAATAGCACTCTTGAATTGCAACACAAGCTCTGAAGCGATGGGCAAAGTCGTATGTTGTCAGCTTGAAGTGCTGGACTCTCCTGGTTCCCATATGGTTTGTTGGTACAGCTTAGCTGAGAGAACTTTCAGTTCTAATTGCCTTGCCGCATAGCACTTTGTCAGATCTCTCAGTGAACAAGGCACAGACCTTCACAGTTAATGGGTCAGAAAGTGCCTGACCATGTTGGTGGCATATACAGCAATTCTGCTAACAGAGAGAAAGGCCAGTTCTCTGAGCACAGAGAGTTCTGGAGTTATAAATCAGCCTAGCAACTGTTGTGAAGCTCCGTCTCTGTTGCTGAATAAATAGGAAGGTTTCCAGTCTCACTGAGCTCCAGTAGCAGTATTCATTTGGGAATTCTAGACTGCATTTAGGAGTGGGAAAGGGGTGTGCTCATGGGACAGGGCTTGAGCCCAGAGAGCAGGGAGAGAGGTCACATCTAGAAAGTGGGAATCTTCTAGAGATGATTGAGGGAGAGGGATGCTTACATGGTTGTCTCTCAATTGGGGGGAAAGGCTTGAGAGCAGGGAAGCTCAAGTATGCATTAACTCTGGGATATTTTGCATGTTGTATCCCCATAGCATGGCTAATTCTTAGAAAGGCTATTTCATGCAGGAATTAAATATTATACCCATTTGTAGGTTAGCATCCTGCCACAGTCCTATTCCATGCAGGGTTTCACTGTGAGCACATGCAGTACCCATCTTTGCATATGTTGCATGCACATTATGATCTCCACCAGGGGTAACTGATGTGGTGCCATCCAAATGTTGCCATGTTGTAACTGCCATCAACCTCAACTAGCCTGGACCTTGGTTGGGTATGATGGGAGTTGTAGTCCTACAGCTTCTCAAGGGCAATCAGCATTGACAACCCTTTATCCATAGTAAGAAATGGAAGTGCTGTCTATGTAGGAATTGCGTAATGTTTGAAGCAGCCCTTGTTGTCAGTACCAGCAAGTCTAATTCAGAAACATAGTGAAATGGGCACACAAATAAATAGGCACCAGCTTCCAAAGGCAAATAGCTGCAAGAGCCATGGTCTAAAATATGAATTTCCTAACCTATGCTGGATCAGTTCAAAGGCAGATTTCACTTCTTGGAATTGGGGTGGTGTTATCTTGGTATTTTCAACACTGATCTTACTACCCTTGAGAATGTGAACTGTGATGTGTTGCTTGTATCTGACAGTGTTGTATGGAACTCATAACCATTTGCCCAGCTATTAAAGAAATCCATAAGGCATACAGCCTGTATTTGTAAATAATTTAAAAATATTTTTACCAACATAGCCATACTACTACTACTACTACTACTACTACTACTCCATGCATGTTTCCCTTGTAAATTTCATTAAGAGATAATTTGAGAACTCTTTTTTCATATGAGGAGATGTAGGGCATCAAGTAGCTTGGTGAATGTTTGAACTATGGTCAGTTTCAGAACTTTATGATCCATAGCTTGAAGCTGCCTTGTTTAACTAACCAGTTTGTTCTAAATCACAGTCTCTGGCTTGTACATAATGCTAAATCAGGAATCTTTGAAAGTGAAACTAAATGCTGCAAAAGTGTTTCTGGTATCCACGTGGGAAAAAGGAAGCACACAATCTCAAGGGTTTGCTTAGGTTCATTCTAATTTGTGCACATAGCTCTAAACCATGGCAAAACACTTTACTGATTGTAAAGACTTGTTTTTAAAGTGGCAAGTGAAAAGCAGCCTTTCACTATCATTGTCTGAATTGGATGCTTTTTAAGTGGAATCTGTCAACTTGTTCTAGGGTTAAATCGCTCATTCACAGCTAAGTTTTATTTTTCCCCTTCCAGGCGAAGCGCGTCTTGCCAGCTTGCACGTTCAGGCTTTAGTGGAAGCCGGTGTTAAAGCAAGAGACATTGCTGTCATTGCTCCTTACAACCTCCAGGTGAGTGTGTCTGCCATGCTCTCAGAAGCACAACATTTCAAAGTAAAAAATTTAAAGCCATGGGACTTTAGGATGAAGGGTGGGCAATAAATTGTAGTAATAACGTTTGTTGTCCTAGCAACGTCTTTGTTTTTCAGGTGGATATGCTAAGGGAGCTTTTGTGTCACAAGTACCCAGACCTGGAGATTAAATCAGTGGATGGCTTCCAAGGAAGAGAGAAGGAAGCTGTTGTCCTCTCTTTTGTAAGGTCCAACAGAAAAGGTACATAGGCTATAACCTGGAACCATATAGAACAAAAAGAAACTTAATTTGCCAGAATCGGGGAAACTGTTAAAATTGTGTGGTTTCAACTGGCTCCTTCTTTGGAACAAGGTGCTGACCTCTTCTACACATGCTCTCGGAATCAAAGGAGGTGCTTCCACGTGGTGTAATCACATCCTACAGGGGAGTACTTGGGAGTAGCATGACTATGAGGACAGTACCAGTTGCATGAATCATTGGCACCTTACCTCCTGGTTCATGTCCTAATGAATTGGCATCACCCAATTGTTTTAGCCAACATGATTGTGTTACTCCTGCAGCATGTATCACATCACATGGAAGTGGCTTCCACACTGCTGGGAGCCCATATGCAGGGAACCACTGACACTTTTCCCAGAGTGGAAGATTCTCAATAATTAACTGCGCAATGGAAAAGTAATTTATATAGCAAAACACTCTCCTTTTTGTCCAGAGAGCCTGGGAAGGGGTGTTTCCAAGCACAGGCTGAAAACTCTGGTGGCTAGCCACATATTCTAGTACAGGGCCAGTCCAATACATTTTGCTGCCTGAGGCAAAGGACAAGATGGCAGCCTCTCCATTCCACATCGCCACACACCAGCCTTTGCCACCTGCGGCGGCTGCCTCTCTCTGCCCAATAGTAGGACCAGGTCTGTTCTAACAGGCAGAGTGGTCTACGGGGGTTGAATTTTAAAACCAAACCAAACCTGTGGCTATTATTGTCATGGCTATTCACGCTACTACTATTACTACTTAATATACAGGGTGATTCATAATGAAGTATACAGTTTCCATTACTGTATACTTCATTATGAATCACCCCGTATTATGTCTTAGAAATTAATTAAGAAAGAGTGGACTGTTAATTCAGGCACCTTTGGAGAAGACAGGCAGTCCTTCAGGTAAGCCAGTGGTAATTGCTGGATACTTGCCATCTGTCAGCTCTATTGTAGTGAGTACAACACAGTTGTCCACAGCTCTAAAAATTCCACACAGTAGCAAACCTGAACTGACCACAAACCTGTTGGGTGCGGGTCAAAAGCTAGCTTGTTTCCCAGGTGTATTCCTTTTGGAAATACAACAAATATTTCATTACAGCTGGCAGCATCCTGCCCAACATGGTAGGCTCTGCTCAGAGAACATACTCTTTTCTGCTTTCATGGCACTAGGTAGAGGATAAAGAACACTGTGGTTGCTGAAGTCAAAGCAGTAAAACTTTTCCTTGCTACTTTTCTGCTATGTTCTTAAGTGAAGTTAGCAAATAGCAGCATGTTCTTCTATTATGATTTGTTATTATTTTCCAGATAATGCTTGTTAAGCACACATTGGCAACCTAATACACTTTAAAGTACCTACAGGCTCTGTTCTGAAATGTTCTATGTCTTCAGATGGTAGCAACAAAAGCCTGCCCCCCTCATTTAGTTTTAATGTTTGTTTTTCTGCTTGTCTTCTGCTTAGCTGCAGGAGCAGGGGACTCAGCTACACCACCCAAGCTAGGCAGCTGAGCTGACTCAACTTGGCATTTGCTTTCTGTTGTTACAGATCCTTGAGAAAATAATTGGAGATCAGAAATAGCTTCTGGAAAAGTCTCATATGTGTCTGTCATTTTTATCCATTGGCTCACACATGTGTGCTAGTTAATTGCCTTTAGAAAATAGCATTCACTGTCTTTCCTTCTGACCTTTATGGAAGTTAGACTTGTGTCAATAACTAGGAAAAAGGAAAGTGTAACTGCAAGGCTCTGTGGGAGCTTTCGCTTCCTAATTTCTGCTGAAACAATGCAGTCCTGACCTATAGCTTAAGGCCAATTCCATTGCAGACATGAACTTTAGATAGGTTTAGTTAATCAGCTTGGACCATCTGTATGAATATTACTGCTGTTCCGCTTCTGACAAATCACAGTGATGTGAATCATTAATGGGTATCTGTGGCTTGTGTGCCACATTAAGCCGCAGAAACTTAAATTTTCTGGTTCTTGGCCATTTAGTGGACTCTACTTCCCCTACTTAAAAATTAAATGGAATGAAGCTGTATTTTCAGCTTGATTTCTCAAATGAGACCGAAGCAGTATTGTGACAAAAAAGTCACAAAATAAGTAGAGCTTTAAATAAATGGTTTTGTTAAAAGAGATAGTTGACATATTACTTGTATTTTCACAAACCAATTAAGTCATCAGCTGAAGTCTAACATGTTTCTCTGTTAGCTAAATCATAGTAAATGTACCTTTTTAGATATTTCAGAAAGTGTAAGGTAACTTAAATGTAATAATCTAAAGCTCCCCCAATCACTGTTTAAATGAAATGATTTTTGTCCCTTTTACAGTAACACACCATAACTAATATAGCCTCAAAAAGTAAACCAGTGTGCCATCAGATCTCAGCCCTGGTGACTACAGTTTCCCATCACTAATTAGTTTACATGAGAGCAAACCCCACTAGATACAGTGCAACTTAAACTGAATAATCATGCATAAAAAGATGTTATTAAGCTGCAAGTGGTAAATCAGTTAATGAAACTCATTAACTGGTGAATTGAGGTCCCAATACTGATCCTTGGGAGACTCTACTATCTACACTCCTCCATTGGGACAACATTTATTCACACTCTCTGCTCTCTCTTACTTCACTAGTTCCTGATCCACAAAAGGACCTCACCTCTTATTCCATGACCGCTAAACATGCTTATGAGTCCTTGGTGCGGTAGTTTGCCCAAAGCCTTTTTGAAAGTCTAAGTTGGATCATCTCTATCTATATCCTTGTTGACCCTCTGGAAGAACTCTTTAGCAGGGCTTGTTCTCCTGTATGCTTGGTTATTTCATCTTTAACAATACTTTCCACCTATTTTCCCATAGCTTTGAACTCATTGGAAGAAAGCTGGGCTATAAATGTATGAAATACATACATTTTCACTTTCATATTCATTTGACCACCTTAAGCAGTGATATGACCTTGGGAGATGGTTTTGTCAACACAAGCATTTCTGCTTGCTTGATGGAACAATCTCCCCCCTCTTCCCTCCACACTGTTCTAGGGGTTCTGCCACCCAAATGCTGAGCCATTGTGGGGGGCAGGAGAAAGGAGGGAAGCCCCGCTTCACTAGCAGAAGACCTTGCTAGGCTCTTGATAGCAGGACCCATGAACTGGACCAGGTCCTGAGTTCAGAAAACTAAAGCAAGATTTCACTATGCAAAAATGGTGTCCGTAATGATCAACCTGGAGTGCATCTGATCTTGTAGTTTGTTGTGGTAATGAAGTTTGGCTATGTTTATTTTGCAGTTCCTATACTTCTGTAGGTATAGGATTACCGTATTTTTCGCTCTATAGGACGCACTTTTTCCCCTTCAAAAATGAAGGGGAAATGTGTGTGCGTCCTATGGAGCGAAGACGCCATAGCCCCGCGACCCTCTCCCGGCTGGAGAGGTGACGCGCGGCTATGGCAGGAGCCTCTATAGCCACGGGCCACCTCTCCAGCCGGGAGAGCGCGCAGGGGGCTAAAGAAGCCCCCCGTGACCCTCTCCCAGCTGGAGAGGTGACGCGCGACTATGGCAGCAGCCTCTCCGCTGCGCCTTTCCGCTGCTCCCTGACCTGCTCTTTGGGGCTGGTGGTGGGCTTCCCCCCGCCAGCCCCAAAGAGCAGGTTGAAAGGAACCTGAAGCCTGGAGAGCGAGAGGGGTCGGTGCACGCTTCCAAGGTAGCCGCCTGAACGCACCTTAAACGGCACCTTGTTTTAGAGTGGGAAAACAAGAGGGGGGAAATTCTCCCCCTCTCTGCGCAGCGCCTCCTGCCGCTTCGCTTAGCGGATTAGCGCTATTAGCGGTTTAGCGGCTATTAAAGGCTTAGCGGCTTAGCGGCTAAAAGGCTATTAGCGGCTTAGAAAAAGGGGGGAAAGCGAAAAAAATCTCAAGACTCGCAAGACATTTTCATCTTGCGAAGCAAGCCCATAGGGAAATTCGTCCTGCGAAGCACATCGAGAAACGGAAAACCCTTTCGTCTAGCGGGTTTTTCGCCTTGCGAGGCATTCGTCTTGCGGGGCACCACTGTATTCCAGTGAACAGATAAATCTGGGATTTAGGTCCACCCTTCTGCCACTGACAGCCATGTGGCACCAAGATAGCAGGGAAGCTTGAACAAACTATAGCATAGGATCCCATGACATATCCATTTAGCCTTAAAGGCGTGTCTCATAACAGATGTCATGTCCTGGCATTTTGGAGCTGAGTGAACATGAGAAATCCTTAGGTCAACATATTAAACTGGAAAATTTAGGAGGAAACTGTATACATTTTGTGGTGGTTACTATTGTTATTGCTACTGCTGCTTAATTTTTCCATATGCTATTTTTTTGAGGCCTATATTATTGTCTTTATGAAATACAGGTGAAGTAGGATTCCTTGCTGAAGACCGGAGACTAAATGTTGCAATTACTCGTGCCCGCCGCCATGTGGCTGTGATCTGTGACTCTCGGACCATTGGCAGCCACATTTTCCTTAAACGCCTGGTGGACTATATGAACCAGCATGGGGAGGTGCGCACCGCTTTTGAATACCTGGATGACATCGTGCCAGATAACTATGCTGCTCCCAAGAGCTCTCAGGGTCTGGGTGACCAAGAAAAGAGACTTAAGTGCAACACTCCACTTGCCCCAAAGACTGATGGAGAGAAGCCAAGAGGAAAACCAGCCAAACGGACTGGGCAGAGGCCCATAGAGGGTTCTGTTCAAAGCCCAGCCTGGGGGGCAACAGTGGATACTGTAGTGAAGGGCAATTCATGTAAGCATGAAGCCAGGATACTGGAGTTTCTGGAGAGCAGTGAGACCCAACTGGATTTCCCTTCGTCATTAAATGCTCATGACAGGTTGATTGTCCACCGTCTGGCAGAGGAACATGGGCTGCAGCATGTGAGCACAGGAGAAGGTAGAGAGAGATACATCAGTGTCCGTAAGAGAGGCACTGCGACAGACTTTTCTCTGGAAGATGCTAAGGCCTGTGAACAAGAGTTGTCCTGCAGACCTGCAGGCACCCCCAAAGAATCCCAGGCCTCTGAACAAGAGTTAGCCTGCAGACCCCCAAGCCCCTCGAAAGACACCCATGCCTCCTGTGAGGAGAGTGGAAGCCATATTAGCAAGAAGAAGGTGGATCTGAAAACCCTGCACATGGAGCGGATGCAAAGGGAGAAGGCCAAGAGAGAGGAGAGGGCCAAACAAAGAAGTGAGCCAAATGTAAACCTTCAGGAAATCACTGGGAATAAACATGGAAGTGAAGCCAAAGGTACATTATTATACCATCTTGGGATTTGCCATTCTGTAGCAAATTCTCTTCCTTTGCAGAGCTTTTCTATTTGCATTTTTAAAAGGAAAAAGTGATGATACTTCACTGCTGCCCTTTCATTTGTCCCATATTTAATTGAAATTCCTTTGCAGAGGCATTCCAGGGTATGTATCCCTCGGGCATCCTTTGGGAAATTCCAGGCCAGAGCAGCAGGCGATGGGAGTCCTCTGCTCCCAGAATGGCTTTAAAAATTGATTGCCGCTTCTATGTTGTGCCTACAATCCATTTCTCCCCTTCTGCTCTGCCTGTGACAGGCTTTTCTTCTGAAAGCAACTACTTTTGACAACAACCAGGAATGCAGTTGAAGTTAATTGTTCTGAGACACAGAGATTATTCATCCAATAGGTTTCCTTTGAAGGGATCAGAAGAATGCCAGGCTTTGGTTTTGGAAATACGACATGTGCCTCTGCCCACCCCAACCCTTGAAAGCAATAACTGAGATTTGCAGACAAAAATGACCCAGGGCTCAGATTAGCTTGCTCCGTGGAACAGTTGCTTTGAGTGTTGTGCAGGTAGGAAGAAAAGATGTGAAGCTAGCAGCCATTCCACCCCCTCCCCCAAGGCAGGGTTTTATCTGGCCCATGCTGTATAATCAACTGTGAAATGATAATATTGCCTGGATCTGCATGTTTGTAGAGGCAGTATGTCAGTGAGGAGGAAGAACTTCTCAGCTCAAAAATAGATCCGTAGAAGGGAGAATCTCCATCTGCCAGTTTAGGAGAATGGGGTGTGTGCATTCGTGCGTTCGTTTGTGTATGCTTCATATGCATACATGTGCACACACTCCTTTTCTCTTACGGCTAACTTTGAAGAGAAGTGGAAACCTCCACACACAGAGAGAATTCACTTGCTCTTGGATCTATTTAGAAGCAGCAAATCAGCACCTAGTGTATCAATCTCAGTGCTGTGTAACACAGCGGAGTACAGTCTCTCCGTGTGCATATTTTCTTCTTTGCCCAGTTTATCTTGCTTGAACATTCTGGGTAGGGATTTCATCTTGCCAAGTGATACTACTTGCTTCTGCATGGTTTACAAAGCCATCTGTTCTCATGTGTGTGCATATGAAGACAGCCTTCTGCCATTCCATACATCTGAGGTTGCGATTGCTCCCTGGGTTTCTGTTTTTGCTGATCAGCTTGTTTTGCAGGCTTTACTAGGGGACTGGATGAACACACCTGTGCCCCTTTTATTCCCATGAAAAAACACTGTGTTGAAATAATAGAATCTTAAAAGTTGGAAGGTACCCCAAGGGTCATCTAGTCCAACCCCCTGCAATGCAGGAATCTAAGCTAAAGCATACATGACAGTTGGACATCCAACCTCTGTTTAAAAACCCCCAAGGAATGAGAATCCACCACCTCTCATAGGAGTCTGTTCCACTGCTGAACAGCTCTTAGCTCTCTTAACTCTCAGCTCATCTTAACTCTCAGCTCATCTGTAAGCTCTTTTTATTGCATGCTGATGATTCTCCTCCCCACCCTTGTGCTTTTAGGGAAGGCTTCTGTTAAAACCAAAGTGGAAGGTTCAGCAGAGGAAGATTTTGATGCTCTGATTTCTGCTGCAATCAAAGCTGACAACACGTGTGGTTTCCCCAAATGCAAAGCAAGTGTGACAACCCTGGGGCAGCTCTGCCTGCATTGCAATAAACGCTACTGTCTCAGCCACCACATCCCAGAGGTATGTTTTTGTCCTTGCCTGGTTCAGGTAAGCTAAACATTGCCACCATCTGCTCAGTTTCTTGACCCCCAGTCCTTCAGGACTTGAATTTCATTAGTGTGAAATGGCTGTGTGTGTTTTTTAAAGTATTTCACAGACTCCCATTTTTCCAGGAGGCTTCCAGGCACAGGAAGGTGAGCTTTTGAACCATTCGCAAGGCCAGTTCAACATGTGCAAATCCTCTGGTGGGTGGATTGCTCCCATTCCTCTTTACTTTATTTTTTAATTTAAAAAGATAACATGAAAATCTGCTTTTAGGGTATGAGGGGGAGCAAGGTTTATGAAAGCCATATAGCATAATATGCACATGCAGTTCAATTCACAAGGGAACCATGAGTGGGGGGGAGGGGGGAGTTGCCTCCAGCTTAATATATCCTAATAATGGGGAAGTTCTCTCCTGCTGGGCTATAAGTGAAAAAAGAAACTCATTCAGAGGTGCTTTTTTTTGGCCTACAGTTGTAGGAGGAATATGAAGCATTTTCTTCTTCCTTTGGTACTTTGTATGGATTTAGTTATTATGAGCCTCTGCGTGTCTGTGAAATCTCGCTCCAATCTTTCACCAAGCTCTAATATGAGAATGACTTTCTTTCCTGTGAGGTTCACAGTGTACTTGTATTTCCCCTCACTCACCCACCCACTCAAGACCGTTAACAAACAAACAAAAATACGCCCCCCCCCCATTTCTTCCCTGTCTCTGTTCTTCGTGGTGTGGAGGATAGAAAAGGATGGATCTCCTTGATTGGAATAACAAGGCGAGGCCTTTTAACGCAGGCACTTAGCACTGCAGGGCAGAGGACCTGTGTTTAACAATGTGTCACTGCTGAAATAATGTGATTCTTCAGAGTCTTTTTTTCTTCCCCCGGAGTGTCTGAGTCATTTCCTCTTGGCACAATGTACCTCAATTCACCTCTCTTCTTTTAACATTCACCCCCCGCCCACAACCTGTTCAGATGCTTGGGGGAGGATGATGCTCTAGAAAATGTGTGTATCTGAGGTGCTGATGGTGCTAGCCTAGAGAGGGCCACTGTTCTGTGGCATACAGCACATACCCTTGCATGCATAAGGTCCCAGGTTCAATCTCTTGGCATCTCCAGCTAAAGGATCTTGGGTAGCCTTGCTAGGCAGTGCCCAGGCCTTAAGCCTGCTCCATGGAGAGTCAGTCCATACTGAACTAGGTAGACTTGTGCTCTGCTTTTCCTCTCCAAAAAAGGAGATGCTCAAAGTGACTTGCAAATGATTTTAAAAGGCATCTTCATATGACACCAGCCACGCCATGTGTTCTGCTCAACTATAAGCCTTTTATCTCTCTTCTCTCCCTCTCTCCTTCATCACACTGTAGATTCATTGGATACCATGCACCAAGAGCAGCTTTAAGTAAGAGAAGTTGTGCAAAGCCCTTTCTCACTCTCTTGCCCTAGCTGCTGTTGTCACACTGGTACAAGAGATACCGAAAGCACAGCAGCCCACCTGGGTGCAGCAGGCTTTATCCTCAGAAGCCTCTTTCCTTCTAGGTGTTGGTCAAAGCAAAACGTCATCCTTTGCCCATCACTGCAGCTGTAGCAAAGATTGGAGTGAGTTGCACTCGAATTGCAGTCCAGGACTCACAGAAGGTGGGAATGTCTCACTCTGCAATTCTGTTAGAGCTGCCCAACGGCTGTCTCTATGTAGCACAAAAAAGACCTGTGTGCCAGGAAAAATAATACTGACTTCCAACGAGCTTTCAGATGTCCTCTTTATGCCCCTCTGATTTATTTGAAGCAGTAGATCATACGTGGTTTTAATCCCATGGAGAAAGTGTTGTAGCTAGCTGAAGACATATTGATCTATAGTGCCTGAAATAGATTTACTGGATTATGGATTTACTGGCATTCTGCCAACAGTTTGAGTTGGGTTTCTTTCTAACCGTAAAATAAATGTATATATGGCAATATTTTCTGTGGCACATGCTGCAGCAAGGAAAAAATCAGCAAAACAGTGGTGGTCTTAAATAGATATACTTATCATGTGACACTTGCTGGTGTTTCAAGGCAAGCTTGAATCAAGAAAAATCTTATTGGAAGGATTTGTGAATGAAGGAAATAAGAGTACAAAAAACATGTAGGAAAATACTCCAAATTTTCTGGTATTCTGTAGTTTTGATTTCAGGGTTTGCTGATTTCAGAGTTGTATTGGTAGAGAGCTACACAAAGGAGATGTGATCCTGAAAAACCAAAGGCAGATTTCAGCGCCCTCTGTGCAGGAGGATCCCCCTCCCCACTGCCATGCTGGTGGTCCCATTAAGAGAACAGGGTTCTGAACAAGAGTGTGAAGCAGAGGTGGCTAAGCTGTGGCCGTCTGGATGCTGTGAGACACCAGCCAATGGTGGGAGTTGTAGCCCAGCAGCATCTGGAGGGCAACAGATTCCCCACCCTTGCTATACAGGAACACAGTCACATCTGTTCCTTTGGTTCCAATGCATAGAAAGGGTACAACTTGCAAATGCAGAAATGATTGCCAGTTTCTTTTCCCTCTTAGCCATTGTGGAGCAGCTGCATGCATAAAAGGAAATCTGATTGTGTGAACAGGCCCCTGCGGGGGCTGTATTAATAAATTCATAGAACCGTAGAGTTGGAAAGGACCACAAGGGTCATCCAGTCCAACCCCCTGCAATGCAGGAATCTTTTTGCCCAATGTGGGGCTCAAACCCACAACCCTGAGATTAAGAATCTCATGTTCTGCTGACTGAGCTATCAGTAAGGTATTGCAGAAGAATGTATTCCCCTTTAGTATGCAATCACAAAAGTATTTTGTTAGGTCAACTTAAAAGTGAGATTTTTAATTTTTAAAAAATGGTTAAATCAGTTCAACTGTTATCCAGCTGTCATAGTATAATTCATGTAGAGTTGAAGGTTTAATCTATCCTAGCCTGAATTTTGGACCAGTTAATGAGATAGAACTCATTTTAGAGGGACTGCAGGGTTTGATCCCATATAGTCGCATCAAGTCCCTACCTTTTTACTGACTGCAAATTGCTTGCCATTTTATACTGCTTGAGAGTGTTTTGTCATTTTCTTTCAGCTTCGGACTAAATCCAGCTGTTTTAGCTCCTTGTTAAAATGAATTCTTCTAAGCAATAGCTTCAGTGCTTTCCCACCTTAATAAATCTTGCTTTCCAGCAACCCAGCAGGCTTGCACTTTGTCACTCATCTGCAATAAAACGAGTTTCCTTCAAAGCTGTTTTTCAGCCATTAGTTTATCCTTCCTGTTTATATCATTAATGTGCATACTTGTCTCTCTAGTTATCTTTTCTCCTGATGTGCTTACAAGTCATTCAACTTGTGGTAGCTTCGTCTCTAGACATCCTAAAATGCAGAGATATTGCATGTCTCTATTCCCTTCTCTTTCATACATGTAGTATGTGTTCTTTTAATCTGGTATTTTGGCAGCCCTTTGTGGGTCCATAATACTTTCTTCATTCTCCTTGCACTTAATTTTCTTCCACAATGCCCCTTTATACCTTTGTGCCTTGTAGAATTTATCTCATGGATGACTTGCATGTTGCCTACTGCCACTTGTCATCCTCGATTTGCTTTCTGGCTCCTTCTTTTATACAATGTGTATTTAGCTCCAGCAGTTAGGCCAAGAAGCAGGCCTTGCTGATGACTCAAGGTTGGGAGATTATTTACCAGTCAGTATAACCTGCTTCCTAAGAGTGAGAGAGGGGGATATTGGTGGCCTGGAGATGAGTGAAAATCACTACCTACAAGAATCCAACAGCTTTATTAATAAACAGTTTTGTCATGAATCTAAGGTATTGTGATTTAGAATGCAAAGACTACAAAGTTCTGTAGAAACTGTTGAAAAACAAACAAACCAGCCTTGGGGGGCTTTCCCGTAGCTTGGCTTGAGTGAAATTTTGAGGGGCAGCTGACATAACTGATCATATTCCTTAGAATAATTTTATTTTCCATTCAAAGGCAGAGAATAAATTATTGGAGAAGTTTCACTCAGTTTCATAACACAGCTATACTGGGCAAATTCCTATTCTGGGCTAGGTAATTACGAACTTTACAAACATTACTTGTGACAGCCAGTCTGCAGGGAGCCCAACAACACAAAAGAAACAAGGAAATGTGATGCGTTGTTTTACTTATTTCTAATACTCTGTTCTTCAGCTTATATGGCTATTTCCATGCAGTTTCTTTCCCAGTCAGGCACCGTTTGCACCCAGCACTGTGGACATTCAAGCTGCTTAGGTGAGGTGGTGGTATTGCCAGTTTATTAGCAATAGATATAATGTGTTTTGTTATGATTCAAGGGCTTGATTGTTCTTGGTTTCCCTCCTTTCATCTGATTCTTTCCAGACTGGAGATAAGAGAGAAATGTTAGTATTTATCAACAAGGGTGACAAAGGTGACTGGATGATGGAGTAGAGATTTTCCTTACATTTTTAGAGTTTGGGAAGAAATACTTAATCTGTCCAAAATGATTATTTAATTGCTCCTTAGGGAAAAATGACCTTCACATTTTTAAAATTGTTTTGTTTTGTTGTTAAAAGACCCACCGGTAAGTGAAGTAGTTTATTTTTATGGACTGTGAAGAATGATCAAGTTTATGATAAGCAGTTTTCACTAAGGTCGTAATTTTGTGCTGGAACATCTTGAGGCTGATATTATGGCTTTATCTCCCACAGATTCATGGCTGTGGGGAGAAAGCCAAAGCATATGCCCGGCAGAGAATCAGCAAAGAAGCTTCTCTATGTGCCGGGAGTGGGTTAAAGGACAAGCCCTTGGATCCTGCCAAGAGAGCTCATCTCCAGAGGCGCCTGGACAAAAAACTCAGTGAGCTCACAAGCCAAAGAAAGAGCAAAAAGAAAGACAAAGAGAAATGAGAGGATTAGCTATGTCAAGGCAAGATGCTCATCTGCCTGTCCTTGAGGCACCTTCGTAAAGCAGCATGCTCAGGCTCCAGAGGAAAAAGCTCATCACTCTCTTAAACCTTTTGGCTTCTTTCCCCCACCCCACACCCCCAAAATCAAGAATATGTCCTTCAGCTTCATGGTCCTCAGAGAGCCAGAGACTGACTGAAGAAAGGTTCCCACTGTCTGCAGGTTTCAAACAATTCTCAAGTTGCATCTTGCACTGTAAAATGTGTTTTTCCTCAGTCACGTCAGAACTATAAAGCCCTGTTGGTTAAGGAGAAAGGTGGGCAGCTTTTGTTTGTAGTAATTATCTTTATTGGCGAGGTAATAAATGTACTCTGAGTGGGCGCAGAGCAGGTTTTACAATAAAACAGTGATAGCGTATGCCTTGAGCAATGAACTGTCCGTTTGACATTGCATGGTAATGTAATAATCGTTGTCCGTGGGACTCCTGTCCCCCCCCCCCCAATGTGTGGGAGCAATAAAAACCTCTCCAGGTGGTCCACAAAATTAAGGGAATACAAATAGCTTTTTCCATTTCTCAAGCTCAGAAACTTGTATGTTGAAAGAAAAGATTCTAAAAAAGATGTGTTAAAATTGTGAGGGGACAAAGTGAAGAAAAATCTAGAAAAAATAACCTGGGTTCACTGGCCCAGCACATACACTTTTACTGGAATATGCTGGGATTGCGCGCAGGTCTTCTGCATACAAAGATGTGTTCTACCCCTATGCCACCACTGTGTGCTATGGACCTTAACTTACAGTAGGGAAACCTCAGGGCCAGGGTCCAAATGAAGTCCTTGCAAGTCTCTCTGTTTCATCCCTGAGACTCTTCCCAGTGCCACATCGTGCACTAGGCCCATATCAAGTGCTTTAGCCTGTCTTGAATGTGTATCTGAACTGTGGTGCTGAGGGGTTCCTGTCAGGGGATCCTCTGACTTGCACATGGCTGGAGTGTGGTCTACTGTGCTAAGGTTGGGTCCGATCTGTTGCTCCACTTGTTTGTTTTCCTCTGACCCTTCCAGCCACTGACATGCAGCTCTTTGAAGGTTGTCCATGAGGGAATGTGTCCGTGCAGCTGAAAAGCATTTGCCATCCCTTGGCTTAGAATCACAGAATTTGTAAGGTATAATTTTTTTCTCAAATTCATTCAAGTTCCAATAAAAATAGACACATTTCTTTTTGGGGGAGTGTGTGGAGCTGTTTACAAAACAATGTAGTCCCACAAATAATTACCCAGTAGAGTTTTCATCGTGCAGAACTATATGCAACCAAGAAGCAGGGAAATAATGGCCCCATTTTCAGGGGAGGGCTCTCAGTGTCCTGTTGCTATGGATGTGGCCTCATGATTTTGTTCAGAGGCTCAAGTACTTTAAGAAAGAAAAAGGGTGCATTCCTCTCCTGTTCTTTTCAGGCAGTGTCCTTTTCACCTCATCCTGCGAACTGGTATCTAGAGCAAGTTAATTGTATTTTTGTTGGTTCTTTTATTTCTTATATTAAGAACAGAACAAGAGCCTGCTGGATCAAGCCAGTGGCCCATCTAGTCCAGCCTACTGTTCTCACAGTGACATTTTATTGTATTACAATTTGAATTCTGTGGAGTGCAAATTGTACAGTATCTAGCACAATGTCTTATAATTGCTACAACAGGCAGAAAAACCATTAAGTGGTCTGCCAAGGCCATCAGCAATTTTCAAGTGGTCCGTGGGGGGGGGGTAGTTTGGGAACCACTGATCTAGAATGATTACAAGTCCCAAGTTCCTTTAGCCGCAAATGTCCTAGATGTTCTTGGCAGGATTTGTTCAGCCTTGGGCTCAAAAGCAATGGGATGTCATTCTCTTGCCATGCATGGTGTCTCTAAGGGTCTACAAATGCCCTGCAGTTCTACCATCTGCCAGTATTAACCTTGGGTTTGTTACCCTTCCAGTCTCTCTTCTCCTTTACTTTAAATTAATGTGTTCACTTTCTCTTGTCAGCCTTGAAAACACAAGAGGTGTTTGTGTTTTATCATCTGATCCTAACAGTTGGCGTCACATCATTTCTGAGATTCTAATAATGATGCAGCTACAACCTTGATTGCTCTTGGATTCTGAACCCATAACTTATAATGCGAGCCGGCAATAATAAAATGAAATTGAATTCGTTTTTTAAAAACCCACAATCATTATATTCTGCATAAAATTAATGTACTCTGTTTAGGAAAGCTCAGTGTGACCAGATGAAATTTTACCAGAGCAGAATGCTAAATGCAGATCAGTATGCAAGATCCAAAAGAGGATTTGGAGCTACGTTGGTCCTAATTGTAATAGATTGATTGAGGTAGGACTCCAGTGCATATTATTACACTCATTGTAGTGTGGGTGTCTGTGGGCAGGGGCAAGGAATCTGGACAGTTTTAGAAGTGTATTTCCTCCCCTAGATGCAGACACTGGCAATTGTCCCTTGGGTTTTGTGTCTGTGTTTGTAATGTATAATATTAGCTATTTGAAGACATAACAATAACAATATGGTGACATAATAATTGTTATTATAATTTTTAAAAAGAAGTGTGGGAAGAGCAGTAGCTCCATTATTAAGATCTCTTTACACTTGACTGTGTTTGGGTTGCATAGCACCTTCTAGTTTGGAGTGCTGCTGGCTTAATGAGCAACCCCTTCCTTTAGTATCACCTTCTGGAATACTTCAAAGATGACGAATAATGCCTTATTAACAGAGCCCGTTCTCTGAAATGTAAAAGAACAGAAGTGTGACACAAGGTTACAGTGTAATTATAATAAATCTGAGGAGGACAATTCCCTCAATAGTTAGTTATTCCATGCTGATAAAATATTTCTGAGCTAACATTAAAAAAAGTAAAAAATGGACAGACTTGCTGCCAAGCAGTTAAAATTTCCCTTGGGCTTCTTGCCCAGAAACCAGTTGATATTAGTTCTGTCATTTAAATTTTCCTTAAAAATATACAATGAAACCAGCACAAGGAAAGCCACCAGCTGGCAAGTCAAGGCTGAATTATTTCAAATCACAGCAGAATGGAACAGAGTATAAATCTCATCTGTTCTGCTTGTACCTCTATCTTCACATCTGCTTCTGCTGTTACCAATTTCCATAATTGTTTATCAGGGCTTAATTTGAACCTAGCACCTTCTCCTGTGTCTTACCATCATTGCCTTTGCTGGCACTTTTGGAGGGGAGATTGAGGAAGGGAGTTGTGACCCATTTAGGCTGTGGAGAAAACATCTGACCCCCTGAACTGTATTTAAGCTGGACTGCTGTGGCTCCCTGGAGTGCAGCAAGGTTTGAACTTGTAGCGTTGATAAGCTTTCTAATTTATTTATTGGCCTCTTAATATTTATTTTGCTCTGTACTTGTTATGCATTATCTAGATGATTTCAGTGTAATTTATTGCATTTATCCTTTTGGTTTTTCTTTGTTTGAATTTAGTGGTATGTTTTGTAACATTTTATGTTTGTATATTTATTTTTAAAATTGCTGTTACGAGCTGCTTTTGAGTGCAGTTCACCTTGGGAAAGTAGCATAAAAATGAAATAAACTTAGCTCATTGCTTTTGATATCAGAGCTTAATCCCCTAATCAGCTGGGCAATAATGAGCATGTTCAAAGAACCTTCTCACCACTGAGTATCTATAGTCTGTTCCCACATATATCCAAGCAGAGTTGAGCTCCAATTCCACAAGATTTTTTGAAATTAACCACCGGTGTATGTTTGGGAGCTGGAAAGACACTAGCAATTAGTCCATGGACTGAAAGCTAGATGCTCTAGATTCCCTACATCAAACAAGGGTTAGACTGAATGGGTTACACAGCCCCCTACACTTCTGTGATTCTGTTCCTTCCTTCCTGGATCTATGTGGCTGTAGAATCCAAATCTGCAGCCTCTTTATCTGTGATAGCTCTGTTATGCTGCCAGGACTAGAGGTAGCAATAATTTCATTTTGTTGCTTAGCAGGAAGGGTTTGTTGCCTCACTGCGTCTTAGATCCAAGGAACAGTTCTGCATTCCAACACATGGAAACAATTCCATGTGTTGTATGAAAAGACAGGGACTTGCTGCCTTTCATTTCAGCCCATCCACAGGCATCTTTAAGACAATAGTGTTTTTGAGAGGTGTCAGCTGTGCAGAATCCATCAGCCTCAGAAGGAGTTGTCTGAGTTACTGATAAGCCTGTATATACTAATTGCAGTCTCACTTCTCTGAGTACCAGTCCTTAGGTAACCAAAACAGCACCATCCAAGCACAAGATGGGATATCTGGAGGCTTGGAGGACTCAAGAATTACAGCGGTACGAAACATCCCCCCCCCCCCCAAAAAAAAGACCCAATGAGGACTCCCATCATAAAAAAACAGCCCAATGTGGATGGAGCATGCCTTGTGTGATGCTAACTGTTGGAGGAAGTATAAAAAACTGGGCAGGAGGAGAAATGGAGTGGTGTGTCCTGGAAAAACTACTTCACCTTGGTTGGAACACTGAAGGTTCCACTGTGAGAGTCATTCTATATGGATCCAAAGTAGCACCACCCACACACAAAAGGGTGGTAACTCCTACAGGGATGAGGCCCCTCACTACACTCCAATGAACTGCCCAGAGAACTTGGTTGGGCAAGCTACAAGTGTTCTAAATAAATAAAGCTAGAACATAGAGCCAACCTATGGAATTGGTGCATAGTAGATTCAGGACAGGTTAGACTGGGGACCACTAACTTAAGATGTTTTTTGAACATATTCATTGAGTGGCACTTGCATCTTTTCAGGTTTTTGTGCTTGCACTGCTCTTTATACAACCATGAGGATTCCCCATCCCCTTTCCTCCCCAAGAACTAAATTTTAAAATAAACATTCACAGTTTGTACTGTAAAACAGACACTCTAAATGCTTTATATTGGCACTACTCTAAAGCCGCTCTAAATGCACCACTTTGTGCTATAAATGTGCCCAGGCTTTTGTGGGTGTTTAATTCCAGTGGGTTGGTTGTGATTTAACCCTGCCCTGGGTTGTTAGCTGCATTTTATCTGTGCCATAATGTTTTATGTTTAGAAATGCCATTTTATTGTATGCTACCTTGAAGCTGGATGGTTATGGCAATTTAAAAATGTTTTCATGACTAATAATAACAACCCGAAATGCATTTCTAGGCATTATCTCCTTTGTTCAGTCACAAGATCAAAAACAACACAAGCCACTTATTTTTCTCTTTTGCTGACTGGACAAAGTCCAAAAGGCACTACATGACTGAGCACTTTGAGCTTCTCTTTTTCTAAGCATCTTTAAAGGGTGGTTCATTACAGTCCTCACTCTGCCCCATTAATGGCGGATTATCAAAGTGAACCATTTACAGTGGAATCAGGTGTTAAACAGGGTTGTGTTACTGCCCCAACACTATTTATTGTTTCATTGCTGCGATCCTAGAAATCATATATCAAACAGATGGAAAGCTCTTTAATCTGAATAGGCTGAAAGCAAAGAGTAAGGTTACCCAAACTTCTGTCACAGAGCTTCAGTATACTGATGACAGCGTTGTGTGTGCACACTCAGAGGATGACCTCGAAACCATCCTAAATATCTTCACATAAGCTTACAAAAAGCTTGGTCTATCACTCAACAACCAAAAAACCAAAGTGTTGCGCCAACAAGCACAAAGTAACCCCTCTGCAGGGCCACAAATCAAACTCAATGGTGTAATGTTGGAAAGTGTCAATCCCTTCTCCTACCTAGGCAGTTATCTTTCCACAATTGATGCCGAAATCCAGCATCACCTGAGCTCTGGGAGTGCAGCTTTCTCCCAATTAAAGCAGAGTGTTTGAGAACTGGGACATTTGCAGGCCAACCAAATGCTTGTTTACAAAGCTATTGTACTACCAACTTTACTGTAGGCTTGTGAAACATGGACCACTTATAAACACCATCTCCAACTCCTTGAAAGATTCCATCAGTGGACTCTCCAAAAAATTTTACATGTTACTTGGGAAGACAGGCGACCTAATGTCAGTGTACTGGAAGAAGCAAAGATCACCCATGTCAAAGAAATGATTCTTCAACATCAACTTCATTGGACTGGTCATGTTCTTCAGATGCCTGATTATTGTCTTCCAAAGCAACTACTCTATTCTGAACTTAAAAATGGAAAGTGTAATGCTGGTGGTCAACAAAAGAGATTTAAAGATGCTCTCAAGGCAAATCTAAAAAAATGTAGTATAAACACAGACAATTGGGAAACACTGGCCTGTGAGCGCTCCAATTGGAGAACAGCCTTTACCAAAGGTGTCACGGACTTAGGAGACGCTCAGACTCAGGACAAAAGGGAGAAATGTGCTAAGAGGAAGGCACACTTGGCAAATCCACACCATGATCAACTCCTGCCTGGAAATCTATGTCCCCACTGTGGAAGCACATGTGGATCCAGAATCGCCTCCACAGTCACTTACAGACTCACTGTTAATACTGTGTTCATGGAAGACAATCTTACTCGGCTACAAGTGATCGCAAAAGAAGATCTTAATTTGTGCCCCACTGATTAATCTGTTTCATCAAGCTATGTCAGCTCCAGGGCAAAGCCACATTGCTCAAGTGAGCTATTTGGAGTCCATGGAATAGAATCAATGCTTTGGCCAGAAAAATAAGAGCTGGAGTTGCATTAAAATGCAAACCAGAGTTACACTTCAGATCAGCTGAAACATAACTGAGTGCTGCTACGTAAAGAAAGAGGTAAGTTCATTAAAGGTGATTTTCTCATGCTCCAGAGTGCTTGTGGTCAAAGCACAGAAGATATATAGGTCAAGACTATTTCCCCTGTCCCACATCAAGAATGTGATGTTTGCAGGGCACACTCAGTAGTCATGAAGTGGACAGCTCCCTAATCCATTTACTAAGCCAGCTGCCACTTACTTAGGAGTAAGCCCCACTGAACACAAACTAAGGAAAATATGGCCACACTTAGTTAAAATGCACAATAAGACAAGTTCATCAAAACATCAAAATATTAAAATAAACATCTATAATTAAAATGTACAATAAATAAGGCCTGCAATACCGCATAACTGTTAAAGAGTTAAAACAGGAGGTTCAGTCAGCAGATCCGGGAAGTGCTTGTCAAAACAGGCGAGTTTTCGAGCACACATGGTTACAAGATATGACTGTGGAAAATGTTAAGCTAAATTGCTCTTTTTTCCTACACTCAGTCTGGCCTCTAATCCCATCTTTTCACCACTTTGAAGTTGCTAATGGATGAATAGCTGGCATTAGAGCTAGTGGAGAAACCATGTGGATCAGGGGTCTGCAAACTTTTTCAGCAGGGGTCCTGTCCGCTGTCCCTCAGACCTTGTGGGGGGCAGACTATATTGGGGGGGGGGGGAATGAACAAATTCCTATTCCCCACAAATAACCCAGAGATGCATTTTAAATAAAAGGACACATTCTACTCATGTAAAAACATGCTGATTCCCAGACCATCCGTGGGCTGGATTTAGAAGGCGATTGGGCCGGATCCAGCCCCCAGGCCTTAGTTTGCCTACCCATGATGTGGATGGCAGCCTGGCAATTACCCATATGAATTTTTCAGTGTCCTCCCTGGACTAAGAATCCTCATGCTGGCATGGAAAGATTAGTCTCAACTGGCTATAAGGCAATAGGGATGGAATAAGGGAGAGAAGTCTACCAGTCTATGAATAACTGGAAATATATCAATTGATGTGATGGTATGCTTCTTAGTAGTAGAGACTGGTCAGAATAGTTCACCCTGTAACACTGTGTGATTTGGAGAGTGCTATCAAGATTTAGGTCTAGCAAGAAAAGTGTTGTACTTCTGTTCCACAATTCACCATGATCAATGCAATTATAGCAATCTAGCTCAACAGATAGCCATAGCCATTCAGATAGAAAGAGAATTAACAGGTACAAATAATGTTAAACCTTAATTTGACTACACATTAAGCTGAGCAGTGATTTATGCAGCAACTTTTTAAATTCAAAGCACTTTACAAGGACAGAAAGTAGATATGGACAGTGTAAACAAAAGGTTTAACCTTTAGGTGTTCCACAAGATACATACAACCATTGGGCTGTCCAATACCAATGGCCACCTAAAATGGCTGCAGTTTTCCCTCTATTTGCACTGGTAACAGGTTAGTACAGCCCCTAGCCTCTGCCACAACATCACACCGACAAAGAAACAGCCTTAAATAGCCTTTAAACACCCGACATGTGAGATTGTTGCTATATTACATCCTCCATCTCTCTAGTGAATTTAAATGCTTGTGTGAGTAGTGTTATATCCAGTGTGTGAGCACTATAAGCAGTGAAGGAGGGACTAGCGAAGAAAGAAAGTATTCCATGCAATGCATAGTTAAACTAGGGAACTTGTTCCCCTAGGAGGCAGGGATGGTCACCAACTTGGATGGGTTTAAAAAAGGATTGGATGGATTCATGGAGAATAGGGCTATCAATGGCTATTAGCCACAGCTCAAGGCTAATTGCTCATGAAAACCAATTGCTGGAAACCACAGGAGGGGAAAGTGCTTGTGTGCTCTGTTCCTGCTGGAGGGTTCCGCACAAGCATCTGGGTGGCCACTGTGAGAACAGAATGCTGGATTAAATGGACTACTTGCCTGGTCCAGACAGTTCTTATGACCTCAGAGGGCTAGGAGCATTTGCAGTGCTCATAAAAGCTGATCTGTGGTGTTTCACAAGTGCCTTCCTCTGCTCATGGGAATAGGGCATTTGTGCGAGTGCCAGGAAAAGTGATATTTGAACCAGTTTTGGGGGAAACCACTACTGAGTCAATAACTCCGTAGCTTTCCCATCAGTTGTGACTTTGCATTCTAACCACCTTCTTGAAACCACACAGGGAAAGCATCAGTCACCAAGCTGTACAATCAGCCTTGCTGAACTCCATGTTCATACAAACTACAGGAGCTGTTTAGCAGCTGCCGCTGTGGAAACCATTAACAGCAAGCCACCATTTCAGAGCTAAATAACAGTCACAAGAGTAGCCTTGCAAAATGAATCCCTCCCAAATTCTGTAGCGTTAATGTTCTGTTGCAATGTAACCACATGGCTAATAGTCTTTATTGCTTTAGCAAAAGGATTTCTGCCTTTAGCATGCACAACTAATATATAAAATGCTTAAACTTTGAACTAAGAGTCAGTTCATATGTAGAGACTGTGAGCTGGCCGCCACATCTAGGTGTTGCAGACAAATAAGCACAAGTGGTCTGAACCACAAAGTTTTGCCTCTGAATGGGCATAAGGGCGTATCATAATTATTTCCATGGTGATCTCTTGATCTGTGATGACTCATTCAAAGAGGTGAGTCACCAATTAATGTGAATATGCGTATATAAGCCAATTCAGCGGTGCTCCTAGTTTAGCAAGTGAGACCAATAAATGAGAACAGACTTTTGCTTACTAGCCTGCCATACCAGGCATGGAGTGGTTGGGCAGAGTGGCCACTTATGCATTGCTAAAAAAGGAGAAAAAATCCCTAATCCCTAAAAAGGAGGCACAGATATGTATGAAACTCCTCTGTGTAAATTTATATGGAAATATGTAAATTTAGAAATAATTTCTATAATTTAAATAGCGAGTCAATACATCTCTCCATAATGAGGACAACTGTGACCAGGTGACCTATATGTGTCTGTACAGTTCCTGGGCAATTTGAACCCCATGCTGCACTCTTCCTTCTTATAGCTCTATAAAACCAGACTAGGGACTGCACAACCCTTCAATGCATAAACACTGAATGTCACATGTAGTCTGAAAGTTGTACTCCAGTTCCTCAAAATGAGGTGAAAATGTGGCTAGAAGTCACCTCCAATGAAGTCACCTCCATAAAGTCACCTCCATGATTTAATTGAAAAGGAGCTGCAAGCAAAAATATTTACTATTTCCCCCTTTCTGGGTATATTAATGATAAAGCCAAAATAATATAGGTTTCTTCATGGGGAGAAAAAGTTTAAATATTAAAATAAGTTTTGAATCTTTAATGAAGGAGTGCATTCGAAGCAAGCAGGCTGAACCGGAATGGAAAAAGACAGCCTCTAAGTACTCTTTGCCAAGTATTGCTTGGACATTATCACTAATCAATGACAAATTGATCATTTGTGCTCACTTTGTTTCAATTTATCCCAA